GGCCAGAAATCCAATGCATTTGTAATTTGAAAATAAGACCACGGTGCCAAACTTTATCGAATGCCTTGGAGATATCTAGGAAGTCAAGAAGAATTTATTTTTGATCATCTAAACCATTATAGATTTTGTTCACTAAGTTTACTAACTGATTCACAGCTGAGTCAAGTGGTTTGAAACCAGAGCTTTTGAGAGTCGGTATGTTGTTTATTAAACAAAATCTATAAATAACATTAAAAACAAGACGCTCAAAAACTTTGGAAATGCAAGAAAGTAATGAAATTGGCCTGTAATTTCCCTTGATTTGTCTATCATCTTTTTTGAAAATCGGCGAAACATTTGCTTCTTTCAAGGTTGAAGGAAATATTCCAGTTAAAGAGAATGGTTGAAAATACCGCATAAGGATGGTGCAAGTCCTAATGCACATTCTTTTAAAAGTTTATTTGAGACATTATCTGGACCATTTGATTTAGATATATTGAGAGAAGAAAGGACTTTAAATACTTCATGCTCTTCAAATTGAATTAAATCAAGTCTTGCATTAGTAATATATGTCAAGTTTGGAAGAGGCGGATCATTTTGATTAAGTGGTAAGATAGTTTGGTCGGCGAAGTAGTTATTCAAAACGTTTGCCTTGGCTTTAATGTCAGTAATTATAACATCATCATTTTCAATGAGAGGAGGTATACCTCTTGAAATTTTTGAGCCATATAAATTTTTCAAAATAGTAAAGTATAATTTAGGTGAGGTTTGATTGTCGGATAATTTTGTTTTGAGTGAATTAGTATGGTCATTTTTTTGCTTGGATGATTGCGTGTTTAACTTCGGTTCGTATTCTACAAAATTTCTCATGATCATTTAAATTGCTAGATATTTTGAATTTATAATGAAGAGAATTCCTCTGTTTAATGAGACTTTTTATTTGTTTAGTCATCCAAGGTTTGTCTCTGTTTGAAACTGTAATGATATTTCTGTGTACATACAATTCACACAGGACCAAAATACCATGTACCAATCTCGAAGAATGTCATCTATGTTAATGTTGTGAAAATAAATTACCTCCCATGGTAAGGAGAGAAGATGGTCGCCTACAAGCACAAAGTTTTTGTTTTTGTAGTCAAATATTGTTCGTTTATATGTAAGTTTTGCTTCACGCTTAAAATTGAGTGTGCCAAAAATGAAGCAGTGGTCAAGATTTGCAAGTGGTTCACCTACCCCTGTATTCAAATAAAGCTGGGGAATCTGTTATTATAAGATCAAGAATAGAGTTACCTCGAGTCTGTGTTTGGATCATTTGATAAAGATTGAAATGAGAAAGTAAATCAACAAGTTTGTTGCTAAATTCGCTTTGATTATGTTGGGAGTCCCATGAAGTGCAAAAGTCATTAAAATCACCCAGGACAAGAGAATCTGGTTTCAGATTCACTACTTCATTCAGATTTTCAGATAAAAGATCAATAAAATGGTCAGCCTCAGTTTGGTTTATTCCTGGAGGGCGATAGCAAGTAAACTTGATTTGTGGGTATTCCAGTGGGTTGATGGGTCTTTGGCTCTGAATTCACTTCATAGGCGTACCTGGTTTCAACATTTTCATTGTCATCGTTACATGTTATGGACCCTGTTTTTCAAATAAAAGTATTAGGGATAAAACCATAGTTTTTTCATCTGTAATGGCATTTTCCAGTTGATGGGTTTATATAAATTATTTTCAATTCTTCATGAGGCGGGTATCTTGTAATGGTGTGGCTAATCACTTTACTGAGTGAGGAATGTTTATTCAAACAATGGATACAAAGAAATCTGGCCAGTTGTCCATCAGTAAATAAATCATCATGATTAAAGTATAATTTAATATAGCATCCATTTGTTACCGTTCTGAATCCAAATGATACATAGTGGCATCCATTTTATACATATATGTTGACGTTTACGAAATGTTTTTCAAATATCTTCCCTATAACAGGAATATGGAAGCTGAAACTTTCACACATTGTCATACTATGTATATTGAATATGTACGCAAGATTTCAAGTCACTATATTAAGTAGAAACTCTGAGATCACTCACTTCGATTTGCTGTCATTTTTTTGCAATGATCCCATTCCCTATAATGTACGCGAGTACCCACGATACATTGCATATAAATGATTGCATCCACATAGATCGACTAGCCACAGTGTCAATATCACTTCTATTATTAGTTGCAATAGTCTTGACTTGTGAAGCTAAATCTTCTGTAACCTTTCTCCGTTTTCTAGGAGAATTTACCTGCTTCCTACATATGCAGCATGAATAGCATTTGGCCATTTTGAATAATCAACAAAAATGGCAGGCAAAATTTTCTATAAAGTTCTAAAATTCACATCGAGCATAATAAGTCTCCATCAAAATTATTCTTTGTATGCAACAATATAACATTTATGTAACTAAAGAAGCACTTATTAGAGTGGAGACTTGTTATGCTCCATGTGAAAACACTCAAAGGATTACTACCTCCAGTGAATAAAAATGTCACCCAGACTCAGCATGAAATGTCCTTTCAAAGCTTTACTTACCTCTAAACTGTACATATTGTTTAAATCAATTGTATGTATGGATCAAATAAACATTCATTCATAGCTGAGTAAATTGGAATTCATCAAGAGGGTTGTAAAATATGTGAATTTTTTTCCTTCTGGCCCCCACCCTCTTTGAAGGTCTCCAGACACCGTAACAATTTTTTCTAAATTTTTTAAAAAATACTACCCAAAAACATAGACTTCAATCTATGCATTTATGATGTTTTTTTCTCCTATTCTTAAAACAAGTTTTTTCACACTTCAATTGGGGCACTCTCTGTTGCTAGTTTACCCAACTCCTTTCTAGCAGAAATTGCCTGCTCCCCCCCCTCCGTCCCAATTCTACGATCACCGGGCGTGTATGTATTCAACTACATAGTCCTATGAATGTAAATGCTGACTTGTCACATCTTGATAGAGACCAAATAAATAAGAAATACATACATACTTAGTGGGACATTTTTATTTGAAAAGGTAACATGGGGGTACAGCAGGTCACAAAGGAGATACAAGTCTGTCAAATCAAAAGAATCATATCATTCTATTTGTGTCAATATCAAATTATCAATACATGTCTAAATACTGAGCAATATATTGAGCATAATTATATTCTTAATAGAAATCAAAAGAGAATACATGTGAAAAGGGTATTGAGGGCAGTGATTAAAAAACAAAATTACCTGAGCATGTCAATGAACTTGTGGAGTTCATGCACATACTGAATTTGTACACTTAAAATTAAAGTTCATCTACAGGACATGAGTATTACTTGAAAGAATAACATTTAGCATGATGAAATAAAGAAACCATATAAATAAAAGGCCCACAAAAGAAGGAGAACTGGATATGAAATAATGTTTATTAAAAAATAACTTCCACAAATTACAAAATCTCTTACGTGATGATTTCTGATTTGAATGAATCGAGGAAACTAGAACAAAACTTGTGACTGGAATACATTCTTCTATATTATAAAGCTTACCATTAATCATGTGGAAAGAATTTTTGTTTGTATTAAAGGTGACTTTACCAATAGCTATGGGCTACTTGGAGCCATCTATTGGCCAGGCTTTAGATGTAATGAGTCAGACATTTACAAGAAATACCACTACAACTCTTGTTGTGCTCTCGCTAACTTTGGGGCTTGCGAGCATACTTCGTGCATACTTATCAGCAACACAGTCAATTCAGCTGTTCATTGTATTAGTGAACTCAAAGAGAGATCTAAAGAAAGCAATTATATTTCTCCTAATCAATGGTACCATAACAGGTTCAATACTTCTTATGATATACTTAACACCACTAGGGATAGTTATTCAATGGATATTCCATATTACTGATGTGGAATTAGCTGAAGTTCGATTTGGTGTGGCAACTTGGTGCCTACAGCACATAATCCTGAACATAGCGAATGGGCTTTATGGATTACTGCTAAAACATAAACATACACACTTCTGCATATCATATGAAATAGTTAAAACTGTTCTTAAGATATCATAATTTTTTGCACTAATGGGAACAAGCATACTGACGACAAGACCAATTTTGATACCTACAATATCAGTGTACATTGCTTGTCTTGGGTGTTTATTGATCAGCATCATAGGATATAGGATATACCTGAAGGATACATTACCTGTTCAAAGTTCAAATGATGTAACCTATGGTCAAATGATACGATTTACACTTCCTTTAGGAATGCAAGAACTTGTTCTAAGGAGTGAAGTTTTCATTATTTCCATAGTGTTATCTCAGATCACAACATCAAGCTCTGAGAGAAGCAGTGTGTTAGCTTCATTTCAGGTTCTTTATGCTGGTTTTATGCCATTGAGGCGATTAGTTGATATGCTAACACAGACAGTTGCAGTATATCTGTCATCAGGGATGAACAGACATTCCCATTTTGATATTGAACTTGCAATATCAATTGTGATCATCATATGTTTCCTTTTTGCTATAACCACATCCATATGTTGGGTAGAACCTATTACTAAATTCATATTTCTTATTTTCATGCATACTTCCCAATCAAACTTGAATATGCTGCAGTATCCACTCAAAATGTTCACATTTTGGCCATTCATACATGGACTTAACTCATTTTTAATAGGTGTTTTGCTACACAAAAAGGATACAAACATAGTGTTTGTTAGTTCAGTATGTAATGTGGTTATACTCAGTTGCATTCCCTTTTTATTTAATCTTGTTGAAATGGACAAAATACTCTCTGCAGTGGTGTCATTGTTTTTATCAATTACTGCAACTGCATTAATATTACTAGTCTACATGTGTAAGAAATATTTGTTTGCACATGAATATCATGAACACATGGCATAAACATTTATTATTGAAATACATTTTAGGCTAACACATGAGGCCCTAATGTCTATTGCTAGGTGTAAGGTGTCATTTTAAAAGTCCTGATAAACAATCAACTAAACTTACCATCAAAGCGTTCACTGACAGCTAAATCTGCTATGTGTGCCCCAGCTTGTTTGGCAGTTCGGACCTTACTGGACCACTTTGGTGTGTAGTTCATGCAACAACATGACATACTTTGAGAGAGTTTACTGGCATTCCTCTTCAGGTGGGTTGTAGGAATCACACCTAAAATGCAGTTATGGAGAAAGGAATGAGAAAGTACACATTGTAACATTTGAAAAAGAAAATACTGTACTGATACAAAATATCCAAAATAAAAATTACAGGCAAGCAATTTGTAGATTTAGGCTTAGTTCCCACAAGTTACATATAGAACTTGGTCGTCATTTAAAGCCAAAGCCAAAACCTGTAGATGAACGTTTATGTAATATTTGTGGTATTTTAGAAGATGAACAACACTTCATCATGATTTGTAAGAAAAACACTACAGAAAGAAAAAATTTGTTTGACACCCTTACACAATTTAATTTTGTAGGCAGTCCTGACATTATTTTTAAAAAACTAATGTCTCACAAAAATTCTTATGTAATTTTACATTTAGCAAAGTTCATCTATCATTCACTCAAAAAATTGGATTAATGTGTCAACGATGCATCACACTGATGTTTAAATTTCTGTCAAGTTATATTTGTATTTTATAATTATCTTGTATTCTGATGCTGTCCCCAGCTCCGATTTCGGTGATCGGCTAGTAAAAAAGGTTTGAGGGTATCATTTTGTTCCAGACACTCTCTAGAGTAAATTATCCTAACTTGAGTAAAAATGTGTGGTAAGTAAATTCACTATGGGCAGTTAAAGAGGCGCCATCTATTCATTTTCAAACAGGGGGTAGGGGTATTAAATAATTTTTAAAACATTTTAATAGTAAAATGACATTGAAATACTAATAAAATCTTATCAAAAACATTATTTACAATCAGTATGAATTTTCTTGTGTGAATTAGGGTGAAAATAAGGGCATATTTTTAAATTCACTACAGGGGCGCCACCTATTTTCATACTTCTACCACGTGTAATAACTTATTTTAGATTCGTTAAGGTACGAAATGTACTGAAAAAATTCATTCTGAAGGACCTATATATGTTCATACCACATACTCAAAATTGGATCAATAGGTTTTGAACTGGCGGAGAAAAAAATTATTGAAATTTAAAATTGTGGCATCTTGCAGGATAGGGGTGACCATATCTCACATGATTAACTTCCAAAATATGGAGCATATGTATCTCAAATGTACTCAAAATGGTGTATGTACTCTTGCTTTGTCATAATATTACTAATAAGAAGTAGAAAAATGATTGTACATTTTAAAAAATATTAATTCTCATTTTGGCTTCTGACGTCCCAGGAGTGACCATATCTCACCTTAATAACTTCCAAAATATGGAGCATATGTATCTCAAATGTACTCAAAATGGTGTATGTACTCTTGCTTTGTCATAATATTACTAATAAGAAGTAGAAAAATGATTGTACATTTTAAAAAATATTGATTCTCATTTTGGCTTCTGACGTCCCAGGGATGACCATATCTCACCTTAATAACTTCCAAAATATGGAGCATATGTATCTCAAATGTACTCAAAATGGTGTATGTACTCTTGATTTGTCATAATATTACTAATAAGAAGAAGAAAAATGATTGTACATTTTAAAAAATATTGATTCTCATTTTGGCTTCTGACGTCCCAGGGTTGACCATATCTCACCTTAATAACTTCCGAAATATGGAGCATATGTATCTCAAATGTACTCAAAATGGTGAATGTACTCTTGCTTTGTCATAATATTACTAATAAGAAGTAAAATAAAAAATTGTACATTTAAAATAATATTGATTCTCATTTTGGCTTCTGACGTCCCAGGGGTGACCATATCTCACCTTAATAACTTCCAAAATATGGAGCATATGTATCTCAAATGTACTCAAAAAGGTGTATGTACTCTTGCTTTTTCATAATATTACTAATAAGAAGTAGGAAAATGATTATACATTTCAAAATTTTTAATTTTAGCTTCTTACGTTCCTGGGTAATCATATCGGACCATATAATAATAATCCTCAAATATTCTCAGAAAAGTCCTGTCTTTTTCATATTACTTATGAAATGTAGAAAAATGATTGCATTTTTTTTATAAATCTTAATTTTAGCCTCTGGTGTCCCAGGGGCTATCTCATCTTGATAACTCTCATGAAAATTTCAATTCAAAAAAGGTGTAATAATTTTTTCTACATCTCATGAATAATATTATGACAAAGCAAGACCATATGCCCCATTTTTGGTATATTTGAGTTGTATATGTTACATAATTTCAGAAGTTAGTGAGGGACGTCAGAAGCTAAAATTAAAATTTTTTAAACGTATAATCTTCTTATTAGTATAATATTATGACAAAGCAAGAGTACATACACCATTTTGAGTACATTTCAGATACATATGCTCCATATTTTGGAAGTTATTAAGGTGAGATATGGTCACCCCTGGGACGTCAGAAGCCAAAATGAGAATTAATATTTTTAAAAATGTGCAATCATTTTCCTACATCTTATTAGTAATATTATGACAAGACAAGACTATATACACCATTTTGAATACATTTGAGATACATATGTTACATATTTTGGAAGTTATTAAGGTGAGATATGGTCAGTGGTCATCCCTGGAACGTCGGAAGCTAAAATGAAAATTAATATTTTTAAAATGTACAATCATTTCTCTACATCTTATTAGTAATATTATGACAAGGCAAGACTATATATACCATTTGAGGCTTTTTGAGCATATTTGAGATACAAATGCTCCATATTTTGGAAGTTATTAAGGTGAGATATGGTCACCCCTGGAACGTCAGAAGCCAAAATGAGAATTAATATTTTTTAAATTGAACAATCATTTTTCTACTTCTTATTAGTAATATTATGACAAAGCAAGAGTACATGCACCATTTTTAGCACATCTGAGATACAAATGCTCCATATTTTGGAAGTTATTAAGGTGAGATATGGTCACCCCTGGAACGTCAGAAGCCAAAATGAGAATTAGTATTTTTTAAAATGTACAATCATTTATCTACTTCTTATTAGTAATATTATGACAAAGCAAGAGTACATACACCATTTTGAGCACATTTGAGATACATATGCTCCATATTTTGGAAGTTATTAAGGTGAGATATGGTCACCCCTTGGACGTCAGAAGCCAAAATGAGAATTTATATTTTTTAAAATTGTACAATCATTTTTCTACTTCTTATTTGTAATATTATGACAAAGCAAGAGTACATACACCATTTTGAGTACATTTGAGATACATATGCTCCATATTTTGGAAGTTAATCATGTGAGATATGGTCACCCCTGGGACGTCAGAAGCCAAAATGAGAATTAATATTTTTTAAAATGTACAATCATTTATCTACTTCTTATTAGTAATATTATGACAAAGCAAGAGTACATACACCATTTTGAGCACATTTGAGATACATATGCTCCATATTTTGGAAGTTATTAAGGTGAGATATGGTCACCCCTGGGACGTCAGAAGCCAAAATGAGAATTTATATTTTTTAAAATTGTACAATCATTTTTCTACTTCTTATTAGTAATATTATGACAAAGCAAGAGTACATACACCATTTTGAGTACATTTGAGATACATATGCTCCATATTTTGGAAGTTAATCATGTGAGATATGGTCACCCCTATCCTGCATGATGCCACAATTCTAAATTTCAATAATTTTTTTCTCCCCAGGTACACAAGCTATTGATCCAATTTTAAGTATGTGGTATGAACATATATTGGTCCTTTAGAATTAATTTTTTCAGTACACTTCGTACCTTAATGAATCTAAAATAACTTATTACATGTGGTAGAAGTACGAAAATAGGTGGTGCCCCTGTAGTGAATTTCAAAATATGCCCTTATTTTCACCCTAATCCACACAAGAAAATTCATACTGATTGTAAATAATGTTTTTGATAAGATTTTATTAGTATTTTAATGTCATTTTACTATTAAAATGTGATAAAAAATTATTTTATACGCCTACCCCCTGTTTGAAAATGAATAGATGGCGCCTCTCTAACTGCCCATAGCGAATTCACTTACCACACATTTTTACTCAAGTTAGGATAATTTACTCTAGCTAGTGTCTAGAACAAAATGATACCCTCAAACCTTTTTTACTAGCCGATCACCGAAATCGGAGCTGGGGACAGCATCATTCTGTATTTTAAAATTGATGATGTAATTAGAATTGTATTTGACAACAACTTTATTTTTGTATTCAATAGTTAGTTTAGTCTTAGGTCAGTTTTTGTAGATTGTAGTTTTTAGTGACTAATATGTCATTGTAATGACATCAGAGAGTCAATAAAAGATATATATACTCTTGGTTAATATCATGAAATTTGAGAAATCGTAATTTCGCAGCTATTTTTCGCGGTATCCACAAGTTCAAATTTCATTATTCTCTGAATCCTTAAGTTTTGCAAACTAAGTCACCTTTTATACAGTAGTTACATTCAATCCAGTGTAATATTTTGATAAAATTTATAATTACTAGATCTTGAAGAACAGTAGGCTGCACCCCAACCTCTGTTACTTACATCGCCATTTTTGGTCTAATTGATCATTGCTTAATATCCCATTCATTGCCCAATAACATTTGACACACATTTTACACAGAACGAAATGAGTCCCAGGTCATAACAAATCCCCGGGGATTTAATTTGCGAATTTCACGACGATTATTTTACGCGATTTTACTACAATCGCGAAAAGCGTGAAACTAATTTCGCACACAAAAAATACAGGGAGTACAGTAGCACAAACTAACATACAAATCATGTCAAACCTAATTCTAACATAAAGCATATAAAATACATATACGTACAGTATACTTCAAAAGCCAAGTATTCAAATTAGTGGGTAAATCTGATCTTAAATGGTCTGCAACTTGACATTTACTTTCTTAATCCTGAAAATATCTAAGTTTAAATATGGTAAGTTGATCTACAAGTAAGCAGTTTGATAAGTTCCTTTGGGCCCTCACATTTGTTCAATGTAAAAGCAATTTATTCAACTTCTGTGAGCAATCTTTTCACTAAAATTGCTCTTATTTGAATAATTTTCATCCAATTTACACAGAAATTGTTTTAAGATGTGTAGAAATGATCTCAGCCATCTCGTTTTACTAAATTGATACATCTAAAGTTGTATAGGTATGTAGTTAATGTCAAAAGGTGGCAAAAATGAAAAAATCTCTGGTATGGTTTCAACTGATTTAGAGCCTGGGATTCAAGAGGTTAATGTAGATATTATCTTTGAAATAACCCAAGAGATAAAATTCCAGGGGTTCAGATTGTGTGATTTTGGTACATTCAGCATTTGGAGCAGTTTTTGTAAAATCACAACAACTGATAATAGACCAATGAAGCTCAGTAGAATGAAAGAACATAAAACAAGGTTTAAATGCACCAAGTATAACTTTAAACACATGCAAGATGACTTGGGTTATAACATTTGTTTTGGTTACATTTTTGGCTCACTATGTACAAGCCAATTTCTAATTTATGTTAAACAAGAAGAAGGAGTAGAGTCAAAATGATTTGATTTTATTGTAATATCACTGGTAGATAATGAAAGTACGAAGCTAATTATACAATAAAATGTTTAAATTAAAATGACTGATAATTACCTGGATCAACTGTATTAACACGTACATAGGTATTATGTAATTTCTCCGCAAGTTTAAATGTGAACAGCACATTGCAGAGTTTTGAATTCTTATAGGCTTGTAGACCATTGTAAGAGCCTTCTTTCTTCAGTGTGAAATTCTCTGGATCTAAGAAACCAATTCCTAAAATGGTTTCAGATAAGGAAGATAAAAACAAAACACAGTTGAAAATAAAGTGACTGAAATTGATATTGGTATACCAATAAACTCCATCACATCTGTCCTAATTAAATAGGATAATTAATATATTTACTTACTGCCAAGTATTCAGGTAAAATGATATTGAAGTTAGCTATGGCTATGCAAAATCTTCTGGACCTATATCCATAGATAAAATGTAGACCACCATGTACATGCTATTCATGATTCAAGCTGACAAGAGAGAAAAAAATAAATGAATTTCATAAAAATTATGACATGGGTCTCTTGTTATTTGCTGTGAAATCAAAGGTCATATTTTGCATATAAAGAAATACAACATTAAATGTTGCAGTTATGTGAGTGAAAATGACACAAATGAAGAGGACAAATCTGATCAAAGTACATGTATACTACAATGTATGCATATTTTTGACAATGGCAACACTGTACATACCTCTCATGAGCAGACCCCCATTTTCATGATCATGAAGGCCACATGTGACATTTACAATCCTAGCATCTCCAGTAATCTCACCAGCTGTCTTAAGGTAGTCTAGAACCATATTGGTCAACAGGAAGTGACCTAAATTAAACATATTAATCTGCTTTAACAAAAATTCCAAAAATTCCTACATATGTTCATCTAAGCATGTATGTATTATCACTTTCTGACCAATTATGTAGTATAGTCATATTATATTAGATCACTGGTTTATAAAACCATCAATTTTGACAAATTTTGAAATTTAAGGCCCATTTTCTTCTTCTGGGCCCATCCTAGGGTGGGTGTGGGATCAAGGAGGGGGGATGGACATTTATGTTCTGGGTGCCCCTCCAGATCCTCCAGTGATAAGCTTATTTCAAACCAGAACAACGGCAACGCCAAAGCGTAGCGAATCCCATCGAACAGAAATGGCTGGCATTTTTACAAACGAATAGCAAATATCATAAAACAACACAGCAGAAAGGCCACCATTTTCAAAATGGTTGCTCACTAGCCAAGTTGTCATCAGAAGAAATAATATGCTTTTAAGTAGCCACCTCTAAAATTTTTGAAAAATCTCACACATACTTGTAAAATTACACACATAAAAATGGTGGCCATTTTTCAAAATGGCCAACTACTCCCCAAATTTTTATTAGACAATGTGCCATGCTTAAAGTATTCACATATCAAATATGAACAAAATCGCTCCACTACTTTTCGAGTTATAGTAAAATATGTTAAAATGGCGGCCATTTTTCAAAATGGCCACCGTCTACCAAAAGTGTCATTAGAAATAGACAGTATGCCATGCTTATAGTATTCACATACCAAATATGAACAAAATCACTCCACTACTTTTCGAGTTATAGTAAAATACGTTAAAATGGCGGCCATTTTTCAAAATGTTTTTCAAAATGGCCGCCTTCTACCAAAAGTGTCATAGGACAGTGTGCCATACTTATAGTATTCACATACCAAATATGAACAAAATCGCTCCACTACTTTTCGAGTTATAGTAAAATACGTTTTCAATTTTTTTTTCAAAATGGCCGCCTTCTACCAAAAGTGTCATAGGACAGTGTGCCATGCTTATAGTATTCACATACCAAATATAAACAAAATCGCTCCACTACTTTTCGAGTTATAGTTAAATACGTTAAAATGGCCACCTTCTACCAAAAGTGTTTTTAGACAGTGTGCAATGCTTATAGTATTCACATACCAAATATGAACAAAATTGCTCCACTATTTTTTGAGTTATAGCAAAAATCGTAAAATGCAAGTAAAGGCCGCCATTTTTCAAGATGGCTGCCATGTGCTTCTTTAATATCTACATTTGTAGCATTATTAATGTCCTTTATAATTTTTTTACATTTAAAACATATTGCTATTACAGTTTTACATATTACACCTAAATTACTGTAAAATCGGCACTAAAATGGCCGCCATTTTGAAATGAGCGGCCATTTTGAAAATCAGCTTTCGAGCAGAACTTCTACCCCCATAGGGTATATGTGTACAAAATATGAACAAAATTGGGCCAACGGTATTTGAGTTATTGCCCGGACGGACGGACGGACGGAGGCGTTCCCTATATCCCTCCGAACTTCGTTCGATGGGATAAATATAAATGGAATAACTTGTGGCCAAAAAATTATTTTTTGGACAATAAAAATGTTGAGATGAGGCAAGCTTTTGAGACACTAATGAAAAAACTTAGTACTATATATTTATTTAAATACAGGAAATGCTTTGTTACAGTGTCAGAGATGGTATTGCTTGCACTTCTTTAAGCACAACCTGAGCACTTATAACTGGGCGCTTTGTCAAATACGGTTGGTAGTGAATGTCTAAGTAAAATCATATGAATTGATTTAAAGAATTAAAACGTTTTTTACTTCCACCTTAATATCTGATTGAAATTTGTCCCAACAATTTTGAGAAAGAACATTAAAGTATTACAGAATACAGACGCTTACCTAAGTGGTTGGTTGCCATAACATACTCAAGCCCTTCACTGGTACATCTCCTGCTGAGGTCTTTGAAATTAGGTGCCATACCTGCATTATTGATCAGGACATGTAGTCTCCTTTTCTTTTTGGTAAAGATTTTCACAAATTCCTTCACTGACTGCATACTGGACAGATCCAGCTGAAAACAAAGTTCAGCTCTTACTAGTATAGGTAGTACTAGTACTAGTATAGGTTGGAATGGAATAATATTTGTAAAATAAATTCTTGTACAGTATCACATAACTTCTATCTAGAGGGACCATACAAATATGAAAAACTGGTCATAATATATTTTCATATTCTAAAATCAAAGTTAAAGCAAAATACTAGTAATACAGTTATTTTAGTTATAGAAAAATATTAAAACTAACATTAAATTCAAACACTATATGTTTGCATGAAATCAATTGTAAGATTTAGCCTTTGAGTAAACCTAAAGAAGATGGCCAATATTGTGATCAAAACACTGCACAGTTACTTTCAAGCACGAAGGTCAAAATTTGTTTTTCATTGTAGGCTTCATGAATATTACCCACCTCCATGAACTCAATTAAAGCATTTGGCCATTTTGCTTGTATCCTAGCACAGGCTTCATCTCCCTTCTCTCTATCTCTGCAGGTTATGACAATATCATGGCCTCCCTCAGCTAGGTGCCTTGCAGTCTCAAATCCAATACCAGATGTCCCCCCAGTGATGAGAATAACACGACCAGACATGATCACCTGAAAAATACAATACAATGTACTTGTATGTTTAAACGTTAAGGCAATGATCAGAAATGCAACTTTACTTCTGTTGATATACTTTGAGTTGAATATTGATGAATAGGAGAACATATCAATATTATTATGATCTTAGATAAAAATCAAACTAGAAAATGGCAACTCCAAGGAGTAGTGATTCCAATACCAGATGCATAAGTAATACCTTCAGGGGTTTTAAAGATATCCATCATGGGTGACCAAAATTAAGCTGAAATCAATGGATCGCATGAGTTTTCCCTAACAAGGGAAATATTGTTTTCCACTTTATCTAAGAGGAATTACTTATTCCTTTAAAGGGGTTAACCTTGTCTCAAAACGCGACATATTGATGCAATAAAAATTGAAAAAGCAGGCTAGGAAGGGGTTGAAAATCAGAACAACATTTCAGAAAAACATGTGGGTGGGTTGTTTGCATCTTCCCTGTCTCAAAGTCGAAATTATTTTATCATATCTATAAGTGCTTTTCCTGGAGGTAATGCATTGGTCTAACATATGCACCTGTTTAAATCCTCAGAAAATAGCCAAAATCCAACATATGACAAATCTGTTGCGATACTTCCCCCCCTCCTTTCAAACAATAATACTCATTACTTTGGTTAGAAATGAAAGATTTAGATATTCGCAAAAATTTCAGGCAATTTTTAAAGCGGTGGCCATCTTGAAAAAATATCTTTTGTGTACAACCATTTACCAATATCCATCTTTCCACCAAATATGAGGAAAATCCATCCACTAGTATTTAGTTATTTGCAGACAGACGGACAGACTGACTGATGGATGGACGGACTGATGGATTAACAGACAGAGGGCTGCACTATATCCCTACCAAACTTTGCTCGATGGGATAATAACTGCTTTCAGGACTGATTCTATGCCTCTCATAATGTTTACTAGATGAAACCAGTGATCTCCCCAGCATTAAAGCAAGTGGGCGCAGCACCCACCTGAGATTTTGAAAATAGCATAGCACCCACCTGAAAATCTAATTGCACCCACTTGAAAATGAGAAAAATTATGGAAAAAGGACATATTTTGACCAATTTTGGTCTGAATTGTGAAAATAAGAATTTTGCACCCACCTGAGAAAAAATCCTGGGGAGATCACTGGAAACACTAATTTGCTTAAAGTTATGGATTGTTTTATTCTTGGAAGGTAACTTTTTTTTACAGTATATGAGGAGCATAACATTGAATCTGATTCTCCGAGAGCGTAATTACTGTACAGTAAAATTTTAAATGTTTGGAACTACTTTGAATTTAAAAAATAAGCAATCAATCAAACCCAGATAATTGTGGATTCAACTACACGAAAAGAATACTAAAATACCCAGGAATCTATTGAAGTAGGTATCTTAAGTGTAAGAGGCGTAGAAAATTCTCCCATGTTGTAATCGTACAGGCAAAAGATTGAGACATTCTCAGGACTATAGTCCTGGTACAGGATAAATCAAAATATAAGAGCCCACAGATATGATAGCTAAAGTACAAAACAAACTAAAATATACAAAAGTTAGGACATGTATAAATGTTTCTACTTTTACAGGTTTTAAATTATATTCTATTCAAATTCTATCACTGTAAATTTTATCTGCTTTACATGGGCTTTTTAGCCTTTTGCAGATTATAAAATAATAAAGGGTACATTTCAAACTAAACAGAGTGCTCCAACCAAAAATAATTTGCCTACATACCCCTGAGACTCTTATCTGATAGATAGAATGCACAAATTAAACAAAAGTTTTGCTATTATAGGTAAAATACGGAAAGCGAAAGGGGATATACCGCAGAATTTAAAATTCAATGGAGTTTTAACATGGGAGTGATATCACACACCACGGCCAAGTCAGATAGATTTCTGCGCACTTTATTTATTTAATTCACTTTGCACAACGCGCCCCCTGTATTCATTCAGTGCGTTCAATATCGCGCTGAAGCTTGTATATGCTGGCGCGATGGAAATATAGTTTTCTGTTAATAAATGCCCAACAAGAAAGGGTAGCACAACGAATTCAACTTTTTTTCGAAAGACTGCAGACTTGACCCGCGAAATTGTAATTTTGGATCACAGAGATGCCTCTAGAGAGGATATCTATGAGAATTACAGATTATAGTGCGCAGAATTATAAAGTCAAACTGACCTCAAAATGGTAGTACACAGTGTACACTGCCATCTTTCAATAAAGTGTGTACTACACACCTTCGTATACAAAATACCAGAATGATTGATGTAATACCTGTATACCATTTCTTCTGGGAGAAGGAAAGTTCCTATATGTATTCCAGGGCCGTAGCCAGGGGGCCTCACCCCCCTCCCCCTTGCCAAATATTCGTTCAAAGTCATGCAGTTTTTCACCATTCTTAGCACTTTTCGCATGATTTTTTTGCAAAAACTGTCAAAAAGCTCCCCCCCTCTTGGCAAAATCTCCCCCTTGGTAAAACCACTCCCCCAGGTTAATCCAGGATACGGGTCTGTATTCTTAGATGAGATTGTTTAAGAACGTAAGGTAGACATAAGTGCCACCTGTTAAAAGCTAGGAGATCTTTTCTAAGTTATTAAGTCATCAATCAGCAGACTGGTAATTGTATCCCCCACCCACTTCAAACTCCATACACTAACATACTATTACAATTTAAAATTAATTTTATCTGTGTTTATTTGACTGTAGAAGGTGTACATTCATAGCATTGAATTGCATTTCATTGCATTGTATTGTATTGTATTGTATAGCACATCATTGTATTGTATTGCACTGCGTTGTATTTTATTGCAGTATATTGTACTGTATTGCACTGTATTATATTATATTGCACTGCATTGTACTTTATTGCACTGCATTGTATTGTACTGCAGTGTACTACATTGTATTGCACTACATTGTATTGTATTGTACTGCATTATAATGTATTGCACTGCACCACATTGTACTACACTGCATTGTTTTGTATTGCACTACAATATATTGCACTGCACCATATTGTATTGCACTGCATTGCACTGCACTGCATTGTATTATATTGCACTGTATTATATTGCACAGTATTGTTTTGCATTGTCTTGAATTACACTGCATTTTATTACACTTCATTGTATTTTATTGCACTGCATTGTATTGTACTGCAGTGTACTGTATTGTATTGCACTGCATTGTATTGTATTGCACTGTATTGTATTGCATTGTATTGAATTGCACTGTATTTTATTTCATTGCACTGCATTGCACTACATTGTATTGAACTGCGATGTATTGTATTGCACTGCATTGTATTGCACTGTACCACATTGTATTGTACTGCATTGTATTGAAATGAACTTCATTGTATTGCACTGCACGACATTGTTTTGCATTGTATTGCATTGCACTGCATTGTATTGCATTATATTGCACTGTATTATATTGCATCGTATTGCACTGCATTTTATTGTATTATATTGCACTACATTGTATTGTATCATATTGCACTGCATTTTTTGCATCATATTACACTGCTTTGTATTGCATCATATTACACTACATTGTATTGCATCATATTGCACTGCATTGTATAGCATCATATTGCTCTGCATTGTATTGCATCATATTGCACCGCATTGTATTACATCATATTGCACCACATTGTATTGCATCATATTGCACTGCATTGTATTACATTATATTGCACTGCATTGTATTGCATCATGTTCCGTATTTACCATTTCAGTTACAGTTTTATTACATAAAATGTTATTTATAAGATTATAATTTTCAAACATTGAAAATGTTTTATACAATGTCACTTCAAAGATATGAAATGGCCCAAAATAATATATTTTCAATGGAACCCTTTCACCCTATGCAGACAGAGCCTGTGGGAAATATTGGGTGCGGAGCAAATGAGCGGAGGGTGCGGAGCTAACGGTTATTTTTGAATTTAAATTTGGGATATTTCTGAAACTAAGCCGTTTTGCACAGTCAGAGAGAATGTTTCTGGCGAAATTCTGGGACTTCAAATACTTTTAAGTTGGGAAACCGGAAGTGCTTACCTTCTTTAATTCCCGAATCTCTCCGAAATTAGCTCATCTTGGTGACTGTAAATTGCACAGCTGTATTCAATGGAGTCTTGTCATATTCGATCAGCCTCAATTTTAAAGTGTATATTTTATTTTCAACGTGATTTCATCGTTTTTTGTCGACTGGTAAGAAAACGCCGGGCAAATGGCAAGATGGATGACTTTTGACCTGACCTTGACCGATGGTGATCACGTCATCAATATTACCAAGATGGCGGTTTCAAAATTTTCTAAAATCGCTTCAAATAATATTATGTTAATTCCTAGCGAGTAAAGATATCTCTTAGTTTGCTATTTCACAATAAGATAACGAAATGTGTAAGGAATTCGTATTTATCAATTAAAACATCACATCGACATTTGGTATTCGTAAACTAGACGATGAAGATAACGACCTCGAAAAAAAACAAAAGAGCGAGTATTTAAGCGACGCAGTGTGCCTTAAACCTTTCCTAGACCTATATATTTTGAAATTATCCTTTTAATACTGAGTCCCCAGCATTCATAAAAAATGGTGTTCAAGGTGCACTATCTATACAAATTATTTTTGCATCTTGGAAGCCAGGCAGTATCTGTGTGATTTTATAAAAATTCGGAAATTTTTTCAGATATGAGCCCCCTCTAAATATTGGGTGCGGAGCAGCTCCATAAACGTAGCTCCGCACCCATCATTTTTTCATTGCGCACTGAATGCCGGAATTTCTGCGCACTTTTTTAATTAACTGCACAACGCGGCCCCTGTAATTCATTCAGTGCGCGATAAAATCTATCTGACTGGGCCGCGGTGTGTGATACCACTCCCATGTTAAAACTCTATTCGATTTTGAATTATGCGCAGGTCCCCTATCGCTTTCCGTAGTAAAAAGTTCTCTTAAAATTTCGAAGTGATTTTACCTGTTAATTCTGTCATTGGTCCACCATTTTAGCGGATGTTACACTGAAACGCAAACTCCATGAAACAAAACGAAATCAGTAGAAAAAAACCATGGCACACATCGTGTGCATGCGCAGCAAAGTTTAAACCAATCAGATTATTTGATTATTTGATTATTTTGCCCACAAGAAGTATTTGCTTCTGAGCACTTACCATAAAAGCTGACCACAATAAACAAACCTGGCAGAGATTTCCCTTACTTCATTTTAGCGAAATTTCAGCTCAAACTCGTGACAAATGCATTATGCATACGCTGGTATGAAGCCTTGGTGACACTCATTTTGGTAAATATTACAGTGTATACTTTTCTGCAGTTTGTGGGAGTTTGGGACATAATGTTAAAATTCAAGAAAATATGCCAAATATACGGCTTATCAATTAATTTGTATCATATTCCTTACTGTTTGCATGGGCTCTACCACCTGATAGAGCCCATAGATAGAGCCCATGCTGTTTGCTAGGCCCATATACAGAGCTGTCAAGTGTCCCGCGAATGGCGGGATTATCCCGCGAATTTGATCAAAATTAGGCTAATTCGCGTGTCCCGCAATGTCCCGCGAAGTCCCGCAAATGTGGTTTTGACCTCCGCGAATTTCCGAAATTGTTGCAATCCCCTATATTGTGATTATCTTATCTTATATAAGAAGCCAAGTTTTTGCACTTTTGAGGAGTAAAGTTTACCTAATTTTAAGTACCTAGCATGCTGTTGTTTGGTATCAAAATAAAGAGGAAGGGTTCAACTTTCATTTTAATTACGAAAATAGGGATGTAGGTCAAAAATAGTTCTAACGTTGGCCTTTTTACTATCCGTGTGGCCTTCATCTCAGAACTGAGCAAATGTTAGCAAACGCGAGTTACAATAAATGGACGCTGATATCTAGAAATGGTTTGTAGAAAAACCGGGTACCGGGTAGTAAATCCTCCATGCTGGGTTCAAACTTGGTTTCCGGTATCCGGTCAAAAAACGGGTACCCAAAAAACGAAAAATACGAATATATAACATACATGTAATTAGATTATGAGAAAACGTGTAAGATTTGTTTTGAATTCACAAAAATGTATTATCCTTCAAAATTGAGCTAGAAGCTTCAAATAAAAAGCATATTTAAGGCTCTTTTCTTCCTCTATGTCATGGCCATATTTTCATTGGTTATGGGGGGGGGGGGTGCGATCGCACCATCGCACCATCTCCTGGCTACACCTATGACATTGTAAGACATAACAATTTACAATTCAGTGGACATTTTGTCGAAAATTGGGATAACTTAAATTATGATTAATAATCAAAATCATGTAAATTAACACACGTCACCTCCCTGCTAAAGCAACGATACAGCTGTAGCTATTTACAGATTTAAATCATAATCAAAACAATTCACGTACCAACAAACGAACTATTGAAAATAGAGTAAGATTGATTTGTCTTGTTTTTCAAATCGTCTTACAATGTCATTGGCGTAGCCAGGAGGGGGTGCGATCGCACCCCCCCCCTTCATTACCAATGGAAATATGACCATGATGATAGAGGACGAAAAGAGCCTTAAAAATGCTTTTTTTGAAGCTTCTAGCTCAATTTTGAAGGAAGTTACATACATTTTTGTAAATTCAAAACAAATCTTACACGTTTTCTAATGATCTAATTATGTTGTATATTCGTATATTTCGTTTTTTGGGTACCCGTTTTTTTTGACCGGGTACCAAGTTTGAACCCAGCATGGAGGATTTACTACCCGCTACCCGTTTTTTTCTACAAACCCTATCTAGAAAAGTAACCCCATTCCCTATAATTTGATGTAGATTAATCGAACCCCTATATCATGGGCTTTCATGATCAATTGAAAGAAAATGCCTACAGTATATGAATAGGTACATTTTAATATATAACATTATGGGGGTAAGCGTTTCATAGTTGTTCACGATGCAAGAAATGCAAAGTATTGTTCCGAATTTTTGAATTTCGTGTTAGATTACGGTACTCACACCTGAAGCATGAAGCATAAAGTTTAATAATATTCCTATACGTATTTTGTGAAATTGTGTTGACGTTTATTTAAGTTACAATACAACGGTGCATTGTATTTGATTAATCAGTATTTGGAAGTTTGATTTAAGTACTTTTACTCGCTTCTACATTAGTCCCAATCACGCAAATCCTTGAATGTCCCGGGACATCCTGCAAATTTAGGTGAATGTCCCGCGAAATCCCGCAAATTTAGGGCACTTTGTCTAAAAAATCTGTCCCTCTATCAAGTTTTTGGCGTTAAACCTGTTAACTATCCCGCAATTAGGGTGTTTGCAGGGGTTTCAATAAATATTTTTTCAACAGGCCTTCGGCAATTTCAACAGGCTGAATTTTTTTTGACCATTCGGCGCTCGCTTCGCTCGCATTCTCGTTCATATTTGGAGTTAAATATTACCCCTTGAACTTCCTCACTGTGACATAAAACGGTAAAATCAGTATTTTCTTGTCACTTTAATACAAACTGTATATGACCAATAGATCTATTTGACTTGTTCATTACTTTATGTGTTTTTTAAATGTTGACTCGTGTAAATTAATAAACTCAATATTTCTGACACATTATTAATCTCAATGAAATATAAAGATAACATTCAATAGTTTGATATGCATTTTTGACTTGTAATATTTTATTTTATTTCAAATGTTGCCCTTTGTGCTTCCTCACTATGATGTAAGATAATGCCAAGAAGATCAATTGTATTGATTATACTGTTTGTTTTCAAGTATAATATAGTTTCCATTGAAAGTTGACAGGACAGTGATAAAGGTTTTTTGCTACTGACCCATTAGTCTCAAAGCAATGTTGGTTTGAGAGTAGGTCAATAAAAATGGTGGCCGGATTACAGTAAGATAATTATCTCAGTGTTTCTCTAAAACACTGCTGATTATCTGCCTACTATACTTAGATTTTGCCTTCACAAGGTAGGCCAATTTATATTCTTTAATTTGATATGTCAAACTAAATTGATTTGTCTCATGTGTCAGCAAATTCTCTCATCATTTGGACCGGCAATTTTTTCTCAATTTTTTTTCTCTCAAAATTTTGAACCGGCGTTACTGGGATTTGAAGCGGCGTTTTCGCCGCCCGCCGGCTGTTATTGAAACCCCAGTGTTTGTCCCTCGAATGGTCCCGCGAAATCCCGCGAATTTGAGTAAAAAAGTTGGCCTATTAGCGCAATCACGCAAATCCCTTAAATGTCCCGCGAAATCCCGCGAATTTAGTAGATGTCCCGCAAAATCCCGCGAATTTTGGGCACTGGGTCTAAAAAATCTGTCCCGCGAGAAAATCTTTAGGGGTTGACAGTACTGCATATAGGTCCATGCTAGGCCTAAGTAAAATGAAAAATTGCAAAACTTTACAGATTATAAGATTATAAGATTATAAGTGAATTACGATTTATAGGCATGCTTGCCTGTTAATCGATCATTGCAAGGACCTCATTGTCCTTAGATTGTTGCATAAAAAGTTAAAAAGTCAAGTTTCCCCAACTACACCTATGTACATAGCCATAATCAACTTTCTCTTTACTTACCAAGTTATGTGAGCTAGATCTTGCTGATGTATGATGTTACATCAATCACTGTTATGACGATCTAAATGCCAGTATTAATAATAGCAAATCAAATTCTAAATCAATGACAAAATATCAAGTTCTGAATATTTTAATTTTATCAATTTTTTCAAACGGAAGTTAATTAAACTACGCCATCTAGCGAGGAGAAAAATTTGGAACAAAATTGCAACCATAATCTTGAGACCTTGCAACTACTATAACTTGATAATATTGACATTGTAGCATCGTTCAAAGTGTTATTATGTAACAGTTATATTAAGAATTGCAACTTGACTTTCTGGAGTTCTAGTTCATTTTTAGAACAGTAGCCCAGGAACTTATTACAATTTTAGAAAATTTGCGTTTTTATATTTTTGACACAATTTGGCATTTGGAGAGTACCTGGATGAACTCAAGGCAAAGAAACCACCGAGGGTCCAGAGATTGAGAATAGTCTAAGGTAAAACAGTTTGGAAACTCCCAGAAAGAAACTTCCGAAAGTGATAATAATTCACAGGTCTTTCAGGAATAAGGTTACTCTACTGAGCTTCAGAGGCTATTGAGCCAGCTGTGTTCAGTAAAAGTACTCACACGGCAGTGATCTCATTCTCACAAAATGAATGGAACAGCGTTTTGGCCCCCATCTGTGAGAAGCGCTTCCTACAACTGGGGACCCAAAACCGCTAAAAAGAGGGACTCTATTTAACAGAATAATGGAGACCATGTCTGTTGCAAAACTTATGCCTGGCACAACCGTCACCCTGTTATTAAGTTGCGCAAGGATCCTGCCATGAATGTGGTAGTGTTATCGTGAAAGCCTGGTATAACCGTGACAATGCTATCAGGGGCGGATCCAGGATTTTGTGTTAGAGGGGGCGTGTGATAATAACTGTGAGCGAAGAGTCAAATTTTGTAAAAAGCGATGAGGCAAAACACAAATTTTCTGACTTTTTAGGGGTGTGTCCACCCCCCACGCCCCCGTCTAGATCCGCTGGTGGCTATAGTCGGAGACATTAATAAACTTCAACCATCAAAAGTTCTCACAATGAGCTAAATTCTAAGTTTCATGTCTCAAACTCTCAAGCGGTAGAAAAATAATTCTCGTTCACTCTAAGTAGCACAATAAATGAATCCAATGCTTCATACTTGCAAATGATGGATAAATTCCTACCAAATCGAACAAATGATTTCATGAATTGCCATGTTTGTGATCCAAGGAGGATTGACTCCCAGAATGCAACATCAGTTAACCTTATTTACTCATGACAGGTTTCAAAATGGCGGAACGGCATTTTGAAAGCTGTCACGTGTCATGTTGCATTTTGGGAGCCAATCCTCCTTGCCGCGTAATTGGGCTCCAAAATCACCTCAATATTTGAAGAGTCGGCATTAACATGTGAATGTCACTTCAAATTTTTAAGTTTCTAGTTGTCATTATGGACACAAATTCCACTATATTTGTACGTTCTGGTACAGAAAAAATATAGCACTCAATACACTGAGGTAAGAATTTATGACATATGTGACAGAATGTCTTTTTCATAGTGTTAGTCATTATTTATGTTCACCACTTTTATTATGTCCCCACCACATAGTGTGGGGCCATATTGTCGGCCTAGGCGCGTTTGGTAGATCAATTTCAAATTTTCAGGGATGATTCTTAGTATGAAAATGTAGATTTGATTAGTTTTTTGGCATTCTGGGCAAATATCAAGGCAGCCATTTTGGATTTTCCATCCTAAAATCTTGTCTGTAAAGTCTTGTTTACGCATTTCTGGTTTACTGTTTGACGGATCAATCTCAAATTTTCAGGGTTGGTTCTTAGTATGAAAATCTAGAGCTGACTAATTTTTGGGCATTCTGGGTAAATTTTAAGGTGGCCATTTTGCATTTTCCGTCTCACAATTGTAATGGTAAAGTCTTGTAAAGTCATTGGTGGGGACATATTGTACACATTTGTGTTCTTGTATTATATTGCAAGGCCTGTCATCTCATGACCATGGTAATGTTAAAAGTGCAGCAAGTAGTACAGAGGGGCCATTCAACGATCATGGACCAGTGTCAAAATATATTTAAGTTTGGATATTTCATCAAGACTAACATCTATTTTTATTTTCTGCAAAGAAACCCCTTAGATAATCATTATTTCAGCTTATATTCCTCTTGAAACATGGGGGATCTTAAAAATATAAAAGTGGACGTCCCCTTTTTTTGAAGCTTTGAACTGATTTTACACTTTTTAATGCTGAAATTGATAGTTTATCCATACATTTTAAGAAAATGGGTATGTCGAAGAAGATGTTAAGCCAACTGTTGCCTTGATAGCTCAGAAAAAGTTAAAATTTTCCTATTTTCTATCTACAAGCCTTATTGCCCCTTTAAAGTCTGATATGACCGTAACAATGCTATATTATATCGCAAGGCCTGTCATAACCGTGGTAATGTTAAAGCCTGATATGAGCGTGACAATGGTTGCAAGGCCTGTCATAACCGTGGTAATGTTAAAGCCTGATATAACCGTGACAATGTTTACATTCTTGAATGAGATTAGAATTATAGTTTGCGGAAATGAATTACTAGTTAAATGAATCTAAAATTTTATGTATCAACGTACGTGAGTACCATGTACATGTATAGTAGTCTGGATTTTCATATTTAAGGTAATTAAACAATGAATTTTTCATGACAGTATTGTCTTGCTACTAAATGTAATTTGATATAACCATTGTCACGGTCATATCATGCTTTAACATTACCACGGTCATGACAGACCTTACAACCATTGTCACAGTCATATCAGCTGGCTTTAACATTACCACATTCATGACAGACCTTACAACCATTGTCACAGTCATATCATCTGGCTTTAACATTACCACATTCATGACAGACCTTACAACCATTGTCACAGTCATATCAGACTTTAACATTACCACATTCATGACAGACCTTACAACCATTGTCACAGTCATATCAGGCTTTAACATTACCACATTCATGACAGACCTTACAACCATTGTCACAGTCATATCAGGCTTTAACATTACCACATTCATGACAGACCTTACAACCATTGTCACAGTCATATCAGGCTTTAACATTTACCACATTCATGACAGACCTTACAACCATTGTCACAGTCATATCAGGCTTTAACATTACCACATTCATGACAGACCTTACAACCATTGTCACGGTCATATCAGGCTTTAACATTACCAAAGTCATGACATGCCTTGCAATATAATATAGCATTGTCACGGTCACATCATGCTTTAACATTACCACGGTCATGACAGGCCTTGCAATATAATATAGCATTGTCACGGTTATATCAGGCTTTCCCAATAACACTACCACGGTCATGGCAGGATCTTTGGGAAACTTAAAAACACTTAATAACATGGTAACGGTTGTGCAAGGCATAAGTCTTGCAATAGCAGGCCTGTCAACTGTCCCGCAATTTGCGTATTTGTCACGCATTTGCTGAAGAATTTGAAGTCACGCCAGTTATTTTTGCGTGACAGAAAATGTCACGCAAATACGCAATTTACCTGGTAATTGTCAAGCAAAAATATTTCTGTAGAAAAATTTCTAAAAAAGATCGTCTACACAGCAAAAATACGAACGGCGGAAAAAAATGTACGCATTTCGTTCGGACTTTCCACGCGAATTACGTATATGTCACGCATTCCGTTCGAAATATTTCGTACCTATTCCCCCCCCCCCCCCCCCCCCCCCCCCCCCCCCCCGTTGATGAATGTTTGAAACGCGAGCGTAGCGAGCGCGAAAAATTTGAGGTGTTCAAAATTTGGCAAGATGTAATGAAATTTAAACCAAGGTGTTCAGAATTTGGATCAAGGTGTTCAGATTTGAACCAAGGTGTCCACATTTTGAGGGGAGGTGTTCAACATTTCCAAGTCACTCATGTTAGGTGTTCCCAAGTTGACAGGCCTGCAATAGATAGCATGTAGAATAATATACCAATAGAAAGGTCTTTTTGTTTTGCTTTATGGAACAAGTTTGAAGAAAAATGGTGCAGTATGAGACTCACAATCCTTGATTTTCAAACATCTGGTAGGTCTAAAATTCAATAACAGTTTTCAATGTGCATAAGGTTTCTTCTCCCATATACTCATATATAAAAAAACCTTCAAATATGAACACCTGCTAATTCAAACACTTTGACTGGTTCAAGTGGTGTTCAGATTAGACAGGTTTTATTGTAGGTAATACAGTGTACATAACAGTTTTGTCAAATATCTGTTACCATGGCAACAAATTGTCAGTTTGATTTGTAACTTTATGATTTAATCTTGGCAATGAATAATCATTTATTATTATGTCCTCACCACATAGTGTGGGGCCATATTGTCGGCCTAGGCGCGTCCGTCCGTCCGTCTGTCCGTCCGTCTGTCCTTCCGTCCGTCTGTCCGTCCGTACGTCCGGGAGTTTTCTCCAAAACCGCTACAGATATCACCTTCAAATTTTCAGGGATAACTTATGAGTGCATACAGATGTGGATGAAAAAAAATTAACTCGATACCTACTTCCTGTCGGCCATTTTGAAGTCAAATGCTAAAATCCTTGTCTGCAAACTTTAAGAAAAACGGCTTCACAGTTGCTTTTAAAACTTTAACATCTTGTTCAGCTCACTTCATTCTAGATCTGATTAGGTTTTGGACCTGTTAGCTCAGTCATGTCAGCCATTTTGAATGTCTTAAGAAAAGTTAAGAGCACGATAATACTTTGTATCATATTGAATGGTGTTTTTGAGTTTTCATATTCTAACTATTTAGAAGCTTTATAAATAATTTCAGATGTACTTTGTTGTTAAAGCCTATGTTGTTGTTAACAGTATTTATATGTGATAATTTTGTAAAAAGAAATCAGCAAAAACTCATGATCACTTTTTTATTGTCAGCCATTTTGAATTTTTCCGTCCTAAAATCTTGTCTGTGGAGTCTTGTCTACGTGTTTTCAGGTGAACCGTTTGGTGGATCAATTCTTGATTTTCAGGGATGATTCTTAGTATAAATCTAGATCTGATTAGTTTTTTGGCATTCTGGGTAAATGTCAAGGCAGCCATTTTGGATTTTCCGTCCTAAAATCTTGTCTGTAAAGTCTTGTCTACGCGTTTTCAGGTGAACTGTTTGGTAGATCAATTTCAATTTTTCAGGGATGATCCTTAATATGAAAATGTACAACTGATTAGTTTTTTGGCATTCTGGGTAATTGTCAAGGCAGCCATTTTGGATTTTCCGTCCTAAAATATTGTCTGTAAAGTCTTGTCTACGCATTTCCAGGTGAACAGTTCTGTAGATCAATTTCAAATTTTCAGGGATGATTCTTAGAATGAAAACCTAGATCTGATTAGTATTTGGGCATTCTGGGTAAATGCCAAGGCAGCCATTTTGGATTTTCCGTCCTAAAATCTTGTCTGTAGAGTTTTGTCTACGCATTTCCCGGTGAACCGTTTGGTAGATCAATTTCAAATTTTCAGGTATGATTCTTAATATGAAAATCTAGATCTGATCAGTTTTTTGGCATTCTGGATAAATGTCAAGGCAGCCATTTTGGATTTTCCGTCTTAAAATCCTGCCTGTAAAGTCTTGTCTATGCGTTTTTAGGTGAACCGTTTTGTAGATCAATTTCAAATTTTCAGGGATGATTCTTAGTATGAAAATCTAGATCTGATTAGTTTTTTGGCATTCTGGATAAATGCCAAGGCAGCCATTTTGGATTTTCCGTCTTAAAATCCTGCCCGTAAAGTCTTGTCTACGCGTTTTTAGGTGAACCGTTTTGTAGATCAATTTCAAATTTTCAGGGATGATTCTTAGTATGAAAATCTAGATCTGATTAGTTTTTTGGCATTCTAGGTAAATTTTAAGGTGGCCATTTTGGATTTTCCGTCATCAAATTGTGTCGGTAAAGTCTTGTCTACTCATTTTTAGGATAACCATTTGACAGGATCACCCATAGGTGGGGACATTTTGTACACATTTGTGTTCTTGTTAGTTTTTATGATGGTCTCGGGTACAACCAGACAAGGACATTTTCTCAATCCACACTATATGTTGACTTGTCTATTTTTTAGGGTGAAAATGTTCGTCTTGAGAAACTATATTGTTTTACTCCCTGGAGAACTTGGAGAAGCTAACCAAGAATACCAATACTTCTGGAGGAACAAAAACTTGCCATAACATGCCTAGTCTCTCTGTTATAACATCCTAATCATAAAAACATTCTCTGAGAGGAGACACTTTTCCACTGCTGTATCAGAAGTGGATGTAACCTAGGCAACCATGGGAGTCAGGTCTAGCAAGGTGAAACAGAATGAACTCTATGATGCACTCCTGGAGAGAGACATTGAGGCTATATCCACACTAATGGCAGATGGAGTCAATCCAAACTTCATACTAAAGAATACACGTGAGTGGAATAGATATTATTGTATTTTGACTTTATCTAATACTAAGTGTTGAGGCATATGAGCCAAATAAGGAAACAGGAGTATAAAAATCTGACAAAAAACTGTTAGAACACTAACATAATACACTATGCATTATATTTCTTTCAGTTCATCCAATAGAAGATGGTGGTTTAGATGAACATGATGGTATGACTCCATTGATATTCACAATACACACTCACCATGTGAATATGACCAGGTAAACTCATTGAGCCCTATGGACAAAGACAGTATGTAGGTACACTATGTATTTCCTAACAAGGGTATTTAAGGGGAGAGGTCATGTTCACACCTTCCGACTGTCCCGCAATTTCCTGATTATTGTCAAACAAAACTATTTCTGTAGAAAAACATCAAAAAATGATCGCCGATATAGCAAAAAAACAAACGCCAAAAAATGAACGCATTTCGTTCTGACTTTTCACCGGATACCGGATATGTCACACATTTTCCTCAAAATATTTCGTACCTACCCCCCTAAAGGTGTTCAACATTTGTAAGTCACTCATGTTAGGTGTTCCCAAGTTGACAGGCCTTCATGTTTTAACTAACTTTTAGAAGAAAACATGCCACAGACCACATTTATTATTGCCTTTGGTGAATTTGTGTGACATCAAGACTTTTAAAAGGCATTTGAATGTAAAATAGAATCAATAATTTCGAGACCAAAAAACCTAATATGGATGATAAAGATCAAGAAATAGTATAGAGAGTGCCCCACAATATACACATTTTTATTAACATTGTAGATTGTTGCTTGAAAATGGTGCAAAAGTTGACTATGCCAGTTCTGTAATGTATGAGCGCAGTACAAACATTAATTTACCAATACATAAAGCTGTTGAAGAGAACCAGACCCACATTCTGGAAATGTTGATTAATCATGGTGCAGATGTAAATTCCCAGACCAGGATTAGGCTGTACACACCATTACATGTGATTTGTAGGCAGCATCATGAGCGGTACAACAGAAAACAGCAACGTAAGGCTAATACAATATTATACATGTAGGTTTTGCTATGTACCTAAATTGTTGCTGGTCTTGTTGATATTACACATAGGCATTGTTAAGACCTTTACCCAATTTATTGGTTTGATACAGCAAGATGGAATGTAGGATCCCAAATCAATTTTACTCTGTTCAAGCCCCGAATGCAAGATTATCTACATTGTCCTTTTTCAATTTGTAATCAAACAATTTTTGTTCTTTCACCACCAACTTTAGTTAATTCAGCATCAGCTTTTGTTAATTCACAATCAGCTTTTGTTAATTCACCATCAGCTTTTGTTAATTCACCATCAGCTATATTACTTTAAATTCAGATGATGTAAAGTGGACGGTACATGGGTTACTAGCTAATGGTGCAGATGTGAATCTGGAGGACAAGTTTGGCAGCATCCCCTTACACTATGCTGTACAGGTAACTGACTCCTAATACTACTGTAGGTATCTTATCCTTAACACTACACTTAGTATGGTATAATCTCTCCACTAATCCACTTGCAAGATTGGTGACCCTTGGTATAACAACAGAGCAAACCATTATAGGAAGTAAAAGGCAAACATTTAACACAGATCTTTGATTATTTGAGTTTAATTCTCACCGGAATTCTTTATTTCAGAAACAGAAAACCGAGCTCATTGAGACACTCTTAGATGCAGGAAGTGACATCACTCATGAGAATCTGCTAGGAATGACGCCAATCATGAACCTTTTACGCTACAAACCAGAAGGAACATATTATACTTTGCAGAAGCTAATAAATCGAGACCCATCTTCAGTTAGACGTGTTTCTAAATCTGGTGAGACATTACTCAGCGCCCTGCTACTTAATCCTAGTCACCATCACCCTTGTAGACACACATTTACCTATGATATGTATGAGAATTCTGAAAAAGATGGGCCGTATAGATGTTTGGAGTATTTGTTAGATAGTGGAGCAGATGCCAATGAGGTATATGAGATTGGATTGACTCCTTTATGGATGGCTATTTTGGAGAATAATCAGCCAAATATGATCAAATGTTTAGTTGTTCACCATGCTAATATAGACTATACATTTAATAAGCTCTGCTCTAATGCGGGGATCATGCTAACAATGACACCACTTATGTATTGTCTGGACACAAGCGATTTTGCAACCGCAAAGTTTCTTATTGAATCTGGTGCTGACACAAGTTATTTCTGGCAGTGTAATGTCCTCACAAATCAGCTGAGGAGACACTTCAACGCATATTTAATGCAGAAATATCTTGATGAAGAGGCAGCGATGATAAAATCTCTTCAACTACTATGTAGAGCAAAAATAAGGAGATGTCTTGGGAAGAATTTGAAGAATGTGTTTAAGTTGCAATTCCCTAAAAGACTCCAAACTTACATATTTAACAATTTCTCAATACCAATAAAGCATAATAAAGAGTCTGGAAGTATGTTTGAAAACAATCATTTGTAAAATAATACACAAATGCAAGTTTCGTATCACATTAGAAATCATTAATTAGTTGGTCAACATTTACTTTTCTTTCATTAGATATTAGTTCCAAATTCCTAAGACCCTGAGGATGACAATTATAAGTGTCTTGGTATTTCTAAGGCAACATCTGATGTTAAGCTTTGTACCATAAAACCCCAAAATGTCATATGATGGCAATAAATTATGGCCCAACGAATCTCAATTTCTCCACAAAATAACCTTGATCCTTTTAGTATTCTACTTTAAGGCCAATAAACTTAATCCATTATTTTTTCTTGAAGGGATTACCTTGAAAGGAGCATGTAGGTTATCGCAAACAATTTCAAACGATTCTAACTTAAATTATGAATATTTTCTGATCATGAACATGGGTGTATCTTTTAGTTCCATTCATTATCTTCAAGATAAGTATATATAATGATAATTTAGTTAATCAGACCTAAGTGATATTGAAGGGGCAATGGACCAATCAACATACTTTTTCAAAAATGTTGACCTAATTTTCACCAAAAATGCAACCTATTATTATATTGTTGAATGCATAATTAGAATGTGCTTTGAGACATGTTCGATTTCCTAAAAGGAAAATTTGATTGCTCCAGGAACTTCAAAGATATTCAATTTGGATGACCAAAATGAACTGAAACCAATGGATAGCATGAGATTTTTCAATGTAATAACATGGGGAACACATAATGCAATTAAGTTTTTCTCTCAAGAACTATTTGATACATCAAAATAAAGAATAGTAATGCATTAAACATTGTAAAAAATGATTGCATTTTTGGTGAAAATGGGGTAAACATCTTTGAAAAAGTGTGTTGATGGGTTAATTGCTAGTTAAATATCTCCGAGTTTGTTTGAATTTATTATTACTGTGCATAATTTTCTTTGGGATAATGAATTGATCTAAAAGATACACTTGTCTTCATTGTCAGAAAATAGCTGAGTCATAATCCAAGATATAACCTTCTGAAATTGTTTGCGATAACCCAAGTGCTCCTTTTGATTAGTGCTCCAGAGGTATGTTATACCATGAGCACAATATGTTGATCATCTTATAAGTGAATCTAGCTAGATAAAGTCTTAAATGCAAGCTCTGTGAAATGTTAAACCCACTCCCTTGTGTACATCAAGATGACGGAATGATGGGTCCATTTGTGTTTTCTTGTCGCACTTTAAAAATGGGCTATATTGTCATTTTTGTGCCTATTGTCATCAAAATTCCTTGAAAACCTGTTAAACAGATGCAAGCGCAGACTAGTGCCAGGATTTGGTTAAGTTTTAGGCATGCCAGGTTTCCGAGTGATTTTTAATTTAGTGCCAACAACTGATTAGGTGTTGAACATGCTGGATATATTATTATCACTCTGTGTCTAGTCTTACTTGTAAGACAATTTCCAATATTGCCCTGATCAGAAACAAAGGATTTAGGTCCAATGGCCTAACGAATCCTAAGTAATAATTTTATTTTACTATGCAATACACATACACTGTATTGATAAAAATAACTTTTTATGGTTTATATGTATTTTATTTATATTTGTGCTATGTACAATGTACAGATATATTTATTTAATTTAATAAAGTATTACATTATAGAATACAAAAGTTTAGTTGGTACATATGATTTTAAATAAGTTTCACAGAAGTGTTAAATGGCTATTGTTGCAGAGTTGTCCAAAGTGCTAACTGCCTTTTTAATCTTCGATAACATTTACATATTAAATTGGACACTTAATTACTGATGTGGAGGAACACTGTAAAATGAGGTTTTGCACAAATGAAATGAGTTTTGACATATAAATATTTAATAAATTAAAAATTGTGAGAACATATTTTACAAAACTTACTCAATTTACAGTAATTTTCTACAGTTCCATATGAAATAGAATCAATCTTGTTCAATTTCTATTTCCAAATTTGTATCAACATTGACAGTCCATTATAATTTATTAATGCTAACACGATTCAACTCCTTCCAAAGCTTTGTCCATATCCTCTGCACTGAGTATAATATCATCAAAACTTTCATCCTGGGTTGAAGGCTGGGTACTACATTGTGTACTGGGGGTATTGGGGGTTGCCTTTATGGGCAAAAATGATTTACTCCTTTGACTCTTAGGTGTCTCAGTTGAGCCTAAAAGAATAGAAGTTTCCATAAGTATATTACTATTTATGTGCATAAATTCATTTTTATTCTGAACGACCGACCTGACATCTTTACATAAATCTATAATGTACTTGTATTAGTGAGTTCCGTCATGCGCAGTTAGAAAATTAAAAATTTACCCAAGCCCTCCTACCCTTGTATTATCTATTATGAATCATGCTTCACGAGGGGGCGGTTATTCTAGTACTCAATGTATATGTATTTGAGTTTTACGATTACTTAATAAACCGTTTTAGCCCAGAATATTCTTGTCTAGTTGTATGTTTATAAGTGAAGAGTAAATGTATTATATACAATGATATGTACTTACGAATAGGTATTCTTGAAACCTATCTTTTATGCGCAAGATTCATAGAGATGAAGAATTGCTGAGGTATTTGGGATATCACCCTCTTTGTATTTACTCACCTTCCTTTGATACTCCACTTTCAATCCTCACACTCTCCTCATAGTATTGATTTGGGTGGTTAGGGGAGAAGTCAACCAAGTCATGTTTTGGGTGTGTTACTTCAAAATATTTCCCGCATGCCAGTTGGTAGTGTCCTCTTTTGACAAAGTCACTGATCTGTAATAGATAAATTGAAATTAAAAAGATAAAAAAAAGTGTATTAACCAGAACAACGGCAACGCCAAAGCGTAGCGAATCCCATCGAACAGAAATGGCTGGCATTTTTACAAACAAAATATATAGCAAATATCATAAAACAACACACCACAAAGGCCACCATTTTCAAAATGGCTGCTCACTAGCCAAGTTGTCATCAGAAGAAATAATATGCTTTTAAGAAGCCACCTATAAAATTTTTGAAAAATCGCACACATGGCCCCATTTTAACGTAATTTACTATAACTTGAAAAGTAGTGAAGCGATTTTGTTCATATTTGATTTGTGAATACTCATGAGCCTTGCACACTTGTCTCATGACTATGCTTATAGTATTCACATACCAAATATGAACAAAATCGCTCCACTACTTTTCCAGTTATAGTAAAAACGTTAAAATGGCGGCCATTTTTCAAAATGGCCACCTTCTACCAAAAGTGTCTTTAGACAGTGTGCAATGTTTATAGTATTCACATACCAAATATGAACAAAATCGCTCTACTACTTTTCGAGTTACAGCAAAAATCGTAAAATAACGAGAAAAGGCCGCCGTTTTTCAAGATGGCTGCCATGTGCTTTTTTAATATCTACATTAGTAGCTTTATTAATGTCCTTTTAGTGCTGTCCCCAGCTCTGATTTCGGTGATCGGCTAGTATAAAAGGTTTGAGGGTATCATTTTGTTCCAGACACTCGCTAGAGTAAATTATCTTAACTTGAGTAAAAATGTGTGGTAAGTAAATTCGCTATGGGCAGTTAAAGAGGCGCCATCTATTCATTTTCAAACAGGGGGTAGGGGTATAAAATAATTTTTAACACATTTTAATAGTAAAATGACATTGTAATACTAATAAAATCTTATCAAAAACATTATTTACAATCAGTATGAATTTTCTTGTGTGGATTAGGGTGAAAATAAGGGCATATCTTGAAATTCACTACAGGGGCGCCACCTATTTTCGTACTTCTACCACGTGTAATAACTTATTTTAGATTTGTTAAGGTACGAAATGTACTGAAAAAAATCATTCTAAATGACCTATATATGTTCATACCACATACTTAAAATTGGATCAATAGCTTATTTACCGGGGGAGAAAAAAATTATTGAAATTTAAAGTTGTGGCATCATGCAGGATAGGGGTGACCATATCTCACATGATTAACTTCCAAAATATGGAGCATATGTATCTCAAATGTGGTCAAAATGGTGTATGTACTCTTGCTTTGTCATAATATTACTAATAAGAAGTAGAAAAATGATTGTACAATTTCAAAAAATATTAATTCTCATTTTGGCTTCTGACGTCCCAGGGGTGACCATATCTCACCTTGATAACTTCCAAAATATGGAGCATATGTATCTCAAATGTGCTCGAAATGGTGTATGCACTCTTGCTTTGTCATAATATTACTAATAAGAAGTAAAAAAAAATGATTGTACATTTAAAAAAATATTAATTCTCATTTTGGCTTCTGACGTTCGAGGGGTGACCATATCTCACCTTAATAACTTCCAAAATATGGAGCATTTGTATCTCAAATATGCACAAAATGGTGTATATAGTCTTGTCTTGTCATAATATTACTAATAAGATGTAGGAAAATGATTGCTCATTTTTAAAAATATTAATTCTCATTTTGGCTTCTGACGTCCCAGGGGTGACCATATCTCACCTTAATAACTTCCAAATTATGGAGCATATGTATCTCAAATGTACTCAAAATGGTGTATGTACTCTTGCTTTGTCATAATATTATACTAATAAGAAGTAGGAAAATGATTATACATTTAAAAAATTTTAATTTTAGCTTCTGACGTCCCTGAATAACTTCTAAAATTATGTAACATATACAACTCAAATATACCAAAAATGGGGCATATAGTCTTGCTTTGTCATAATGCTATTCATGAGATGTAAAAAAATTATTACACCTTTTTTTAATTGAAATTTTCATTTTAGCTTCTGAATCTGACATCCCAGGGGCAATTATATCTCACTTTGATATAACTCTCACGATATGCATTATATGCATCTCAAATGCGTGCCCAAAATGGTATAAATATAGTCTTGTTTTGTCATATTTATTGGATTTATGAAATCAGAAGTTCAGAATTTATGGATTTGACTGTCTCCCCTGAAGGGTGCAGCTACATATAGCCCAGAGACAATAAGATCTACTTTCAAATATTTGCATCTTCTCCCCAAACACTCCTTATATTACAGGAACAATGGACGATAAGTCTTTTGCATGCCTTGGATGCAACATCTTTTGTATACTGGTAGCCTATCAGTAGTGTGAGTAGCCTAGCCTCATTTACAAAAATTGGCCCCTTAACCCCAAATCTGACCCGAAATTTTGAAAACATCCTGAAAAATTAGGCCTAAAAGGCGCATTTATGCCCAAACATACACCAAACTGTCCCACTGCTAAATTACAAGGGCGATAAGTCACTTCTAATCCTGATTGACCTTCTCAATGCATGGTTTGTCATGTTGTGCTATATTGTTATTGCCCATTCTCAACAATTGTATTCACTGTATGGCCTACCGTGCCAAGAATAATGCAATTGTTCCAAAAGCTAAGCTCTTCTTTGGGACCCTAGAAGTGTGGGACATCACAATCATAGATTAATATTTCATTACAATCAATGTATGTTGTATGACAAACATGCAAACTAGAGAATGTTAATGTGGCTAGAAAGATTTATCATTACAAAGAGCTCATTTTCCCATATTTTACATACTCAAAATCCCTTAATTCAGTGTATAATCCAAGGTGCATATATTGCAGGCCACAGGATAACATATTAACACCTTACATTAGCAGTTGCCATTACTTCATAAATGGAGTAAAATACTCCCACTATCGACAGGCTAAAAGGATTCCTGTATGGATTACAAAAGATGTTGGGTCCAATGTATGCAAGGGAATAATCTCATCCATTGTACTTGTAAAGGGTGTTTGGGGAGCAGATGCAAATATTTGAAAGCAGATATTATTTGCCCTGAATTATATGTAGCTGTAGAGGAGACAGTCAAAATCCATTGATTCTGATCTGTTGATTTCATGATTCTCAATAAATATGACAAAACAAGACCATTTTGAGCACACATTTGAGATGCATATGTTGCATATCGTGAGAGTTATCAAGGTGAGATAGCCCCTGAGACACCAGAGGCTAAAATTAAAATTTAAAAAAATGCAATCATTTTTCTTCATTTCTTTAGTAATATGAAAAAGACAGGACTTTTCTGAGAATATTTGAGGATTATATGTTACGTATCTTAGAAGATAATTATATGATGCGATATGATTACCCTGGAACGTAAGAAGCTAAAATTAAAATTTTTGAAATGTATAATCACTTTTCTACTTCTTATTAGTAATAGTATGACAAAGCAAGAGTGCATACACCTTTTTGAGTACATTTGAGATACATAATGCTCCATATTTTGGAAGTTATTAATGTGAGATATGGTCGACCCTGGGATGTCAGAAGCCAAAATGAGAATCAATATTATTTTAAATGTACAATTATTTTTTTTTACTTCTTATTAGTAATATTATGACAAAGCAAGAGTACATTCACCATTTTGAGCACATTTGAGATACATATGCTCCATATTTTGGAAGTTATCAAGGTGAGATATGGTCACCCATAGGACGTCAGAAGCCAAAATGAGAATCAATATTTTTAAAAATGTACAATCATTTTTCTACTTCTTATTAGTAATATTATGACAAATCAAGAGTACATACACCATTTTGAGTACATTTGAGATACATATGCTCCATATTTTGGAAGTTATTAAGGTGAGATATGGTCACGCCTGGGACGTCAGAAGCCAGAATGAGAATCAATATTTTTTAAATGTACAATCATTTTTCTACTTCTTATTAGTAATATTATGACAAAGCAAGAGTACATACACCATTTTGAGTACATTTGAGATACATATGCTCCATATTTTGGAAGCTATTAAGGTGAGATATGGTCACCCCTGGGACGTCAGAAGCCAAAATGAGAATTAATATTTTTTAAAATGTACAATCATTTTTCTACTTCTTATTAGTAATATTATGACAAAGCAAGAGTACATACGCCAATTTGAGTACATTTGAGATACATATGCTCCATATTTTGGAAGTTAATAATGTGAGATATGGTCACCCCTATCCTGCATGATGCCACAATTTTAAATTTCAATAATTTTTTTCTCCGACAGTACGAAAGCTATTGATCCAATTTTAAGTATGTGATATGAACATATATAGGTCCTTCAGAATGATTTTTTTCAGTACATTTCATACCTTAACAAATCTAAAATAAGTTATTACACGTGGTAGAAGTATGAAAATAGGTGGCGCCCCTGTAGTGAATTTCAAGATATGCCCTTATTTTCACCCTAATCCACACAAGAAAATTCATACTGATTGTAAATAATGTTTTTGATAAGATTTTATTAGCACTTCAATGTCATTTTACTATTGAAATGTGTTAAAAATTATTTTATACCCCTACCCCCTGTTTGAAAATGAATAGATGGCGCCTCTTTAACTGCCCATAGCGAATTTACTTACCACACATTTTTACTCAAGTTAGGATAATTTACTCTAGAGAGTGTCTGGAACAAAATGATACCCTCAAACCTTTTATACTAGCCGATCACCGAAATCGGAGCTGGGGACAGCATCATTTATAATTTTTTTACATTTAAAACATATTGCTATTACAGTTTTACATATTGCACCTAAATTACTGTAAAATCGGCACTAAAATTTTGAAAATCAGCTTTCGAGCAGAACTTCTACCCCCATAGGGTATATGTGTACAAAATATGAACAAAATCGGGCCAACGGTATTTGAGTTATTGCCCGGACGGACGGACGTACGTACGTACGGACGACGGACGGACGTACGTACGGACGGACGGACGGACGCATTCCCTATATCCCTCCGAACTTCGTTCGATGGGATAAAAACAGTCAAATGAGGGCTGCAAGACCAGGAATTCGTTACTCTATCTTTGAAGAAGAAAGGGGTTTTAAATGATGTGTCAGTGATTGTTCATTAAAAAATTAGGTATAAAATTAATGCTTGTTATAATAATATGGTTCTGTTTATGTGACACACATTGGGCAATGCGAAATATTAAAAGGCAAATATAAATGACTTACATAGTATACTGTAGTACATTGTAACAAATCTCCAACCTTTGATAAACACATTTTTATTCAGGACTGCCCATGGTGATAGCTTAAGAGTGACCCAGTATTTGACCAGGGTTTGTTCAAACAAATAGGCCGGACATTGAAATGGCATTCGTGTTAAAAAATACCATCAAATATCATTGTTTTTTTGCCCTTCCTGATTTAAATTATTTTCCCATAGAATCTTGCTTTGATAACTGACAAAATCTTTATACTTACTTCATCAATGCCATCCTTGTTGACACGTAGATTCTGGAGTCGTTGTCTTAACATATCTATATCACTGTGCTTAAATGGGCAACCTGCAATACCAATGGTATATATGCATTCATGTACAGTAACAGACCCAATCATAATTCAGCTGGAATGTATCTTCATGTTATAAAAGGTGCAGGAACCTCTTATAATTTACATGAACCTCTCATAGTTTTAAGTTTACATAAACCTCTTATAATTTACATGAACCTCTCATAGTTTTAAGTTTACATAAACCTCTTATAATTTACATGAACCTCTCATAGTTTTAAGTTTACATAAACCTCTTATAATTTACATGAACCTCTCATAGTTTTAAGTTTACATAAACCTCTTATAATTTACATGAACCTCTCATAGTTTTAAGTTTACATAAACCTCTTATAATTTACATGAACCTCTCATAGTTTTAAGTTTACATAAACCTCTTATAATTTACATGCACCTTTTATTTTATTTTATTATTATTTTTTTTTTAAACGGTACGTTTTATTTCATGATTAATTGCTTTTCTACTCTTTTTTTTTTTTTTTTTTTTTTTTAAATCATGTATATATTTCTCATTTTATAACTTTGTATACAAGTACATCAGGTCATTTTACAATATTACAATATTTGTGAAAAATGATATAATTTCAATTCTTGAACATTATTACAATAGTTTACAAATATAACGTACCATAAGTTGTTTAACCATTCATTAAAATAAGTATAGTTAGTGTCTTGTACCTTATAGCCAAAGACAAGAGTTTTATACTTTTTCAAGCTTAATTCAAGTTTAAAATGATCTAAAATATAATTTTCAAGTTGGTCTATTACATTAAGTACTCTATGACATTGAAAGAACAAATGTTTATAGTCTTCTACTTGTCCGCAAATATCACACTTGTCGTTAACACTTATTTTCCATCTTAGAAGTAATTGTTTGCATGGTAAAATATAATGTAAAAGTTTGTATTTAAAATTGGCCACTTTTTTATTTTTGGATTGCTTTAAAAGTATCCAAGTCTGTTGAAACAGCATTTGACTATTTTGAATTTCACAAAGATTAATCCAAAATGATTCCAAATATGTTTTAGTTGCTATATGTTCCAACAGGATTGAATATATGTCTCTAGAACTTGCATGTTTATCCAAAAATCTATAATGCTTCAATTTACTGTCATAAAATCTTAAACTTACATTTGTATTAACATATGTACATCTGCTTGCCTCACTAAATATTTTAACTCTATATTGAAATGGCAAAGATTGCTTAACAGTTATATATTCTGCCATCCAATTGACCCTAGATTTAAGCTTATGAAGAATTTCATCTTGGGTACACATAAGATCATTAACATATAATATATTTGAATTTATCCAGTTTTCAAAATACAAACACTTGTTATTGAAAGTTATGTCTTTATTGTGCCATATCACCATTTGTCTAATTTCTGCAAATGTTATGTTATCAATTTTGGATTCTGAGCCTCCAAGAATACTCCAAGCATGGAGTAAATCTTTGTAAAATTGAGGCAAGATATTAAAATTACAAATATTCTCTGGTTTTCCATAAGTAGATTTAAATATCAAAGTATCTGGGAGTCCAGTTTTACTTAATATCTCTCTTGCTAGAATATTCCAACTTGCATGTTTATTCCCATACTCAATGTCTAATATCCATTTAATTTTAAAGGCCCTGAATTTAGATTTTAAGTCAGGCATTGAAAGTCCACCTTTAGACAAAGTATTAATTAAGACAGATCTTTTAATTTTATCTCTTTTTCCATCCCACAAAAATGAATAAAGTTCTGAAGTAATTTCTTTCAAAAAAGTTTCATTTGGTGTGTCAATGCTTTTTGCAAAATACATCAGTTTAGATAATGCAAGTGTTTTAATGATAACTATTTTCCCATAAAGAGTAATCTTGCGTTTTTTCCACAAAGACAATGACTTTCTCATTTTATCTGCTATACTATTCCAATTAAGATCATGCAATTTAGTTTGATCTATTCCAAAGTAGACACCTAATGATTTTACTTCCTGTTTCCAGGAAATATTACAAAAAGTATTATTATTATCATTTTTAAAGTTACCAAGTTTTATACCTTCTGTTTTTTCTAAGTTAAGCTCTAAACCAGAAACAGTTCCGAAACGCTGTATTTCTTTAATAGCTATATTAATAGAGTTTTTTCCATGAACAAAGAGAGTGGTGTCATCTGCAAGTTGACATATTTTGACTTCTTTGTTTCTTACTTTAATACCTTTGATTCTAGAATTATTTCTAATATTGATTGCCATTGTTTCTGCTGCAATGAGATAAATCAAAGCAGAAATGGGACATCGCTGCCGAATGCCCCGAGATACATCAAAATATGGTGATAAGTAACCATTATTAGCTACACAGCTTTGTATTCCATTATACAAGGTTTTAATCCACTGGATAAAATTAGTGCCAAAATTAAATTTCTTTAAAGCTTCTAGAGTGAAGTCAATTTCCAAACAATCAAAACATTTTGAAAAATCTGCAAAAATAATAGCAGAATCTAATGTTTTTCTATATTTATTAGCATAATTGATAACGTCATTTATTAGCCTTATATTATATCCAATAAATCTTCCTTTAATATAGCCCTGTTGATCTTGATTTATAATAAGTGGTAATATTTTATGAAGTCTCTGAGCTAAAATGTGGGCACATAATTTGTAATCTACATTAAGCATGGTTAAGGGTCTCCAGTTACTTAATATTTGGTTATCATTTTTCTTATGTAACAACTTTATAATGCCTAATCTCTGAGAGAAAATTAATTGTCCTTTACTGTAACCATAATTTAAAACATCAGTTATAATTGCTTTTCTACTCTACATAATTGTTATAATAATACATGTATCTAAATACACGATACTAATACAGGCTTTACATTATATAAAAGGCTTTACATTAACATGATTTCTAACTTTTCATTAAAAAGGTACTTTAAATATGGGCTTTTAGGTTCTATCCCATACTGGGCAAACATCAACTCTTTAACAGCCTCTTCCAGTCACATCATCAATGGGATAGGGGTTAAAGAAAAGATATTTGAATTTGAATTAATATTTAAATTGATTAAGAATTAGTTATTTCCTCATGCATTACATTCATATCTTCTGCCCTTTTGTACTGCAAAATGTCCAATCATCACTCCTTTGTCACTTCCTAATGTACATCATTCAAATTGCGTAATCTTGTTTTTTATATCTTATTAATGATTCATACAAAATCTTTATCAAATATCAATTTAAAAAAAATTATTGCCAAACATATGATTTTCAGCTATCGTGTAAATACATGTACTAAGCATCTTCATTGTCTTGGGCTGTCTAGGATAATACATTGCTAGCCAATACTCATATATGAAGATCTGTGAAGCTATTTTACATAAGACTGTGTGTATGAAACAAACAAAACAGGAAGTACAGAAATATATGTTTGGCTTGGTATAATGGTGTGCTAAAAAGCAAGACATTTATAAATAAACAGACTTATTGCCTTGAAGTTGAACCTAATTTTTTAAAGATATAAGCACCCATTGAAAGCAGAATACAAAAGGTATATTTACAAACGTTTCATATTTCAACAAATATGGACATTTCAATTGTGAATGAACATTTAATCAAAAGATAGATGTCACTGTATGATCCTGAAAGCAAGTGCCCCCTTTCTGTAGAGTCAGTTTCTATTTGAGATAATTCAAACTGTAAACTGCCATCTATATTTCTTAATAAAAACATTTATTCACACATATGTATGATTTATGTGTTGGACAATACACTGTAATTTTTTTAATAAATCATGACATCTATAATAATATTATTAAATTATTTAAATAGAGTCCTTCAAAGTATAAAGCAACACAAAAGAAATGTGAATTTTAATCATGAAATGCAATTCACCAGGAATTGTTCATTTGGTTCATCATTTAGACATTTTCTTATATATTCCCATTCACAACCTATTTTTTTCAACTAAAAGTACTCAGGTATTGACCTTGGCTTTCTTAAACCAATGATGCTTGTAAAACACATAAAATATGAATAAAAAAATAGACTTAGAAATAGTTTCAGGATTAAATAGACCCAATAATTCTGGTATGCCATTGTTATTCTTTACTTACATAGGTTTGTATATGACCATAACAAAGCCTAACATTTAAAAATGTCTGAATTTTGTTCCCTACTAACAAAACAAAACAAAACTCTGGTGAAAACTAGTGGGGAGCTCTATAAATTCTCAGCATACCATTACGATAAGAGTTCAATAATTTGTGACACTGTTAGAATAAGGTTTTTCATACTGATGTGGGAGTGGATATTATTAAATAAATTGTACCTTTTATAATTTGGGCTTGTTGTGTACTAGCTTACTAAGCAAGTACTTTTAAAAGCTTTAACATTTACAGTGTTTAACCTATGAGATGGGAACACAACACAACCTAATAAAGAATCCTTTTAGACCCAACATCATTAATAAGAAACTCACCATGAGCATCACCAGCAGCAGGTGCATTGGACATGATGATCTTCATACAACTGTAAGGTGTATAGTCGGCTCTCTTGCCCTCTTTACCATAGTTGTGACGGATGTTGTATGAATATTGCTTATCAAACTGAAACAAGATCAACATATCATTCAGTAACTAGAATTGTTCAAATGCATTTCCAATCTTTGCTTTAATAAGGCACGGGTGAATGATATCATTCACAAAAATTGGTCATCTTAAAATTCACCCAGCATGCCAAAAAACTAATCAGTTCTAGATTTTCAGACCATAGAGTATTGTAGATTATTTTGTACACATTCCAAAAACTTGCTTAGCATTACAAATTTTCTCCTCTATTTTTCTTATCTAATCTGGTTTCTAAAAGACAAGTTATATTTTATTGAAGAATAAAACCTTTGATTTTACAAAGTTCACGAAGATTTTACCTTATCAGCATCAATATTTTTTGCGAATGACATCTTCCAGAATCTCATTGCTTCATCTAAGGACATTCCTATAGCTTTTAAGAAGAGGCCATACTGTTGCCTGCCACCATGTTTAAGATGGTGCTCCTGTTTTAGGTGGTCTTGCATCTGACGCATACACAATGGGAAATGTTTCTCAGAGAGCTATAAATCAAGAATGTATTTAGGTTTATCAATTGTAACAACAAGCTTTTCAAAGGAAGTTTAGATCTCCTGTTGAATGTGTTTCATTTTCTCATTAATTGAAATGGTACAAATACTGCTTGTTGCACATTTTATATGACCTTTAAGGTCTCAACCCCCTGCCCTCTAGATTCATGCACCCCATAGGAAGGTAATTCCACCAATCTTCATCCCTCTCATTTCAGACTCACTTACCCCATTAACCATATCTGCTGTAACTTCTCCAGTGGTTGATTTCTTGTTATTGTAATCCTGTCCAAGATACCTCTTACTAAGGCTGGTCAACATGGGTAACAACCTGTCATCTTCCTCTAAGTGAGGTACAGCACGTGATGTCACCTAGACAGTTTAGGATAAACAGATGTAAAAATTTCCATTTTTAAGGAATAATTCAGGCTGTCTTAGGGTGGGTTCTTGCCTCTTAGATTGAGACATGGTTCATATACTTAACATGGTGATACTGTTTTCTCTCTCTTGATTTTGTAATCATTTTGGGGAGATCCATGCTTAGAGGAACTATAGGTTCATGGTTCAAGTAATTCAAGGAGGAGCAGAATTATTTTACATCAGATGATAATCTCATAATTCATACATCATCTGATGTATCATCATAATTCTCTAACAACTAAAGCAACTATTTCAAAACTTTAATGCGTAAAATGATAAGAGTAAAAAGTAATTTTAAAAACGATTTTTAATTAAAATGCCTTACTGCTAATGCATGTGACAGATGCAGTCTGTATGATGTGAGGACCAATGAGACAAGATCATGGTGAGGTACATAGGCGTATCCATCTTTGACGTAGCAACGTCTTGCACGAACAATGTCTAGGGCATCAGTGAATGGAACCTACAAACATAATTCAAATTAACAAATCTTCATTCACAATAAAATGAAGAAATCTAAAGAAGTGAGATATTTTAAAAGCATGTCTTCTAAACATTAATGTTTAAAGTTATAAGAATCTCAAAGGAGCTATACTAACTTCTAAGGCACTTTTTGGTTTGAAAGCCCATACTTATAGCTTGGATGGACCTTACTACATTATACTGCTTTCTGTTTAAACTTTTCACTTTAGGCCATTATTTCTATGATCCCTCATAATATCACTACATTTCAAATTGACCTCATTCCTTCTTCATAAAATACAACTTAACATTTCTTGATACTTTAAAATAAAAAGTTGCCCTCTTTTATGAAGAAATTGATGTACAATGATACAATAAACTAAATTTGTGGATGTACTTCAATACATATTGACTTTGTCCATTACCTTATAGAACTCTGTTCCTGACACTTTCACTGTTGTCATATCAAATGTAGAATCAGAAAGTTTGAATCTTAGTTCATTTTTCTCAGATTCACTGATAGGTTGGTAGTTAAGGTTGTTACTACGTAGAAAGTCTTCTATAGACTCAGCATCCTCGTTACAAAATCTGAACCTAAACAAGTCCATCTCCTGGGTCATAAACCATCTCTTCAAGTCCTCCCTGCAATGCACAAATGGTTCTAATGAATAGAGATAATTATAAGCTCTTCTGTTTGCAGGGATGTTATGAAGTGGCCCCTTCTCCATCATATTCTGTAGCATATCTCACGAGGGATGAACCCCATATCCAAACCGACCGTACATAACTGCTTTATCCTATACCAAGTAGAGTTTTCTAATTTCCTTTCGATTTTTTCAATTTTTTTCACATTTTTCTAATTTTTTTCAATTTTTTCAATTTTTTTCAAATTTAAATTTTTTTAATTTTTTTTCACATTTTTTCTTTTTTTTCAATTTTAAAAAAAAAATTAAATTTTTTTTCGAAGCGGGAAGATATGCGCTGGAGCGGGAGATATGGCGGGAGATATGGAGGTTCAGGATATGGAAACCTCAATACGGGATATATCTTACCAACTTCTCTCCCTTAAACTCTACTTGGCATAGGATAATGCATCTTCTATGAGGTTGGCCATACTGGCCAGCCAATTCAGGTATCAGCCCATAGTAGACAAAACCTCTTTCTAACAGTTTAATATCATGAATAACATAGAACTTAATGCAAAACTTTGGGAGACAAAGCAGTAAAACAGTACTTACGATCTGCAATAGGCAAGGCGCAGAATAAAATGTGATATGTAGTCCCATCTGGAATCTTCTGCATCCCAATGCTTCACCTGAAGTACATGACATAACTTTGTAGTTTATGAAATCAAACTTTATCAAAATACAATTACAGAATTTTCAAGTTACATCTTTCTTATCATTATTTCAGTATCAAATATAGCTTTTAAATTACCAGCTGTATTGACCCTTTTTTAAAATCATGTATAGCTTTTTCAATTACCAATGTTTTAATTGTTCTAAGTAAATCTTCTTTTTTAACAATTAGATTTTCAATTTTTGATCATTTGTAACATTTACATCATCAAGAAGTGGTCAATGTCATCTTTTAAATGTGAGTTACAAAAGTTACAGATGTCAGAGTTTTCTATGTTACATTTCTTCAAATAAATATTATGAAGGTAAATGCCATGTAACATTTTTCATTGAATTACCAAAAGGGTAGTATCGGTTGTACATTCGAAAAATGAGACCAGACTCTATCATTTACAGGGTGGTCCAAAAAAGTGAGCCCTTGCAACCGGCTATATTTCCCTGCAGGAATCCTTTCATAGTTTCACATGTTGTAGAGGAAGGTCTAAAATTGTTGTTGGTACTATACATTTTTCTTAGTATTGAAATTTGCAGAAATTATAAGCCCTAACGAAACATCACTGAAAATGGGTAAAATGTGAACTTCAATATCTGCGATTCTTCAACCCTTCAACAATCTTCCCATGGAAATCTTTTAAGCCAGAGTCTGGGAAACCTAATGTTTTCTGACTTAGTTTGGTTTTGAAACCCACACAATATGATGTAAAAATTAGCGTCATACCTCTGTTAGTTGCAAAGTTATTATGATCAAAAGAAATGTTCAATGTTTCCAAAGACGAGAACATCTTCCAGTGAAATCAACAATTTCCGTCAATCACATCAGTAAAATTCATGCATGTATTAAGGAAAATATAGCCCGTTGCAGGGGTTCACTTTTTTTGGACCACCCTATAGAATCTCATTAAATTTTAAGTTACACTTTCTTTTTAAAACAATTTTTGTTCTCACAATTCTTGTGTTTAATAGATGGTTCTCTATGCCCTTAAAAATAATTTTGTACATGGTGTTTCCCTTTCATATTTAATAAAAAGATCTTGTTGTTTTAAGTGCATTATATTGAAGAATTGTTTGACCAGTTCTCCCTATTTTCTGGACAATGTTATCATAGGTTAACATTTCCCTATCCTGTACAACATCTGAAATATTTATAATGCCCTTTTCAATCCAGTTTTCAAAAAAATAATGGAGAATTATTGAGAGAATTTATTACATTTTCATTGTTGCAAATAATGCACTCATTTTTAAAATCATTGTGTTTCAACCATACTTGTAATACATTTTTATAAAAATTGCTCAAGTTAGTCAAACCTTTAACTTTGTAGACTTAGGACAATGTACAAATAGTTGCAACCCATTTGGTTTGCTACCAGAGCTTATTTTTACCTTCCAGGCTTCCACTGATTATTGCATTTAATGCAAAATGATAAGCTTTTGTTTAACACATTTTAAGAATGCATTTTTTGAGGATGAATCAGTGCAGGAAAATTCACATCATTTGTATCTTATACAATGGGATTATTTTTACTAAATTAATGTACTTACAGGTTTTGTCAGACATCTCCTTAGGTTTATAAGGGAGTCTGTTATGGCTTTTTTGTAGTTTGCAGTCCCTTTGAGATGTTTTGCACCAACCTTTTCAATCTCATTCAGCACTGGAAAGCAGTGTTGAAAATTTTACTACAATTCTGATTAATGTAACATTGTAGCATAATATTTGACAACATGTGAATAATCAATGACAGGCAGTGGCCACAGGGCATAGCAGAGAATACACATATGTACATCGTGTATGTAAAATTAATGAATACCAGTGGCGGATAACAGACCAAAGGCGTAAAAACTGAAAGGCGATCTATTTTCCTTTTTTCCTTTTTATTGGTGTCAGCGGTGGGATTGTGTAATGACACTCGATAGCAAGTTGCTACTAGTGCCCAGCTGTAGTGGCTAGTCCCCATTAACTCAAGCAGTAGAGCATCAGTCTATAGTTTAAAACAAGAACACAAATGTGTACAAAATGTCCCCACCTATGGGTGATCCCGTCAAATGGTTATCCTAAAAATGAGTAGACAAGACTTTACCGACACAATCTGAGGACAGAAAATCCAAAATGGCCACCTTAAAATTTACCCAGAATGCCCAAAAATTAGTCAGTTCTAGATTTTAATACTAAGAACCACCCCTGAAAATTTGAAATTGATCTGTCACACAGTTAACAAGAAAACATATAAACAAGACTTTACAGACAAGATTTGAGAACAGAAAATCCTGAGAATGGCTGCCTTGACATTTATCCAGAATGACAAAAAACTAATCTGTTTTAGATTTTCATACTAAGAATCATCCCTGAAAATTTGAAATTGATCTACCAAACTGTTCACCTGGAAATGCGTAGACAAGACTTAACAAACAAGATTTTAGGACAGAAAATCCAAAATGGCTGCCTTGACATTTACCCAGAATGCCCAAAAACTAATCAAATCTAGATTTTCATACTAAGAATCATCCCTGAAAATTTGAAATTGATCTACGAAACGGTTCACCTAAAAACGCATAGACAAGACTTTACAGGCAAGATTTTAAGACGGAAAATCCAAAAATGGCTGCCTTGACATTTATCCAGAATGCCAAAAATTTTCATACTAAGAATCATCCCTGAAAAGTTGAAATTGATCTACCAAACGGTTCATCTGGAAATTCGTGGACAAGACTTAAAAGACAAGATTTTAGGATGGAAAGAATCATCCCTGAAAAATTGAAATTGATCTACCAAATAGTGCTTGCAACGGTAATGGATCTCACTGCCGGTAAATTTCACCTCCATTACCTTACCGTTACCGATAATCGTTGATACTGATAATGTTCCTAAAATCCCGGGGAAAAATCTGAAAGTGTAAAATATTTGGAAAAATCCTTAACGAAGCCGATTTCTCAGCTTGATTTCCCGCTCACATCAACTACAGTGGATATATTGTATCATCGTGTATCTCGTGTGTGATTGTGTATTGTTAGGAAGTCTTTGAAAGATAATATAGAGTGAATTCGATCAAAATTGATCAAATTATTTGTGTTTGTTTTTACTTCACCGAAATATCACGTCACGTGATTTGTTAATCTCGCGGCATGGGAGATGATTGACAGAAGTGGGCGGGGTTTTGCTTATCCTCCCGCCTTTTACGAATGATTTGCAGTTGATTGACAGATTAGCTCTTCAAATGTGGAGATTGAAATATACATGATTGATAAAATATTCTTAAACGAACATTGTTTCGTAAATTTGACAATGGATCGCAATGCCAATCATGTTGCAGCAGCATGGCGATTATCGGCAATGGATTTTATTACCGGCAATTGAGAGTATCTACTGCCGCTGCCGACAATCCGGCATTACTGTAAGGCACTACTACCAAACGGTTCACCTGAAAATGCGTAGACAAGACTTTACAGACAAGATTTTAAGACGGAATAATCCAAAATGGCATGCTTTCAAAATCGAGAACGAGACGACGTCTTTTTTAAATGAAAACGTTCAATATCTCATCAACAAGACAAGCCGTTACCATTTCAATTCATGAAATATTAACAGAACGATTTTTAAAATATTACATAAATTTATTGAACGACGGCTTAAGATTTTACAATAGTTCATGGTATTCCAGATTTAAGTAAACTAAACTCCTCGTTTAACAAAAACATATAACACAACTAATAAATTAATTTTCAAATAGTAATGGCCTTGTGGGCGAGTATGACATTTATTCATCAGTCCATTACATCAAGCAACTATACATCTCGTTCCATACCACAAATCTCAACTTCTGTATGTTACTCTGAGCAACATTTTTGCTGACCGACAGCATCAGGGGCGGATCTGGGAACCAACAAGGGGGGGGGGCCCAAAGTTGTGGTCTGAGAAAAAAACGTCCGCGATTGCGCGGAAAAAAATTTTGGGCCCCAAAAACCCAAAAAGTGGGCCGAAATTTTGAAATTTTGAGGCCCATTTTCCTCAAAATTTAGCCAAAATTAACAAATAAGGCCTTACAAGGCCAATTTATGACCAAAAAGGCCTTCTTTTTGGGGCCTTAAAGCCTTTTTTGGTTCAAAATTTTTTTTGGGCACAATTTTTTTTTTCTGGGCCCACCCAAGGGGGGGGGGGCCCGGGCCCCTGGGCCCCCCCCCCATATCCGCCAGTGAGCATCGTATAATGTCATCAATATCAAATTCTGTAATATTCGCTTTGCACTATTAAGTCTATCAGTAAATCATAAAATTCTGTTTTGAGCAATAAGTAAAGGCGTAGTAGCATAGCTGACCGACAGCGTTACACTGACTCTATGAAAAACTGTGAATCTCAATATTTTGCTCTGAGCAATAAGTAAAGGCGTAGTAGCCAAGCTGACCGACAGCGTTATACTAAGCTGACTGACAGCGTTAGTGTACTTTTTCAACTGAATCAGTTCTAACATGATATCCAAATGTTTTTTACTGTGTAAATACCTTAATAACAGGCGAGGTAGCCTTAGAATTACTCTAAAATGATTGGTAAGCTATTATCATTCCTGAACTTACGGTAAGCTCGTAACAATTAATATTAATAAAACAAGTGTTATTACATGAAATAAACGAGGTTAAATCGAAAATCTCTCAACTTCTGGTGACCCAACCTTAACCCCCTTTTTAAGGAGGGAGGAGGTACTCGACTTAAAGTCGGCCCCGTGATCCGAAATGAAGCAGAGTTACATACGAGGACTTCGATAAACGATTCACCTTTTCTTAACAATGCCATGTTTGGTATTTTGAAAATTTTACAAATATGAAAAATCTAAAAACATTGCCTGTGTAACTTTGTCATACCTCGCTTGCGTGTAAACCGAGAATGACCTTACATTACATACATAATTCACATGTCCATACGAAATACTCCAAGCGTGAATACCCTACTCACTTACCACCTACGATCACCCAAATAAAAATGCTACACAGTAAACAATTCGCCTTCCGTAATACTTAAAGTAATTTTCAAACTGATTCGTTACTAGTGGAGCAACGATTGACTCGTGGACTCGAATACTACTCGCCAAACCCTGTAAATACGATTCATCGATTGGTAAATTCTGACTCGAATTGAAAAAAAAATGAAAAAAATGATGAAGAAAATGTGATTTACCCACCTTTCAACCGCAATTTACGTAAAAAAAACACATCCAATGTACAACATTTCTGTACAATGTTTAACAATGATGCCTTCCTTAATATATAGCATTGTAGTTTAATACCTTAACTGAAATAATAAATCAAATACGATAGGCTTTCTCGTGTTTGTTTTTATTTATTGATTACATCCGGTTGCGCATGTGCAATGCAATATTTAACGAGGTCAAACCAATTAGCGTAAATTGTTAAATTATTTACTTTTCAATGCAAAACAAGAACATATAAAGTGTATTGAGTTATTCTATTTGAATAATTTGATGGGTATGTTGGAGTTATTCAAGGTAGGTTGAGCCGAGAACACTTGTACCGGAAGTGAAAGTTTGTAACTTTCTGAAGAAAGTTTTTCTGAACTTTTTTCCAAAATCATTCATTTTAATCGCGAATAAATCGAGTGTTCAAGAGCCTCTACTCGAGTAGGATAATTCACACGAGTCCCACCACTATTCGTTACACTCAAACGTTAGAAAATCTATGAAATCACTTCTAGCTAAGAATTGGCTAGAGACTTGAGTAAGATGTAAGTAGAAATAATCTTGATTTACGTCATTAGATATTCAGAATTCAGTCAAAGTGATGTCATATTTGAATTCTACATGTAAAAGTACATCTAGAAATATGGTTTCGAAAATTGTTTATCAACTTTGAAAATTTATATTTTTTGAAAATGTGACTTTTAGTTCGGGTTGATTCCCCATAGACCCCATGTTACAAAATCATAAAAAGTTAAATATCTTTTCTTGTATTTGACAAATACCATTTTCTTTTACTGGACATATTTTAATTTGCATAACTATTAGATACACAAGGGTTATATTAAAATTGAACCACTAAAATAGATGTAATTTTTTAAGTAAAGGGAACTTTCTCCTATACCCGCCATGCTATCTGACCCGAACGAGCCACCTGGTGGTCAAACTGGTAACTACCTACTCGCATCTGCGTTATTGACTGGAGGTCAAAACAGAACTCTGTTATCTTTGTTCGAAAAATGTCTAAAAATGCCACATTTTTTGTCGCTTCCTGTTTTGTCATTTCCTGTAAGTACCACTGCACCTAATTTCAGTAGGAAATTGTACATTACTCAATTGTGTTGCGTTGAAGTATTATAATGATGGAAATTCGTGTTGCCTTGATGTATGCCTGGCTGTACATATGCTGTACATGCATTTTGCGTTGCAACAACGTGACAGAGAGGGGGCCGGTTATGAAATATCTTTGACTCGTCGCTTTTCCCTTCCTAGCTAGAATTGTTTTCATGGCCTGAGTTCGTCGCTAACATGCTAAATATAAGAGTTAGCTGACGTTTGGGAGTCTGACTTACAAAATTATAAAGCATCACCAACAGGTCTTACTCTATTAATCGACTAATACAGCAGATGGCTCATATTTCTACGTAAGATCACGCAGTTTCGTTCGTTGTGTACTTCACTTGAAATTGGTAATTTTAAATATTGACTACTTCACTTAGCTTGGCGGATGTAGAACATTGCTTAATATTCTTTTAATTTTCACACCAGACATGCTTGGTTGACACGTCAACAAAGTAAAGTTCAAGGGTCAATGCGTTATTTCGTGATAACTACAACTACCAAAGGTGGTATGGTTTCATTGAGATTCGAGTTCTAACCTTTAGAAGGTAAGTCAGACTCCCAAACGTCAGCTAACTCTTATATTTAGCTAGTCCAACAACATTAAACCTAGCCTGGGCCTCGTTTCTTATCTGACATGTCTTATGGCCCCGGCTAGGTCTAACTTCCATGATGATTTTGCCCTTAATGCGATCATTTAATCGTTCAGCAGGTTTCGACATGCGGAACTAATTAAACCGTAATAAGATGGTATCGTTACAGAAATAATGTGATCAACGCATGCATACATACCTTATGAATAAATACAAATCATCACATACCCCCCTGTAACCTCATCGATGTATAATTATGAAAATGTAGGGAGAAGGCTTTTTCTTAGTTTAGAAAACTCTGTTCTGGTTCCGGTAACATCGAAATGGCAAATCCTTTCAGGAATAAACCGCCGTTAGCAACACTGAACGAAACAAGTTCATATAACGAAACGAACCCCGGTTAACCTATATATAAGTACAAAATATTGTAATACTGTAGGAGGCTTGCGATAAACATGATTAAGTTTCCTACTTTTTTTCCTGTTTTATTTTCAGAATTATGGTAAATTTCTGGCTAAAATGCTAAAGCTTTCAACATCTTTGGACAGACGCAAGCATGTGATACTGAATAATTAGATATTTTTCTTAACATGTTTAAATATATATTGTGCCAAAGTTTTCTCTCCCAGAAAGTCAGTGATTTCCCATTGTAATAACTCAGATGCGAGTAGGTAGTTACCAGTTTCACCACCAGGTGGCTCATTCAGGTCACATAGCATGACATAGTTATGCAAATTCAATGTAAAAGAAAATATTATCTGTCCAATACAAGAAAACATATTTCACTTTTTGTGACTTTATATGTTGAATCTCCCCGTAGTAGCATTTACATTTTCCAAAACAAAAATTTTTCAAAATTGATCAACAATATTTGAAGCAATATTTCTTGATGTACTTTTACATGTACATTTCAAATACTAGATAGTATGACATCATTTTGACTGAATGTTTAATGACGATCAAGTAAGGTTTTTTAACATTAGAGTAATGAGATCGAAAAAAGCTGAAAAGTGTTGATTTGAAAAAAATCAGATTTGGAGGTATCGAGATAAATCAGGTGTGAAGTATAGGTTAAAAGTACATTTACTTGCTCCAATATCGTGATAAAACACATGTGTTTAACTTTTCTCTCATTGAGTAAATGAAATATCATTGTAGAAAAATATGTTTTATAAAATAGCATAAACAAAACTTCTGTTTAATTTTATTAAGAACATCATACATTTAAGAGCTAGGAATAAAACAACCATGCTTATACATCAGTGTTCTCCCCAAAAAAAATTTTCAACTGGGTGCAAGATTTCAAGTCTAAAAAAATCAGCACTCGCTACGCTCACAATATCTCAGTGTAGGTGCTTACTTCTTCACTCATTCTTTAAATCAGAAGTTGAAGTGCAGATGCCAACTGGGTGCCAACTGGGGGGCCTTTGGTTTCAAGTAGGGGGAGCCCCCGGTAAAAGTGACATGGGGAGATCACTGTACATGTAATCTTATCACAATACATCACCACATTGAAGTTATTAAAATGTAATAATTGTTACAAAGCATTTATGCTGAGTAAAATACATGATCCCAGTTATAAACAATTGAGTGTATTCCTAGGTACGTTTTTGCAAGCAGAAAACCATGAACAATTACCATAATTTAATATTTAGGCACAATTATTCAACACAATCACAATCTAGCACAATCAATGACATCTATATTTCTTTGAGCTGAAATTACCAGTAATCAAATGCATCAATAATGTTGCTTTTTAAAGTTTTTATAAATAACAATAGAGTAAACTTGGGTGAATACACGCGCTGTTTGAATAAAGCAAAGATTCGTGTCATACTGGATGGTTATAGTAAATATCAATATTGAAGAACAATTTCGTTTCGCTGACCAAGTTTACTTTGGCGACGCACAGACAGACATTGCCGGTTGAAATATTCGTCTCATAGACTCATTTTACGATTAAAAATGAACATTTAACACAATAATATAATGTGAAATCGCCTGATGAAATGTGGTTTTATATTATTGTTAAGTATCAGTGTCATATTAGCATTGGACAACCATTTTTTTAAATTAACCCAACCCCATTAAACTATATATTTTCTGAAAGCTTGGAGTTTCAATAAAAAGAAAATCTATAACCTAAATTTTTAGAAAATGCATACTGGCCGTGGCACCCATTTAAAGTAGGTCACCCTCAGGGGGTCCAAAAATCGTTTTTGCTAAAAACTGACCCCAACTTTGAAATTTAATTAAAAATTAACAATAAGGTTTATCTTATCATACCTTATATTTTCTTGTAACTCTAACTTTTATTTAACCAAACAAAAAAAAATGAAGGTCTAATATAAGTTCATATTTTCGTAAATTAGAGTCACAGAGTATCACCCATGGGCGTTTTTTGTATTTTTTTAAAATAAACATTTGCAATGTACAATTTCCTATGTCTCTTTCATTTGGATCAATGGAGAACTCGTTGTCCATTGCTAGTCATATTAGCGAGGAAAAGTGGTTTCGATAGATCCACAACTTGCATCAAAGGAAAGAATAGCATGGAGGTTAAACTCAATAATGGCCCCAAGAAAATTCCTAATAATAAAGAACGCCGTTATTGAGTTTAACGACGTTGAACTAATATTTAGCATGTTAGCGACGAACTCAGGCCATGAAAAAAAATTTACCTACATGTATTCGACTCGATTTATATATTCCTGATGACAGCTCTGCTCGGTACAAACCCCTGTGTTTTCACTCTGACATTACAAATCTAGATGAAACACAATTCATGGAATATCGGTATAGTTCTGACTCACCCTTCAACCTTTCAACAGCAAACTGTTCAAATTCCTGGAGGGAAATATTTTCAACAGGAGGAACCGTATAAAACTGCAACCTCTGGCCATACGATGCCGATTCGGTGTTTCCCTTTACCCTCGGCCTCTTCCTCACTTGCGACGTACTCCGACTACTTCCACCTAATTCCATTTCAGATATAAATATTCAAAATGTGGAGCAACTTGAACTTTTTGTTCAGAACCGAAATAATTTTGCCGCGAAAATAAATGAATTCTTGGACAATTTTGATTGGTTGTACGATATTATGGAATGATAGATGGCGTTGTAATGGAACTGGTGATTCAGTAATGGATGACATCGATTTTCCGATATTTTCATATTTTGTCTAATATTGCAGCATATAAAGATTAGGCAAGTATAATCAAATGTTTTTAGAGATCTTGAAGAATTCAAAAATAGAAATATAATAACATTTTAGCAATCCATGATTTCTGATAACTATAAAGTGTCTATTTTCTTTCATAATTTTTTTGAGTGGTAAGGAAAGTCAAAGTCAAATGAATGAAAAAATTCACAGAAGTTTGTATCATTCAAGTACTTTGGGATATACTTCCTAGCTTCGACGTAAAGGGTTACTTCGTCATTGGGGTACTTTGACCATGGGGTTATTTCAGCAATGGCCGTACAGTGGGGAACATAAAGAATTACTATAGATCTAGCTATGAAAATTACATGCTGTCGCACATGTAATAAATTCTTGCCTCAGTGTATTCAGTGCTCTATTTTCTCTCTCCTAGTAAGTCCATGATCCAAATATAGTGTAATTTGTGTCCATAATGACAAATAAGAACTTAAAAGAAGTGGATATTCACTCTTCAAATGTTGAGGTGATTTTGTAGCCGATTACGCCGCAACGGAAGATTGGCTCCCAGAATGCAACATGACACATGCCGGCTTTCAAAATGGCGGAATCTGTCACGAGTAAATAAGGTTAACTGATATTGCATTCTGGGAGTCAATCCTCCTTGGATAACAAACATGGCGATTCATGAAAACGTTCGTTCGATTTGGTAGGGATTTATCCATCATTTGCAGGTATGAAGCTTTGGATTGATTTATTGTGCTACTTAAAGTGAACGGGAATTATTTTTCTACCGCTTGGGAGAGTTTGAGACACGAAACTTGGAATTTAGCTCATTGTGACAACTTTTGATGGTTGAGGTTTATTTTTGTCCCCACTTTAGCCTTGTAGAAGGCGTCACAGGTGCTCCCTGGATAATAAGAGTGTCAGGCTTCCCTCTAAGTAAGCATATCAAAAAGGTGGGCCGAAAATCAATAAGTCAATAGGTGGAGTATAATATAAAAAAATAGAAAAAAGTAAAGTAGTTCTTCAAGTCTTTATACACTTTAATGAATCTCGGTATGCCAGCGGTCAAAATGACGCAAAAAGTAACTAATTTGGTTTACTGAGGAGTGAGGACTGAGATACGCCTAAAATGAGCTCAAATTGTAATGTCTGATCGGTGATTCAAATTACATCTGATCAAAATTATTGAAAGATCTCCTACCATATTTGTGAAATACTTGACTCACCGGCAACAATTACCTCGCTAACAAGTCCTCTTGGGTGTATTCTTTCAAATGACATGGAAAATAGATGTCTAGGTGCGGTAATAAAGTGTAAATTAAATTACTTCTTCAGATTTTATTTACCTTTCCTATGCTCCTACTTTTAGCTATTTTTCAGTGACCTTTTCAGAGGGCTGAAAAAGTTATTTCATCATGTTTAGGGTCATTCTGACCATGTACATTGTGATCTTGGTCATGTAAATGATATGTGGAACTAGTTAAACTGACTGGAGGCCAAAACAGAGCTCTGATATCGTGGTTCAAAAAATGTTTGAAATCAAGCATGGTTTTGTCACTTCCTGTTTTGTCATTTCCTGTAAGTATCATGAGACCTTACGATTTCGCCTATTGGAGATTTAGATTTATTATACCATTGTCATATTCATTATTCCCCACTATATTTCGCTAATTTTCAGTTTTTTGAAATTTCGCGGCTGTTAGATTTCGTGGTTTTGTCATAGGAGATCACTCTTTCGACTTCGATATCAGCCATGGTTGTTCCTTCGACAAATGATTTTGGATTCTTATTAAGCCATTTCATTAGACTGTTCATTTTAATACTGTAATCTTTCTTCTAATTTCTCTTTTTCAAAACTCGAAAGGTCACGTTTTTGCCTATTATCGCCCAGCACTGAACGAAAGTATTGTCAACATTAAAATCCCCGGGAATTTCTTTGGAATTTCGTGACTATAAAATTTTGCGAATTAGAACTGTAGGAATTTTGCGGCTATTATATTTTGCGAATTTTCCAAAACTGGCGGAAAATCGCGAAAAATAGTAGCGCACCAAAATTACCATGGTTTATTCAATCATGGTCTTTCACTGCCTCTCTGCCATTGTTATTTTCGGAAAAAATAACATGGCTGAAACTCCCCAAATTACAAAAGGCCACAGCTTTGCTGCACATTATATATATAACTTAACAGTATCTGAAATATACAAAAGTTAGGACAAGTACATATGTTTCTATATTTTTTATATCGGGTGTCCCAAAAAAATTAGACACTTTTTGCCAAGTATTTTCTCGGCAACTAATAAACCACATTCATGGAAAATTTGTACAAATTAGCCTGATAGTATCATTAGCAAGTTGTACAGATATAAAAAAGATCAAGTAAATATTGTGCGAGTAATAAGAGATTCAAAATAGCATGTCAAAAATTCCCATACCGGAGCTCTGCGATGAGACCTCTATTATAGTGTTTGTACCAGCTATCAGGTCGCATTTGTAAATAAGTCAAAATAGCTTGTCTGTGTGTCATTTCTACTTAATTCATTTCATTCTTCACAAATATCCAAAATCAATTCATTCTCAAAATTCATTGGAGGTGATATTGTTAGAATAAATACGGAATGGTATTTTGCATGAAAAGGATTAATAAGTGAGATTTACATCAATATTGGTTATTTTTACATACTGTTTTTAATTCATCAATTCACACATAATATCGAGCCAATCTCTTACATATTCATAGCACGAGCAGAAGATACCTTAAAGTGCCTCAAGTAAAGTTTTCAAATAATTTGGCTCATCTATTGCTGAGAAATCACTTGTCAAATTCCTTCCCATTTTTGGAAATGCGATGAAAATTCTCATTGTATTGCTCCGGTATGGGACATTTTGACATGCTATCTTGAATTTCTTAGTACTCATATAACATTTATCTGATCTTTGTCACATTTCTGTACCTTGCTAATGATACTCCTGGGCAACTTTGTGCAAGTTTTCAAAAAATTTGGTTCATCAGTTGCCGAGAAAGTACTTGGCAAAAAGTGTCTTATTTTTTTGGGGACACCCGATATACTGTTGCAATATAGTCATTTGATTGCTTATTTTTTAAATTCAAAGTAGTTCCAAACATTTAAAATTTTACTGTAGTGTAAATCTAAGATCAATCACATAATAATAGGAAAAAATGTCAGACATAAGTAAATCATTCTTGTTCTTATAAGACACATAAGAATATTTGGAATATAACAGTGAATAATAAAACAAACTAAAAAAAAACTTCCACATTTTACAAAATTTTCCGCAAAACTACAGTTTTTCAAAAATCTACCATAAAACTACCGCATTTTTCAAAAACTTCCGAAAACGTACCATTTTTTCAAAAAATTACCGTAAAAACTTCAGAATTTTTTCATAATCTACCGTAAAACTACCGCATTTTTGTCGAAAAATACCACAAAAACTAACGCATTTTGAAAAAATCTACCGCAATTCAAAAAAAACGTACACAAATTTTTGGTCATAGGTTGGCAGGTATATGTTGACAAAACGTATCCCTATATCCACGATTGTGATACAAAACATGAATGCTCAAAGAAATGTTTTTGAGATGGAGATATGAATTTACTGACTGATATACAATAAATGATATTAATTTGTTCTGTAAAGATACTGTACCCATTTATGATCTTGACAACATTTTTTTGATCAAATCATATAAAACTAAAGTATTGTCAAAAACGATCAGGCTGATTTAAATAGACATAATAATAAATAAATAATAAATAATTTAAAGTATATGTCCTCCAAAGTTACAATAACAAATTAAATGGACTTATCGAATTATTTCTAAAAAGATAGGTAAACTAATGGAGATGTAATGAGTGACCTCAGCCCAGGACTCAGCCCAGGACATACTTTGTAAAGTCCAATATTTGTCATGTGAAAGTATGTAGTACTAGTTATCAAGAAATACATTACTCAACTGTTGTAATATATACATGTAGGTGAAAGTCCAGTTTTGAGAGCTACTCTCAATGTTCTTCACACAATTTTTGGGTGCAGAGTTTTCATTTTCACCATTCAGACCAAAATTGCCAAGTTTTCATGATTTTTCTCATTTTCAAGCGTGTGCTAAAATGGATTTTCAGGTGGGTGCAAGCTTGTTTTCAAAATCTCAGGCGGGTACTGCACCCACTTGCTTTAATGCTGGGGAGATCACTGACTCTATATTTGTTATTCCAGAAATAATTAGGAGCTTACAAACATAAATATCAAGATGGGGGCGTTATTCCGGAGTGAAGAGATGACACTATGTCAGTTGTTCCTCCAATCAGAAGCAGCCTATGCCTGTGTGTCTGAGTTAGGAGAGTTAGGACTCGTACAGTTTAGAGATGTAAGTATTTTATGTTCAAGAAAATATTCATAAACATCCCTCAGACAGTGATCAGACTCAATGCAATTGTTTGTAATATTATGAGGCATGCTAATACTGTATAAGTCACTGTACTGAAGTATCATTTGGTTATTGATTATAGCCACAGAGGCGATGCAATTAATACTAGCTACTAGGAAATAAGGGAAGGATCAATGATTATTTAGGCTTTCTGTACAATGAATTATACTGTACAGTAAATATTACAAACTGCTGGTAGGATTATTGATCGTAAGTCTGGAATTGCCAACTGAATTGTTGTCTTTAGTGTTGATTTTTGTCCAATGCCTATTGTGTGTTTTTGCTTATTAGTAGAGTAAGGCACATTCAAAAGTGATTTTCAAAGAAGTGTCAAGAGAAAAATGTATTTTTGTCCATTTTGTTTAAATTACAATATTTTTGCATCAAGTCTCAGTCAGTATCTCAACTTGTTTTTCACTCATAAATGACCTCTGTATTGGCCAAAATTGCTCTATGTTGAGAGGTGCTCCTTACCCAACAAGTGTTCCATGAGATAGACTCTGCTTTATGAAATACATGTACACAAAATAACTATTCAAGGCAATATATTTCAATGATTAAATGATTCTTACATATTTTTTTTAGCTAAATCCAGATGTCAGTGCATTCCAGAGAAAGTTTGTGAATGAAGTTAGACGTTGCGATGAAATGGAACGAAAGCTTCGTAAGTATTATTTCCCATCTTTCTTGTATACAGTATACATGCCTGCTAATTCAGTTCAAAGAATGTATTTTATGGAATGGTTTTTGAAAATATAAAAACTTAACTCGTATCAAAATGTTGTTTTTCGAAAAATTAACAAAGACCTGAATGAACTACAAAAATCTGATTTTGAATAGTTTAGAAAGATTTAATTGGCTCCTGGAAGCTGAATGAATCTCAGTATAATAAACATAAACATGATATAAAATCTCATTACAAAACAATTAAATATTAATGCAAGTATAATTATGTGGATTAAATGATGACAGGTTTCCTTGAGAAGGAGATTAAGAAAGATGGGATCCCTATGCTGGACACTGGGGACAATCCTGATGCCCCTGCCCCAAGGGAAATGATTGATCTTGAGGTAAGCTTCCTGTCACCAGGGCTCTCCATGAAAATAATTTGTGTAGAGTACATTATCAGCCCATTTTAGGATTTTGTCAATTTTAGTGCTGTTTGAACCAGAGGTTTCAATATCAGAGAGCCCTGAACTACAAAAAGAAAATAAAGGAGTAGATTGATCACAAAATGAAATTAAAAAGAATAACACACATGCACATGTAATTGTACTATCACTTTGAATATGAAGTTTTGAATTTCCCACAAATAAGCCTATTGTGATAATTATTTGTACATCAGTATTAACAACCCCTACACTTTATATCTAGGCTACTTTTGAAAAACTTGAGAATGAGATGAAGGAAGTGAACTCTAACTCTGAGGCCCTCAAGAGAAACTATTTGGAGTTGACAGAACTGAAACATATTCTGAGGAAAACACAAAACTTCTTTGATGAGGTAATGTTATACACATATTTGCCAGAAGAAACTAATATCATATTTAAATATTTAGAATATTCTTAATTGCTGTTTTGAAGTATTTCAAAAGATACCATTCCTGCCAAAGTTTATAGTTATAAAGTTATAGTTATAGTTATTGGATGGAATTAGGAATGAAAACATTTTTAATAAACTGACCAAAGATTAAAGGATCAATTCTAGGTATTATATATAATAATGTATAAATAGTTCCAAATATATGAATAATTTCTTTTTCTTATAATGTTATTTTAGATGTTTCAAAAAATGTTGTTAAATGTGATAATGTCCTGGTGGATGAACACGGTTGAGGGTGGGATGTATGTTGTACCATGTTTCTAGATACCACAGATGCACATAGCTTTAATTAGACATGTATTTATTAAGTTTTTTATTTACCTAGATGATACCATGATTGATTAGAGGATCAAAAATGACACTCAGAAATTAGAACTTTAAATCACAATTCCACTGTATGTTGTATTAAATGTCTTGTGTATGTTGTAATGATTTGATTTTTAGGATCTAGGATTTTCTAGAGCTGCAACAGTTGGATGTATAATGATTATACTAAACTTATAAATTGTTTTGAATTCATAATAAGCATGTCATTAGCATTCTTCAAACAGATTTGTGCATACATTTTTCTTTTTGTATCACAAACTTTTTGTTTACTCTTCAGATACACACTTTACTTGCGCTGCTTTACTAATATAATAAAGATGTTGCGAGCATGTAATATGCATGCTTTTATTTTGGAACATGTAGCTAACATGTTATTATGCAGTGAAACATGTTAACCAAACACTTTTACACAAGGCAAATGTCTCTTACACTTTAACTGAAACACGATTGTAAGCCTAAAAAGGTGTTTGGGTAAACAGCTTTGTACTTGACATTCATTACATGTTCACTATACTATTTCTAGTATATCTGTGTTTTAATCCTGCCTTAATTAGATGCTGCTTTTCATTATGTTTCTGTTCACCCTTTGTGCCCATATGATAGTGCTTAGTCACCTGTATTTAGTGTTGTACATTTAGTTGCAAGCAGAGATCTCGCATGTACACTGACTATACATATCCAATACATACCATAAACACAGCATTCTTTCAATGTCACTTCTAAATGTTCCATGAATTTAAACTTCAGAGAGATTATATGTCATATGATTTGATCATTTTTGGTGGGAAATAATTTCACTAGACTTGTGTAATAAGAGAACAATAATGTGATTAATTTTCTGAGGATGTATGGAGGTCCTATAGAGGTCTCTGCTTGTGCTATCAGCGTGCATGCTAGATACATGGGAGGGACTTAGTGTGGTAATATGGGCACCGTGTTTGTTCACACCAGGCTGAAATTCATCATCAGGCAATGAATGATCCCGCCTTGTCGGAGGAAAACGTGGGACTTCTCGGGGAAGATGGATTACGTGCAGGGGGCCAAGCCCTCAGACTCGGGTGAGAATTTGATTATGGTTGAGAATGCACATACATGAAACAACATAATGCATCATTGGCCCCAATGGTCTAGAGAGATAAGTGTATTTTTGTTTGTAGTGGGTCTCTGGGGTCTTTAGGTTTTACCTGTAAACCTATATTGGATGTTATGGGTCCTTTTGAATCTGTGTTATATTTCAACCAAGAACATGCCGTTAATTTTTTAGCCATTGCTTAGGATTCAGAAAGAAGCTTTCCAGGGTTTGGAGTCTCCTTGATTTGTTGAATGTTTTATATCTTAAAGTGCTGTTAATGAAAAGTATTGTTTTCTCTTTCCTTTGAGCCTGATGATCTAATTCAGTCCCTGCCTAATGTAGTGTCTAGTGCTATAGTAACTATAGTATAACACCTGTATTATTAAATAACTATAGTTATTTGATACTGTACATGATGGCACATCTCCTTTCTTCAGAGTGAGGGTCACTAACTAACAACAATAATGGGTAATAGGGAAGCACATAACATGCTATATGTTTTGTAATTATAGCACTGGTTGATTATCTGGGTAATATCATGTGGATTGTTCAACCAGTTTTTGAGTTATTCTTAGCATTAACAGCTACCCAGTTTTGTAAGTGGAGGTTATGGGTTAGAGGTATATAAGTTATTTTATAAATATCATTATGTGGGCACCTATCATTTGACAACCTGGTATTTCTGTATGGCTGCTGACATTCTACAGCATGGCACCTTCTGCATGTGAAATTTTCTTTTAAACTTGTATTCTCAACTTTATCCATAATATCCAAGGATCTCCATGTCTTATTTACTTAAAAAGGACTTAGACTGAGGGAGCTTTGAGACCTGAAAAAGACAGAAGGCCACAGGCTATTTGATATATTATGTTGTTTCTGTATTACTGTGTATAAACAGATTTTACTTTAAACATCAAACAGATCCTAATTTGTTGAACTAAATCTGAAATCTGCAACATGTTAGATGTTTAAAAGTAAAATGCTGTCTTTATGTAATATTTCATAGCGGAAAACTCTGGTTATTAACCCCTTGGTGACTGGAGGTACCATGATGTACCCCTGTTTCAAAGGGTTAACTAACTACTATATGTTAACAGAAAGAACAGAATGTTGCGGAGGAGGCTCAGCATGCATTTGAGAGTGACCGGTCTCAGATCATTGAACGACAACCCATGCAATTAGGGTAACACTGTCACTGAATTATGATTTCTTATTTGTTCTAAATGATCCATAATAATACAAACATTTAGAGATACACATTGATCACGAGCCATTCTATAGTATAATATTTGTTTTGGAATGCAGTTGTTTTGGAATCATCTGATATAAGTTCAAATGCAAGCTTATTATTTACCATACTTTTGTGACATTTAAGAGTCTTCCAGTTCAAAGACAGTGAAAGACTAATGAGATCATCCATCAACTTAAATTGAAGAGTGTCTTTTTTTCAAGTGCACTTTTTATTTGAGAAAATTTAATTTTAGGCATCACAATTATATCTTGCAAAAAATCATCTTCATGTATCGCTATTTCATTGATGATCTTTGTCACATAAAATTTTCTTTCAAAATAATTAAAAAAGCAGCTTTTTTAGAATAAAATGACTCTTGAATGTTACATTTTATAAAAATTTATTTGCTTATAGTTGTTGTTTTTCATTCAGGTTTGTAGCGGGTGTTATTCTACGTGAAAGGATTCCCGCATTTGAGAAGATGCTGTGGAGAGCGTGTAGAGGGAATGTTTTCCTTAAACAGGCAGAGATTGAGACACCACTCGAGGATCCACTTACAGTAAGTGATTTATCACTTCTGATACCAATAAAGTATTTGATTACATCATTTAAAGGGTGTAAGCATTATAGTTTTTGATTAAGTTAAATAATGTCAGTGTTGGGAACTCTTTCATGCCATCAATTGTATTGAAATGTATAGATATTCTGAATGTTACTGTCTGGCTATTTATGATCTACACCCTTTAAGACATATCATCGGATTTGAATACAATAATGAGTATTGATTGAATGTTGCATACAGATTATTCATGCTTTTATGTTGGTACTTTCTTCCTATTACGCTGGGTTTTTAAATTGTAGCTGTCCTGGAATTATTCTCATGTTTTGTATATATATTTTTTCTATTGTAGGGAGATCAGGTGAACAAATCGGTGTTCATCATATTCTTCCAAGGAGACCAGTTGAAATCTCGTGTTAAAAAGATCTGTGAGGGGTTCCGTGCGACATTGTACCCTTGTCCAGAGACCCCCGCTGAGAGGCGAGAGATGGCCATAGGGGTCATGACCAGAATAGAAGATCTGAACACTGTAAGTAAAGTATTGAAAGATGGTTTCTTTAGTAGTTGATGAGGAAGGCCAAGTAGAATGAACCATTTCAACAAAGTTTTGCATATTGTTAACAGACACCTCCCTTCTTTTCATTACATAGCTCTACTTGACCCTGCTTGAACTCACTTTAAAAGCATATTTTGTCAAACTTTATGCATAACTGTAAATGTGAGAATTTGAGAAAAATTAGAAAAAATCCTTGGGAGGTACTGAAGTTCTTTAATTCACATGATATTATCACATATGTCTTATTTACTTTATAATGTAGGTATTGGGCCAGACTCAAGATCACAGGCACCGTGTCTTAGTAGCTGCAGCCAAGAACATTAAAGTCTGGTTCATCAAGGTGAAGAAGATCAAGGCCATCTATCACACATTGAATATGTTCAACTTGGATGTAACACAGAAGTGTCTCATAGCTGAGTGTTGGTGCCCAGTGGCTGACCTAGATAAGATACAGTTGGCTTTAAGAAGGGGAACTGTAAGTCCAGTGATCTCCTCTTTGTTACCTGCAAAATGTTTTATTTGGTCATTCTTGCTCAAATTGTTAAGAAGTTGGATTTATCCAAACAATTGTACTATTGATTGATGAAGTGATTTTAGATCTTAATATGATCTGAGTAAAAAAGGTTTAGGCAACTGGGACAAGCATTCAATTACCTGGTACCAAGTGAGAAATGATTTGGACCCAGTTGAGTATTTGAAAAATTATGGAATATAGGAATATTTTCTGAATCAGAATTTTACACCCAGTTGAAATGTGAGATAAAAAAATCTCACAGATTAAGCTTGTGATTTCACTTCATATGTATGTTGTATATCTATCTACAGGAACAAAGTGGAAGTAGTGTACCATCTATATTGAACCGTATGACCACAAGGCAGGAGCCACCGACATACAATCGAGTCAACAAGTTCACAACAGCATTCCAGGGAATTGTTGATGCCTATGGGGTAGCTAACTATCGAGAAGTTAATCCAAGTGAGTCAAGATTCTTTGAAACAAAAGTCATACAGGAGTGATAACCCTCTAATGCTACATATTATGCTTTGTGTGCTTGATATTCTGAATATAGTGTACAAGTGGTGTTAACTGGAAGCGACTTTGTTCAGACTGGCTGAATATGCTCTTAAAAAATGTGACCCTACTGGCATATTTCTCATGATCATGAAATGAGCTATAAATACAACACCAGAGAAATGTATAACATGTGTAATGTTACTCCCTATATGTTTTCCAGCCCCGTACACTGTCATAACCTTCCCATTCCTCTTTGCTGTCATGTTTGGAGATGCAGGACATGGGATCATCATGTTCCTCTTTGCTCTCTTCCTGGTGTTAAGGGAGAAACAACTAGCAGCTGCCAAGATAGATGATGAGGTACATACATTCATCATACAGTTTATCATACAGATGTGTTAACTGGAGAGTTTCATAGCAGGTGGAAACAGATCATCTTTTGTGGGATTCTGCAACTATTTCCATGCTGAAACTTGAATTTCCAATAATTTTGACTGTTGTTTTTATTTCTTTTACCTGTTGTGGCAAAGACACCTCTGTAACATATCAGGTCAGATTTCAGTCAGGTTAGTTCTAAATTTTAAGATATCAGTTCATTTCAAGCAAAAGTTGTTTATATTACTGTTGTCTTTCAGATATTTAAGATGTTATTTGGTGGCCGCTACATTATATTACTGATGGGAATATTCTCTATATACACTGGTGTCATATACAACGATTGGTTCAGTAAATCCATCAACATATTCGGAAGTGCTTGGATTGCAGATATAAACAGATATACGTGAGTGTTATCATTATTGAATAGACAATTTTATCTCCAAGCATTGAAGCCAATGGGTTCCCGCACACAACTGAAATATATTAATTAAAAACTACCTAGTTCTGAAAACTGAACAGGTAAAATGCAGAGTCGATAAAAAATATCAGAAATCAGAAATATCTCTTTTTTCATACAGTTGAATCTTGGAAATCATAAGGCAATGTTCATATTAAGCATATGTTATTCATAGTACTAACATATGTACAGGGATTCAAGAATTAACATCTGTAATCTAAGGTGTGAGACTTGCCTCAGGAAAGCTGAAATGTTTACATCTTATAATTTTTGAATAATGTGTACGCTTAATGTAAATCTTTAAGATTCTCTATGCATTGCTATTTTGTTTAATTCCAGTGCTAATGGTAGTTGTGGGGCGGGTTATGCTGAGTGTGTTAATTTATCCAACACCAAAGATGTACAGCTGAATCCTGCAAATGCTTCAGAGTTTACTGGAAAAGTCTATCCATTTGGGGTTGATCCAGTAAGTATTATAAGTTATAACTACAGGCAGAGAGTCTTATATCAATTTTTTTATTGAATTTTGCTAATTCAGTGTTGCAATATACTAATTATTGTACTCAATAAAATAGCATTTGAATAGTGTTCCCTCACATTTTTGGGGGTTTATGGAAATGTGCATAAAAAGTCCAATTGATCCAAATATTGGAAGGCCCCATGTAAAGTTTGAAAATATTATTAAATCGTCCAAATATTTGTTATGATATTTTATATGTTTTATTCATTGATATTTTTCAAAAAGATTTAGTTAGAACTTTCAAAGAAAATTGAAAATTTAGAAACTTGAGTAAAATAGATGTACTGTTCTGTTTTAGATCTGGCAACTCTCCACAAACAAGATCACACTTCTGAACTCCTACAAGATGAAACTGTCTGTCATACTAGGTGTTGGCCAGATGTTGTTTGGGATCTTTCTTAGCTTCTTTAACCATAGGCATGTACAAAATGGTTCATCAATTTCACACTCTTTTTATAGTTAAGAAGTACATAATACATAGTATTTTTTGTTGCACAGTTACACTGATAACATGGTAAAGACATATCCTAGACAATCAAAAATCTAGAGAATTTTATATATACGGCAGTTTTTTGCCTCGATTGGCTTATTTGCAACACCAGAACTGAATGATAGCATTTTTTTTTTTGAAATGCCTTGTTTATCATACTGTTGTCAACTTGACAGTTGGTGGGTGACATTTCACTTTTTGAATTAAATATTTATAATTCAAATAAAATATAAAATTATAATTTTGCATTTGGTATCCATATTCTAACATATAATGGTAATTGTATTTTTAGACACTTTAAGAAACCCATCAACATATTCTGCGAGTTCATCCCACACATTATCTTCCTGATGTGCATCTTTGGTTACTTGAATATCTTGATTCTATGGAAGTGGGCCACACCATATTATGTTCAGAACTCTGCTGCCGCCCCCAGTCTTCTCTTAGGTAAGAATCTCCCTCTACATTTTACACCACACTTTGAAAAAGTGCTACATTGTCATTTTCTTGAGCTGATGGGTGGGTGCCACATAAATCAAATCTTGTTTATGAATAAGTGTGAGGAATGGAATTGGTAGAACACTGTATATGTAGTGCAGCTTTATGAAGAACAATTGTTTAATTATTTCATTTGTGTTTGTTTTAGGTTTGATAAACATGTTCCTGTTCAAGTATGCAGATGAGAATGACACTAATGTCCCAGTTAGTTCCAAGCTATTTTATTCTGGCCAGGTATGTATTAATGTATAAGAATATTGGATTGGATTATGTTGTATAAGAACATACATAATGTATTGGGGGGGGGGGGGGTTATTTTACAGGTCAGAGATACATTGTAGGCGAGTGGGACATGGGTTAAGTTTTATAGTGGAATGGTCTGGAGATTACATTGATTGATTACATTGGGCTAAAGTATAAACATTTGAATGACTTCTACTTTTCTAAGTTAATTCAAAGTGTCTATCTATTTGAGGTATATAATTCAACATCAGCAGCCATTAAATTAATACCAATCTTTCATTTTAAGTTAAGTATGAAATCTATTATTAAAGTTTGATTGTTGATTTCAGAAACCAATTCAGTTTATGCTAGTAGCCCTTGCTGCTATCTGTGTTCCATGGATCATGTTAGTAAAACCCTACATTCTCTACAAACGGAACAAGAGCAAGACAGCCGTAAGCAGATCTGAATTTTTACATTATTTGAAAAATAAAACATTCAATGGCATACACATTCTAGCATCCTCTGTTCATGGAGGTCATAATATCTCGTAAAAATCAATATGATAGCATAAAGGGCAACATTAGAAATGACAAGTACCATACAAAATGTGTTCAATTTTTATATAGAATTATTTGAATATGTTAAAGTCTGGTAATGTATGATGACAATGATTTAACAACTCTCTTGATTGTAAATTATAAGCCAAGCCCAAGTTGTATTCTTTTAAGCTGTCACCACTTAAATAATGAACCCTGAAGAAATTACACCACCACCAATAAGAGCATCATAATAATTCACTTCTTTCAAAAACATGAATTAAGATGGATGATTACTTTTAGAGGTGGGTCAGGTGATATTATATAATAGGTAACTGCAGTTATTACCCGACTTATTTCTCAACCTGACCTTACCAATAACATGATCTTTCCCAAATTGAGCCATCTCCACCCTTGAACTACCACTAGAGTTTATTGTCTATCTAAAGTGTGAATTACACTTAGCATGAGGCCACCTTACAGAAGCTAAATTGATGCTTTTAGCGACGTGCATTGATGTCTGAAGCTAATGGTGCTACCCCTAATGACCAAGATGTCATACACCATCCTGAGCAAGTACACCAAGAAAACATTCCTGAGGAAGAGGTGAATACAATGCTTGCATCCCAACCTGACACCCCTTTTCTAGATAAAATGGCACCACCTTAGATAAAGTTATGTCACAAATATTGATATGTCGGTCAAACGTATAGCATTTATATTGGATTTATTTTGCAGATTTGGGATGAATCAAAAAATTTTTCATTTAAAAATACAATTTTGAGACATAACTCTTATTTTGGGTTGTTGCATATCAAGAAGGGATGTCTGGTTATATAATGTAGATAAATATGTAACTATATCGTTTATTTTCCCACAGCATCGTAATGCCTTGTCGGTGAACAGTGGGGATATAATTACTGATGGAGAAGTTGTACATAATGATATAGTGCAGTCACAGGAGGAAGAGCCAGAAGAAGAGGTGATGATATACCACGCGGCATCCTAAATGGCTTTAATGAGTTGTTTCAAATGTTTTCAACTAAATTATATGCACTGGTATAATCCATTTCATTAACTGCTATACCACCACGCATCCTTGTTTAACAAGGTTTTTTAATAGTTTTGGAAATGTATATTAAAAGGTGGTCTAAAATGATTTTCACACCTTTTTAGTTACGTTAGTGACACAACCTTTTAGCACCCATCCACTAAAACTGAATGGATTATGTGTATAATTTAGTGTTAGGCATATGAGACAGCACATAACACTGATTTGATTGGCTATTGTTTATGAGGGGACATTTCTTTGACATATTATGGTTCAAGTTGTCATTGGTGTGTTATTGCTCACGTGTGGACAGTGTTTCTTAGATTGACAGATTTAGGTTTCAAAGTGGCCATAGTTTGATTTTTTGGCAATGATTCTGACTTGTCCATTTGTATGTCAACGTTGCATATTGAAAATGTTTTGAAAAAATGTCAAAAACAATAGAACCATATTTCTTTTCAAGAGATGGAGCCCTGTTTTAATAACACATCGATCTGGTATTCTATGGATATCTGATTGTTAGTACATTTTCATAATGCATAAATCATACTTTATGTACAGTAAAACCTGTAAAGTGAAACACCTCTATGTAAGTGAAACACCTCCAAAAGTGGAACGATTTTCAAAGTCACGCCACCCAATCATTTATTAGCCCTATTTACACTACACGCAACACTCCAAGACGTCTTGGCTAAAACGTTTTAGAAAAATTATGTTGAGTTTCAACCACCATTTTCAAGACGTATTACGAAATATAATTGAGTTTACACCTATTTTTCTAAAATGTCTCTGAGATATGTAGGTATACATGTAAAATGAAAAAAGCAGTTCAGTACTGGTTGAAGGACGGTTCAGTCAATATAGCTATTCCTTTCCCGCTTCTATACTTTGTACCCGACTTTGTACTAAAGAATGCATCGGTTTCACAAAAATATGTCCCAAAGATAGCATTGCTAAAAGCATGAAAGAGAGCAGGAAGATTGTGTGCATATATTAGTGTTATGATAGATCGCCAGGCAAATTGATTCTTCTCGATATTTTTGGGATGATATTGGGAACAAGGGATAAGACAAAAGAAAGGACCATGCGATACATGTACATGTAAACAGATAGTTCAAATTTTTTGTTCGGTGCAACGCAAAAAACGGGCTAAGAGTTCTTAACTAAAACCGATGGATTTACACTCGCTTGTAAAACGTTTTAATGATAAGACGTCTTGGCTATGACTAGGGTCCTAAAACGTTTTAGCTAAGCGCTCTTAACCGAGAGCTCTTGAGAAAATCTGGATTTACATTACATTTGTAAAACGTTTTAACACTAAAACGTTTTACCCAAGACGTCTTAGGGCTCTAGTGTTATTCCAACAATTGTTAAATGAACCTCTTTAAGTGGAGACCTCCCAAGTGGAACTCTTTAGAGGTGCCAAAGGTGTTCCTCCCATACAGGCTTTACTGTATATAAAATGGCATCTGATCATTTTTGTGACAAGTTATGTTAAGAACATTGTGCTGCAGTTTCTACATCTAGCAGGTATTCAGTTCTGTTGTCATAAAGTAGACTAGTTCTGAATATGGGTAGTTGGTGAGAATTTTGAATTCTTCAGAAGACCTGAATTCATTAAGTCACATTGATAGATGTATTGATGCTACTTTGAAGTTAAAACATATCTGCTTATCAAATCGATGTTTGATGTCTGCTGGCTTTAATAAATGCTAAAATGTGATGTTGATATGGCATTCTTTATGATTCTGCATTTCATGGTTGAAGCCTTTTTAAAGATATCACAAAATTTCGCTCTTCTTCAGACTTCTTTGCAGTTGATATAAACATGTATTAGGATCTATCACAAAACCAGCACGTGTGGAGCATGAATAATTTTTTTTAGATTGTTTAAGTTTTAGATTGTGTATATTTCACCTGATTTTGTGTTTATTGTATTAGAGATGTATTTGTAGCTTGTAGGTGATTTATAGCTGGTCATAGAACTCACACATCCAGTGAACCTGTGTTAATTAGTTTATTATCCCATCGAACAAAGTTCGGAGGGATATAGGGAACGCGTTCGTCTGTCTGTCCGTTCATCCGTTTGGGCAGTAACTCAAATACCATTGGCCCGATTTTGTTCATATTTTGTATACCCTATGGGTGTAGAAGTTCTGCTCGAAAGCCGATTCTCAAAATGGCTGCTCATTTAAAAATGGCGGCCATTTTGGTGTTGATTTTACAGTAATTTAGGTGCAATATGTAAAACTGTAATAGCAATATGTTTTAAATGTAAAAAAATTATATAGGACATTAATAAAGCTAGAAATGTAGATATTAAAGAAGCACATGGCAGCCATCTTGAAAAATGGTGGCCATCTTGAAAAATGGCGGCCTTTACCTGTTATTTAACGATTTTTGCTGTAACTCGAAAAGTAATGTTGCGATTTTGTTCATATTTGGTATGTGAATACTGAATACCATAAGCATGGCACGCTGTCTAATGAAACTTTTGATAGAATGTGGCCATTTTTCAAAATGGCCACCATTTTAACTTATTTTACTTTACCTCGAAAGGTAGTGGAGCGATTTTGTTCATATTTGGTATGTGATTACTATAAGCATGGCACACTGTCTAATGACACTTTTGGAAGAAGGCGACCATTTTGAAAAATGGGGGCCATTTTAACGTATTTTACTATAACTCGAAAAGTAGTGGAGCGATTTTGTTCATATTTGGTATGTGAATACTATAAGCATGGCACACTGTCTAATGACACTTTTGGTAGAAGGCAGCCATTTTGAAAAATGGCCACCATTTTAACGTATTTTACTATAACTCAAAAAGTAGTGGAGCGATTTTGTTCATATTTGGTATGTGAATACTATAAGCATGGCTACTTTTGGTAGAAGATGGCCATTTTGAAAAATGGCTGCCATTTTTGCTATATACCTTGTTTGTAAATATGCCAGTCATGGCTGTTCGATGGGATTTGCTACGCTTTGGTGTTGCTGTTGTCTAGTTGGTTCATATCTTCAAATTCAATACATAATAAGACAAATGACAGTGTCAGAAATCTGTTTCAAGTTACAAAACATGGATAAACATAGACCTGTATCAGAGAATTCCTCTCTATTGAACCTTTATACAGTGAACATTTTTGTTTGGCAAAATCTTTTTCCCCATTGACTCAATTCTTAATAAAATTTATTAACCTGTGTATAGTGAGCATTTAATCAAATGTTCAAATTGAAACAGGTGTGACTAACAGGGTATGTAGGTTTTAATTGCCTTGTGTCAGGCTAACTGTTTAACACCTTGATCTGCTATTAGATTGTATTAAAATAATTTCTTGTGTTTACCAATTACAAAACTTGAAGGTATTGAAATTGACCAAAGAAATAAGTCATTTGAATATTCCATTTCTTTAAACTTTTTAAAAACACATGTCTCCATATGCTATTTGACAAAACAAGACAGGAAACACCATTAGTAGTGAACACCTACCTACAGTGAACATTTTTATCTGCAACAAATCGTCCCTTCACTATTATAAGGTTCTAACTACCAATATGGGTCAAATGCATGTGAAAGTGGATTCCTCCTAAATTCACCATGCTCTTTTCAAAAATCAAGGTTATAAATCTGTATCTCAATTAAAAATAGGAGACTTCTAATGCAATAAGGTTCTATGTCCTTCATTTGAAAAATATGATTACTGCTATATGGAGATAAAACTTTTTAGCATTCAATGTCATGATTCAAATTGGAGATAAAACCTTTTTACATTTAATGACATAGTGTATACAGTGTGACACAGACAAAATGACACCCACCCACATAATGTTGCATAACTTTTTTATCTGGATGATATCTGACTTGACCTTTTGCATAGTAAAACCTTACTCCATGGAGCAGCCCCACAGGATGCACCTTTATGAGTATTATAAGATGTGTCATCTATTCCTTTGCAGGAGCGCCTGGATTTTACACAAAATGCCACCCTCCTTTTAAAGCAGAATTTTGTAAAAATGTTATCATGCCTTATCATGTTTGCTTTGGATATATAAAAGGGTCACTCGTCGCAATATCATGGCTTGCTTCTTTAAAAATAGCTTTATCTCATTGAAAAGCCCTCTATTCCAGGGTAAGAAAAGGTTCTCCATCAATTAAACTCATTGTTGCGTTACAGACGCAAAAGGTTCTATTTCCAAAAGCATTTTTTAAAAAAGGTAGCCTTAAACATTGACATTTCTTGCCATCCTGATCAGGAATGATTCATCTTGGCTATATAATGCATGAGCATTCTTGTCAAAATTCTACTTTACTGTATCACAAAGATAGAGGAACCTAAATGTTTGTTCTCCATTTTCTCAAATATGGTACATGAGGACATAGAATCTTTTAATACTAGATCGACGAAATGTTCACAATACCCAAGTTTTACTGTATGGTGTCAATTAGAGGTGTCACGGATACCCGATTTTGTTCCGATCCGCAGAATTATGCCCTCGGAACGGAACACGGAACAAAAATTAAGAATTTCAGTTCGGTTCTGGAACAAGGACATTTTACCCTTTCACATCTTCTGGCCCTTGAATCTCCACAAAACAGCATTTTTCTTTCAATCTTTTTACTCCATCTCTTTGAAGAGTTTTGAAGAGCTTTTCACTACCAAAAAGACCTAGATGTTAAAATTATTTTAATTTAATACATGCAGTCACTCTGTTCCGTTCCGAAGCAAAATGTTCCGAACCGAACTTTTCCGAATTTTTTCTGTTCCGTGACATCTCTAGTGTCAATACATTGTATGCACTTATTTCTTACAAAATGTTTTGTACACTTTATTTGTGTATTTGCTAAACATGTTTTGATTCCCCATCGATATCACTTCACATGCAATAAAATATAATTGAAAAGTACACAAATGTAATATATCTATAATTTATACCAAAACTGTTATTCTACTAATATTCACGCAGTTATAAGTTTTGCATATCCTTGATTTTGAATGATATCAGTTTTATCAACAGCCTGACTTCAATATGTCATCTATAAGACACAATGGAAGATTCTTATATAAGAGTATTTAGAATAGAAGGATTTTCAGTTTAATTAAAGTAAACATTATTGTATTTCAGTTCCAAATAGGAGAGGTGGTGATTATCCAGGTTATCCATACAATTGAGTTCTGTCTTGGTTGTATCTCCAACACTGCATCCTATCTGAGATTGTGGGCATTGAGTCTTGCTCATGCAGGTAAGAAACAAATAAATACATGTATATTGATACAGTATGTTTAACTATTTGATGTGCTTCTTAGGGTCTTAAAGCATTCACATAACATTAATTTCGTTAACTGGTGCTATACCATATTAGTCAACGGAACTGGATGTTTTAATTGATTGAAACATATAAGATTAACTCATGCTCTTGTTTATACTCAACTTTGAATGTTTCAGAGTTATCTGATGTCCTGTGGTCAATGGTGTTTAGAGTTGGGCTGTCAATAAATGGCTGGGCAGGAGCTGCTGTCCTCATATTTGTGTTTATCTTCTGGTCTGTTCTCACCCTGGCTGTCCTGCTCGTCATGGAGGGACTCTCTGCATTCCTGCATGCGATTCGTCTTCACTGGTAAGAATCTCACCCCATGAGGAATATGTCTCAATGGGCATCATTTGAAACATGGTGGAGCATGTGGATGACACTCTACATTGGAAAACAATGTCAGAAATTATTATTACTTCATTTTTAAGAGAAAGCTATACACAAGATGACGTCCATCTAGGTGTTCAGAATGCTCCTTCATTTTTATGCTGCCAATGTTTTGGAATTCATTTGCATCTTAAACCATTGATGACTCCATCTTAGTCTGAGTATGTCTGTTGGAGAAATTATCTCTCCTTTAAATATTGTTCTTTCATTTGTAATTTTGTTCATTGTTTGAAAAAGAGCACCATTAACTTGTTTTCATTTCTTTATTCCAGGATTGAGTTCCAGAATAAGTTCTATACAGGGATGGGGTACAAGTTTGTACCATTCTCCTTTGACCAGATCCTAGAAACGTCACACATCGAGGCAGAATAGAAACCAGAGCCAAAAACCTCCTAAGGGAATATAAACACATGGAATTCATATTCCCTCCTTGAAATTAGCTGATTTACTTGCTAGTTATTTGGGACAATATTCACCCATTTGTCTGTTTTCTGCTGTAATAGCAATTCTGGACTCTCTTGGATTTTTCTTTCATGATGTCAATGTATGAGTGGTGCATCATAGCATTATACCAACAAACAAATAAATTGGAAGTACTATAAATCATTATGTGTCTATATTATACTGATTTTGTAAATGTATCATTCTGTATAAATCTTGTGAAAGAGACATTTAAGGTGATTGATGCATCAGGGATATATTGTAAAGGTAGTCACCTGTGTGGTCTTCCCTTCTGTATTAGATTACATTGTGAGGTCACAGTAATGTACATTGTGAGGTCACAAGGAGCAGTAATTTCAAATGTAGAAAATTGTGGAAGGTAATGTGACTTTCCAGGTACTAGTTGTTATTCAAAGTTGGTGGAATTTTTCCAGCATTTATCATGTTGTTTTTATTCAGCTCATGTTGAGTAAAATCAGTAAAATGGTGCATAATATAATAGTAAATATATATATATAAGTATCAGTACTTGAATAGATTGTGGCTTACTCATGATGTTCAATGAAAAATTGTTAGGTTGAGTTGTAACCTGGAGGCATGATCTATTCAAGTCTTGGTACTCTGCAGTTAGTTAGGGGTGGTGTCCAAATGAGTGCATTTGTGAAAATTTAGTTTAAAGTTTAGTAGGGTTAAACCTGACCCCCTCATTACCAAGGTGAAAATGCTAATTTGCTGTTGTCTTGGATTAATTAAACAGTCATTTACCCTGTCTCACTTTGACAAAATTATTTTCCTTCTTCCACAACTATTCATATTTGAACATCATTCATTTAGACACCATCCCCCATGAATGTTAAAATATTTATTATCAATGGAGTAATGTAAAATGTGACTGTTTTGTGATATTCCCTATTAGATATTCATGAAATAGGCTTCAATCAGATTTTGAACTTTGAAATTAATATGGATTTCTATCCAATCCCGAAGCAGAAACCATGACAATGTTTTAAATAAATTAGGTATGTCACTATTCAAAATTATTATAATCCATATATACTATATACTAAAACATGCTGACCAATCCTGATAGGTTTCACAATTGTATTGATTATGTTAGGCTATTACTTCTATAGTTTCTTTATATAGGTGATACTTTATTTTTGACAATTACTTCTAAGCCTAGTCTGTTAATTGGCATTTATATAGGTGCTATGCTAATTTCACAAGCGCCTCGTGCGCTCTTTGGCAAATTTACCATATAGGTGTTAGAATTTCAAAATTACACTGAAAATGTTATTAGAATTGTTAATGTATCTCTGTTATGTACATGTTTGGAATAAAGTAATGAATGTTGTAAATAATGCTATAGTTTAGTATTGTTTTCAAGCATTTTCCTGGTTTGGATCTAGAATGGTCCTTTCCTAAAGCAGAATAACTGTTTCAGTGATCCAGCATTAAAGCAGTATCCACCTGAAAATCCATTTGCACCTACTTGAAAATGAGAAATATCATGAAAAATTGGCATATTTTGATAAATGGTCTGAATTGAGAAAATGAGAACTTTGCGCCCACCTGAGAAAGAATCCTGGGGAGATCACTGTGTTCTTTGGTAAATTATAGAAAATATTCAAAACATCCAGACTATTATTGCTTCATGAAAAGCAACATCTGAAAAACCAACTATTGCAAGTGCCTAATATAATATGGATTATAGTGTGAAAACACAAGGGCAACAATTAAAAAACTTTCAGACCTTTAATACATTTCAAATTTTTGCCATCAATAGCTACAAAGTCATTCATGATGTATTTTCTGTTCGGGGAACTGGGGATTGTGTAAAACAAAATGTGTTCATGTTTTAACTAGTTTCGCTGAAACAGAAATTTCTGCCTTGGTCTTTAGCACATTGTAATTATACTCCATGGAGCAACTCCACAAGAGGTTTCAGATGATTACCTCAACAAAATGCAAAAGAGTAAGAGATCGATAGTAAAATGATTCTGTAAAGAATTTGTCTAAAAAATTTTAACACATGGACAGACATGCAAGTTAAAGATTTCATCGACCCACCACCATATGAGCCAAAAATACGGTACTAGTAGAAGAAAGGCAGAGATCTCTTGTTTCATCTATTTTAGTTCAAGATATCAAAAAATATACTTTTAATTGCTTCAAGCAAAACCAACATAATTTGGTAGTTTTCATTCAATACAATAGGATTTTATATTTCTATATAATATTCATAAATATACAATATTCATATTAAATGAACAATAATTTTCATTTCTAACCATACCCAACAAATAGACAATGTTTTTCAAAATACATCTTAAAAATATGTACATTTTACATACAAGAGAGTAATATCTAAGTAAAGAGTGATACACTTAAACTAAAATTCTACATTTTCCAATTTCAACTGTAAGAGGAATGTTTTTTTCGTTCAAAAGAACAGACATTTCAAAAATATGGCAAAATATATCTTCAATGCAGGACGGAGAAGGTGTACAGACAAATCTAGACTAGTTTAGATTTACAATAAAATAATTGTATCTCAAAATGGCACTGTCTGGGGTTTTAACAATGTATTGTGAGCTATATGAAATATACTGTTATTAAGCTTTATTTGAAATGCCTAAATCTAAAAGGCAGGGTGGTGAAATGAAGTTGTGTGGCTATTTGATTAGAGGGTCAGCTGATTACTTCAGAATGCTAAAGCAAAATAAATCCATGATTTAATTTTGAGTAGATTCCCTAAATCCTTATGACACACCCTGTACAAGCATCTACAATTTTCGTGATTTGAGGTCAGACATACAGACAGTGCCTCTTTAAAATTTGGATGGAATTGGAAAGTCAAGAAATACCATGTACCAGTAAAAAAACATACATATAGTGGACATTCATGAGTAAAATACATGTAGATATATACATGTAATAGTCTTTATATTAAATATAGATGTAATCTGATGTTGTAAAAACAACATGAAGCAATAATAACATTATGCTTCTTTAATATCACAATGGTGGAAATGAAAATGAGTATCAGACTAAACATAGGAATAAATACATTCTTTATCATAGTTCTCCCTAAATCTGTTGAAATTTCTTGAGTATCAGTTGAAAAGATAATTCTAATTTGTCCTGAGCTTTTAGACCCTACTTTTCATACAATAAAACCTCACATTGGGAACACCTAATTTCCTTATATATATAAGAGGTGTTCATTGATTACATTTGTCTCTGTAACTTACAATACATTTAATACAACACTGTATTTGTATTACTTAATACAAGTAAGATATTTTCATGTTTTTTAGAGTTAAATCAATGGATGAGTAAAGCGAGAGTAATATAGGGTGAACCATTAGCTCCAATGGTGTGAGGCATGCAGGGATGCGGGGATGCAGTGATATCATTGTTACTAGCTGCAAGATGCCTTATATTCGGATTTTTAATCCATTCAGTTGCCAAATTACATCTAAAATATAAGCTTAACAAAAAATCATAAAATAAAGCACAAGCAAGTTTAAATATACAATAAGCCAAAATCAGATCATATACTGTAAGCATTGCAGGCAGAAACACTAAAAGTCTACTGAATTTACAAAATAAACAACTAAAAGCTAGGAGAAAGGGCTTATAAAAATATTACACTGTCATACCTGTCTCTACATGACAAAATGGATTTATTTTTGTATACGCATAATAATCCATGAAGTCTCATACACTTTTGCTTTTAGCTCTACTGACACAATACTAATATGTTAATGTGTAAAATAAGTGATTTGGGATATTGAATTCAAGTTTTGATTCTCTAAGATCATAAGTTCTCTTATATTCTTTGATCACTGTCTTGATATCCAAAGAGCATGAGTCTAATCTGTTTGGATCCTGATCTTCGAGAATCAAAACCACTTATTGTTATATAATCAGATCTTAATGTTGAGGAGCTGTGTACATATTTCAAAATAAAAGTTGAAAAAAGAACTTTGCAGGCAAAGTGAGGAAAAACCTCTTTTACTGCCGCTGAATACTAAAACAAACAAAAATGATCCAAAATTTGCATCCTCCGATCACAGGGCTTCAAATCCAGAATACATTCTTTCTTTTTACCCCCTGCGATAAGCAGTTAGCATTTCCCCAATTAAGAACTCGCAATCTAATTGGCTGTCGCAACACTGCGACAGAAATCATGTATAAGTCATTGCGCATAATTAGATCACATGATTCAGTTTAATCGGGCGCTTCCAAATTTGTTATTGCAGGGGGAAGATAAGAAGGAGGTACGGATTCTGGATACCTGCTTAGGAGGATGAAAATTTGTAACCCAGCCCCTTTATAGCTGAGGTTTGTACTAAACTGTGCTGCAGGCATTGTAATGAGTGTATGTTGTAGTGATGTATGCACTTGCCGGTTCAGTGAACTATACTAGAAAACTATCCCTTGATTTTATAAGCATTGCGCATCATCAAGTCAAAGTAAGCATCTTGATCGATTGAAGCACTGACTCCTGCATAATAATTCTGAAATTCTTCTTCTGTGATCTGCAAGTGAAAACGCAATGTGATAAATAAAATAAAACAAGCATTGTGAATGGAAACTAAACGTGGAAGCAGTAAATGAAATTGAATTCAGTGAAGAAATGTTGAAATATAGTGATAAAACATCCAATATTAGAAATTGATCTAAAAAATTGTCATTATACACCATAATACAGACTGGATACTTTAATATCAAAGAATGACTCATATGTATCATACAACAGAAACAAACATGTATACAAGTTAAATATTTACAGATACAAATTTTCATTACCTACCAAGTACTACATGTAATTCTTAATCTATTATTTAAATATACATAATCTATAATAATACTATTGAGTTTGCACATGTTGCTCAAATCAAGCCTAATATTCATTATAAATATGCAATCAATAAGTATTAAAGTGTATTGCATTTAATTAATTCTACACAAGCACTCTGCTGCAGTTCTACATGTAAATCATGAAGTGGCTAAAACTAAATCTACATGTACAGAGCATTGGTATGAAAGCAATCACGAAACCATAATCATACATGATAAATCAAAGGGTATTCTACACTTCAACATTCAATCAAGAAACGCCATATCTAAGGTACAAGAATGAAATGTTGTCAACCCTGTGAGGAATCAGAGATAGTGTTTTACAAGCCACTAAACTGTTGCAGTCACTTCTACAGCTTGGACACCTAACACAAGAATATACACTGTAAACATATTAGGGACCATCTCAAGTAGTCTTGCCTCAAGACTGTGTACCCCACCCCCTTGTGTACTTCACCTCTCCAAAACAGGTGAAGTGAAGGTTAAATACATGAGGGGAGGGGTACACAGTCTTAAAGCAAGAGTCATAAGGGACAGTCTTTCAGGGATTGTCTTCTATTTACTTCTAAAGATGGTCCCTAAACTAGAGTGATACCATGTATTGAATTTTCAATTTTACTTGGAGCGTTGAATCTGATTATTTAAGAGAAAAGAAAATATCTTAATCAGTGGTTACATTGGCATTGTTCCCTTGTTTTTTAACCCAAATTCCCATTTTTTTGAAGAATTAAGCAGCTGTTTCTTTGTTAAAATCATAATTTACACTGCCTGGTGTTTTCAGTAAGTTGTATTGCCAATTGTGAGAAATTCTAATGAGACCCCTGATTCTGATTAGGAATCTGGTTTATCTAACGATTAAATTAATCAATTTATGGAATTCAATCTTGGTATCACCCTACCAAATCACAATATTGCTAAATCTAGTCTGGATGGATACTGCATATCTATAGCAAGAGAATCAGACAAAATAGCACTTAAAACTACTTTGTCTTGCATTAAGTCTGTGGTTAAATTGCTCCCTGCTTGTTTTTATTGTCTATTTGGGAGTTTGAGAATATGGTGAATAACCAAACACTTGATGCAGACAAGATGTAGATAGATTACTAATAATTTTTATATTGATTTGTGCTAATTGATTTCATCATTGTCGTTGAGGGATACAGATTCTAGATTTAAAACTAGAGGATTCACTGCATCATTTGTCTTAAACTCTGCATGTCCTCACATATTGGAACTACTTCTTGAGAGCAGGCCATGCTGCACGCATCATCAAATCAAAATATGCCTCGCTATCAATGGAAGCGCTAACACCAGCATAATAGTTGAGAAATTCGTCTTCTTTGATCTGCATAGAACCAACAGAAAGGAGGTTATTATATATACATCAAATATGTTTTTAAAGGTTAGATACTCTAAGAAAAATATGGTAGTCATGTTTTGAAAACCCAAAGGATAGTGAAAGCAATGGACAATGTACATGTATTTAATAATTAAAAGTATTGTAAGCATAAAATAAACATGATACTCCGAGAACAGGTATTCAATTCAATTCCAAATGGCAGCCATTTGAATGGAGTGGACATCTTGAAAATTCCTTCTCAGGTTCTAGATTATTCTATGATCACAAGGTATCAGTCTATGAAATTTGAACTAAAGAACCTGTATACAACTTATTGTCTATATATAGCCAGATGCACAGAAAGCTCTATGTTCCTTTTCGATCTTCATTCAGTGGGATATTTACAGACCAGTGGTTCTACTTATTTTCATAGATGCTGTTTATGTTATAACATATGACCCAGTGCTCGTGTCACACCCTATTTCTCGTTAATATTATCATACAGCTGTTTCATAATGTACAGTGCATTATATGCAGCTTTATTTTATATGCAGCTATATTTTATATGCAGCTTTCATCATCAGATCAAAGTATGCCTCATTATCAATGGACGCACTCACACCAGCATAGTAGTTCATAAAATCAGATTCTGTGATCTGAAATAAGAGTTTTAAAATCAAACTGGAAAGTTTTAACAGTTTTATAACTGCTCAATGGGTAGAGTTTATATGCATGCCCTCTGTGCCTGTAAAGATACAATAGCAAACTGCTAATCTGTCAAAGTTTCATTTCTATTGTTTGAAGAAAGGATAATGAATATACATATAAAACTGTTAGATGTGGGTCTAAATATAATAAATCATGCCAATTAGTTTGATATATACAGGTAGTATATAAAGTAAACCAGTATCAAATTAAGCTACTCATATTTCAGATATTAAATCAATAAACAGAATTTATCATCACATTTAATATTACGCATCAGGTTAAGAACCTTGGTAGTTGTAAGCGTTGTGAATAAAACATCAATCAACAACATCTGCAACTAAAATATGGATATTTATTGGGAATATTCATGTGTATTATGCCCATGGATCCTGAAAGCAACATCTGCCACCATATACAATATTAAGATCAATACTACAATTTATTTCTGAAAAGTAACACGTGAAATCAAATTACTGCTTTATGACTGTTGTGAAATTGAAAGTGAAAATGGATGCATTCAGATACAATATTCTTTGATTCATCCCTCTTAATCCAGACCTATGTGTACAATTAGAATAATGCATTTTGACTGCACCTCCTGCATATATCAATTCATTTTCTACATAATGATGGCTTTTCCTGCATATCATTTACAGCGATTTCCATAATCTACTTCAGAGAAATTAGTAGCTTATTTCAGATACTGTATAGTAGATACACTTATTTCGATGCTACTTAATTTGACGGATTTGCTCAATTTCAAATATTGGCAGATTCAGGTCTGAAGTTTAATTTTTGTCTATGTTTATATCATTAGGACAGGTATTTACTGAGATATTTTCTGTATTGCTTTTGGAATAATGTAGAATTGATGACATGTTGACAGGAAAAGGGGCCCCAGAAGTTCAATTTCTGAAGTGCATTGGACAAAAATTCCCAATGGAAATTTGACGGATTTTTAATATGGTGGATTTTCTGAATTCCTCAATCTGTCAAACTAAAACAGGAGTCAAATTAAGTGTAACTTTAATATCATGCATACAGTATAATATTTTTCAACATGCTACATATCAGAAAGGTCATGCTTTTCTATGTAAAGTAAACAAATGTACACATATAATGCATGCAAAGACATATGCAGAGCTCTAGCTAGGCGCATCACCACAGCCTAACAATAAATCTGAATTGCAGTCATCAATTGGTAAATATCTCTTCGTAAGTGCCCGGGTATGTTTTAAATACAGTTACATTGTAATGCAGAACACATCATTCATTCAAGATCACAATACAAATTTTCCCATGCCAAATAATGCAGCTACTGTTCACACCATTATTATATGAAAACTAGGAACAGAGATAGATAAAATGTCACCACCTTGTAAGTTATTGCAAATTGTTAAAGACACCAAATGCAAAAAGGTTCACCAATCACCAAAAACGGCAAAAAGGTGCTGAATAAGATATAATTTCATAAATATTGCTCTCTATCTCTGATTCCATTTTTAACTGATTATCACTAAATATCAAAACAAATCAATTTAGAGTGTGAATTAAAGCCCCATTACCAAATAAAGAACTTCATGCAATACTGAACAAATTATGAGTTTTACTTACAACTCCATCTTTGTTGTTAGGGTCGTCAAAATTGTCAAGAAATGTTCGTAAACACCGATCTTCAGTCCACTCCCCATTTAGATATTTTGGATGCTTTTTCACATTGTAAACTCCTTTTAAATCTTCAACAGTAATTTGTCCATCTCCTGTCTTGTCTAAGATTCTGAATGCTTTGTTAATGAGCTCTTTCCTATGATTTGACATTGGGGGCTGAAAGCAGAAATGAAGATCAGGGGTTGAATGCCTACTACCACATTACCCACCTATCCGAATACTCTCAGTTTTGATGGCGATAATATGTTAAGCATAAAGATTTTGGTTGGAGCTATAATTATTTCTTGCTAAGAGTAGTTTGTTTAATGGGATGTTTTAATGGATTAAATATGAATTCTCAAAGGAACCTCAATATTGAATCTGAGTTTCATGAATTTTGGATGAAAATACAACAGTGATAATACAAAATGATTATTTGCTTGGCAAGTATTGCTGATTGCTGTATACAATAATTAGACTGTATTGGTATTTTTATAATTTAAGTTAGTGATCTCCCTAAGTTTTTTTCTAAGCAGGGCTCAAAATCCCAAATTTTTTTCACTGGAACTAAATAGACTTAATTTACCCGTAAAGCAATCAGAAATTCATCAAAATCTAGCGAGCCGCTTCCATCTTTATCTAATGAGGTGAAGAGTTCTTGTTCTTGCTCTTTGGATAACATACATCCATAGTCATGCAGTCCTTTCCTGAACTCTTTGAAATCTAAACTTCTGCTACCATCATCATCCATTATCTTGAATGTTCTGAAATAAAAATTTTCTTATGACTAGACTAATTGGGTATCAGTGAATATTAAATTATTTTTTATTGAATCAAGTCAAAACCGTAAAAAGAATATTTCATCAATTATAATTCAAACGGACACTGTCCTTTGTGAGATATTGCATGCTTTCTTCAAAACTTAAAATCACCGGATCTGCCATTCTTTAAAACATCTGTGAAGGTTGAACTTCATCTCGCGCGTTATAGCGAAAAACAAAATGGCCGTTTTTACTGAAGAAAAAATTGGTTTTAGAAAAGACTAAATTAAAGCCGATGTAGACGGACATTCTAAGTTCAATGAAAGTATGTTTACTATATTTCAGTTCATAATAACAGTCTACGAGAGATAGCGTAAAAAGAGCTAAAACTAACAGGGCTTGATGATAGCTGTGGCTGAAGGATAAGGTAAGCTTAAAGAGAAACAAAGTAGTCCATTAACAATATTTTGGAATAAACCTTCACCTTCCTAGACCTTTGATTCCATTTGCGCCCCTTTGTAAGCACTGTGCCCGCAAAATGTCAATAGGGTTTCTGGCAGTTTTAGCCATTTGTTTTGCCTTTAGTTGCATCTCTCTCTCTCCTCTTTGTGTACAAGCCATATTTGGTTTAGTATAGTGTTGTCTACTTGTGTTTTATGAGGATCAAGCAGGTAAGATTTTCTCCAGAATTTCAGTGATTTTCTCCAAAATTACTTTTTACTTATGATTGTTGATATCCCATTCAGTATCCTTCTCTGAAAGTTAAACTACTTGCGAAATATATTTTCTTATTCGAATGATAAATGTATGTGTAGGTGAGGTCGATATATATCGGAAATACCCTCTAAAACTGATTAAAAATGCAATATTTGTATCATATTTGCAACTATTTTTCAAAAATGGCGAAGTCTCCCGTGACGTCAAAATCTCGCACCTTGTTATAACGTCTCCACAACGACCACACAAGTAAAGAGAATGGGATTGGTACTTTATATGAGTTTTAACCTTTTTCACGCCTTTAATGTTTTCTAAAAAGGTAGTATCAACTCCGAAATTTACTCATTTCAGTAATTTTTAAGATTTGTGTTGAATTAATTACCCCATTTAATAGCAATTAGCAGTTCAACTGATTTGCTTGCAAGAGTTTCTTTGCCAGGGATAAAAGGGGGCGGGGTCATGTCCTTGAACTTTCTGACACTACTTCCGGGTTAAAAGAGGTAGAGGAAGTTCTCCAGAAAGGTTGATACATCTGTATAAATTATAAGATAATGACAACGATAAAAGTAAGTTCCTTTTTTTTATTTAACTCCAGTGAGTGTCAACGAATTCAACTAATCTATCCAAATTGCTTTCTGCTTAGAGGAGTTTCATATTTCTGTGATTGCAGTTGACATGCACAAAAAACATGTTTTTTTCCAACACTTGCAATTTGCATGCATGTAAAGTGGGGAACAAAAATAAACCGCAACCATCAAAAGTTGTCACAATGAGCTAAATTCTAAGTATCGTGTCTCAAACTCTCCTAAGCGGTAGAAAAATAATTCCCGTTCACAATAATTGAATCCAAAGCTTTTCATGAATCGCCATGTTTGTGATCCAAGGAGGATTGACTCCCAGAATGCAACATCAGTTGACCTTATTTACTCGTGACAGGTTTCAAAATGGTGGAACGGCATTTTGAAAGCCTGCTGGCATGTGTCATGTTGCATTCTGGGAGCCAATCCTCATTGCGGCGTAATCGGGCTCCAAAATCACCTCAACATTTGAAGAGTTGACATTACATGTGTGTGAATATCCATTCTCTAAATTCATTTCGTGCGTTGCGTACCTTCACTACCAAGGCACAGGAGATAAGATTGCACTAGATGAAAGCTCGGAGATTGGTGAATATCCACTTCAAATTTTTAAGTTCTTATTTTTTGTCATTATGGACACAAATTCCACTATATCTGGACTTACATGACTTACTAAGACTGAGAAAATAAAGCACTGAATACACTGAGGTAAACATTTAATATTACATGTGCGACAGCATGTTACTAAAGTTTTCATAGCTATAGTAATTCTTTATGTTCTCCACTGTACAGTCAGATGTTTGGAACTACTTTGAATTTGAAAAATAAGCAATCAAATGACTATATTGCAACAGTATATGGAAAAATGGAAACATATGTACAAGTCCTAACTTTTGTATATTTCAGATAGTTGGGATGGAGGGGGGGGGTCGGATGGAGGGGGGGATTTATATATCTTTACGATGGAACATATTCACAAGAACTTGTGTACTTGAAAAAACTAAACTCAGTACCCCAATAAGACACTGGATATTATATCTCTCGAGAATTAAAAATGGGAAAATTTGGAGTCATAAGAATAAATTCAAGTAGCATGTCTTATCATGTCTTATATACACGTGATCCCCCTCCATCCGATCCCCCCTCCAACCATCCCAAATAAATTTATTTAGATTATTTTTTGTATAATGCATGGAAACTAACTTTAAAAAGTGAGCAATGTCATAAGTATTGTGATAATAACGTCCCTTATACCTATTTATTACAGGTCATGTAGACCATTGTTGCCCGATTTATAGCAAAAACATTGACTTTTGCACTTTGGTGATGATGCACCTTTTTTAATAGATCTCATATCTTAGAAGGGTATCAGTTCAAAAAAAATACTAGATGACCTAACATATTTTGCCATGCACTGCGCCTATTTATTTGGGAATCCAGTTTTAAATTTTCTCTTTAAAAAATAAATCTTCCAAATGTGTTGTGTTTTCTTGCAGAAATCGCCTAATCCCCCTCCATCCCATTTGTACGATCACCTGGCGTGATACTGGTTCAATATTGCCCTTTGATTGCTTATTTTTTAAATTCAAAGTAGTTACTAACATTTAAAATTTTACTGTACAGTAAAATTTTAAATGTTTGGAACTACTTTGAATTTAAAGGCCCACTATACTTAATTGAGAATAAAAAATAAAAAATTATCATTGAAACATGTTACTCACACACTAGCTCAATGGGATCTCAAGGAAATTCTGATATTTCAGTTTTCCAAATTTTCTTTCAAAGTTTTCAGACAACACAGGAGCTACCATTGACCTGTTTCAAGGTTTACTAAAGTTAAAAGTAGACTGTGTAATTATACTTTCCTGAAAAAAGCAAGGAAATACACACATGCCTTCATACTTAATTTTGTACCAGAAAATAATATGTGCAGGTATAGCAGTTTTTTACCAAAATGTTACTTTCCAGCTGAGCCTTAATATTGAACCAAGAAAGAAATAACTCAAATAGAAAAAAGCATTTGCAGTTTAGAGATCATTAGACATGCATGCACATTTGACTTACTTTTGATTTAAAAGAGGGTGGCACTTCTATAAAATGAATGTATTATGTAATACAAACAACTTTACCATCTTTCAATGAAAACTTGATATATAAAGCTTGACAGATCGAAAATATTTCTTGATAATTTATTGTAAGCTTTGATGTGATCCGTTTGAGCTGTTGTTGGTGTCAAATGAAAGATAAGGTTCTTATCAATACGTATATTGGACATACTATGAAATTCAAATGTAAATCTTTATTTTGCCCAAAAAGTTGAAAATACGCAAAGTTGGCCTTAAAAAATAAGCAATCAAAGGACCATATTGAAGCAGTATATGTAAAAATAGAAACATTTATACATGTTCTACTTTTGTATTTCAGTTTGTTTTGTAGTTTAGCTATCATATCTGTGCCCTCTTATATTTTGATGCTTCTCTGCCATGTTATTATCCCATCGAACAAATGTTTGGAGGGATATAGGGTACACCTCCCTCCCTCCATCCGTCCGTCCTTCCGACCATCCGGGCAATAACTCAAATACCGTTGGCCCGATTTTGTTCATATTTTGTGCACATATACCTTATGAAGGTAGAAGTTCTACTCGAAAGCCGATTTTCAAAATGGCCTGCGCTCATTAAAAAATATAACATTTTGCTCGAGATGCGGACTGTTAATTTTAGAAAACAATGCCTGACACCCTTTTGCAAGGGTCAAGTTGGCAAGTCATCAATTTCACTCTGTAGAGTCCAGTCTATCATCACCATAACAACTGTTTAACTAGTGACCTTGAGTGTGTTATTGGTTATACTATATAATAACGGAACTTTACTTGAAATAGTGTGTTCTGATTAGCTGGAATTGGACACACCTTGCCTAGCTACGGAGTGAATTGGCCAAATAATGGTACCCTATAAACCTCCAAATGAGCACTTATACTGCTAAATACAACAGAACACCCTGTGCTTTTTTACCCAAACTATTTTTGAGCACCCTGTAGACCCCACGCCCAATACCCAAACACCTTTTTACCCAAACCCCAAGGTAAAAGTAGTATTGCTCAATCTAGAAACTACAGGTATGAGCACTGTTGTGGGAAGTTCTACTATGACCCGATTATATAGACCAGGTTATGAAGGTGAAATTACCCTTCAATGTCTTCATGGGTATTGCGCATGTGTCTCGCATGCATCTGCATGCATCTTGCGATCTGATTGGTCCATTCGTGAAATAAGGTGCTTTTTTTAAGAATTTTGCTATGGTCTTACATTTGCAGTATTATCTTGATCCTTGTATGTATACGAGTGTCTGATATTGAAACAATACTTTTCCTTTGGCCTTTGATGATCACAAGCACTGGGACAGTTAATGGAATTGTCCTGAAAAGAAAATTCAACACCACTTTCTGTGGTATACATATATATAGAGTGGGGGCTGGATTTTCAATTCAATAAAATTTTCTATCTGTTATGATGCCTGTGGTCATCATCTTGTCTAAGGAACTTTCTGGTACTTCTCATTAACTCGAGTCTCTAGCCAACCGACTTCGGATGTAGAGACAGACTTGGAAGAAGGTTACCCCTAGCTATGATCTTCCTAGAGTTGTCATCTCAGGAACCAGATACCTGCCATATCTCTGTTTCGATCTTGTTTGTGGCTGCATATCCTATATTCCAGAGGTGTTCACTTCACTTTATAATCAGTAAAAGACAATAATTCAATATAATCATCAAGTGACATCAACTTGGGTTATCAAATGAATTTTCGAGCATTTCATCTTGTTGATTTGCAAATTCTTCTTTCTTGCAGATCGGGATTATTGGAGGTTCAGGATTGGACAATCCAGATATTCTTGAAGGTCGTACTGAAAAATTTGTTGAAACCCCATTTGGAAAGGTAGATATAATTGTAATTTGAGTAATTGTTAATTCAATTTTTATGCAAATGAACAAAATGATTACTTTCTATAACTCTTTCGCTTCAGTCTTTTAATATTAGATCTATATTATATACACCTGGACAGAACTATATTTTTAATAAAATTGACAAATTAAATAAAATGATAAGACCATGTAGCTACTGACTTCTGAAGAAATGACAAATCCTCACTTTCCCAATGTTAAATTCAGACCATGCGATAGTCCGACGAGTTTTTATTTAGATTTGAAATCTTGCTAATTTTCTACTAACACTTTTTGATAAATCATGAAATTAAGTGACTATTGCAAATTTTTACCATTGAATCCTGTAACAGTCTGGCCTAACCCAAACAAATAGAAACAAGTTCTGACATCTATTTATTCAGCTTTATTCAGCGATATACATATGTATCAACTCTTTTATTGATAGTACATTTTAACCTGATTTTTAGCCCTCAGATGCTCTGCTGATTGGGAAAATCAAAGATGTTGACTGTGTGCTTCTTGCAAGGTAAGAGTAGGGCTGAATACTACCTGTAAATAAAGTAACAAAATAACAAATACTAAATAAAACAACAAACACAGGAATGGCAACTCATGTCTCCCATTGTTACATATCTGTCTCAGATATGAAATATGTCACACCTGTTTTTACCTGTCAATATGCAACTTGTGAGGTCACAACATGTGCACACAAAAACACACTTCATTCATTCATTGCCATATACCATTATCACGGGGTACCATCGAATGATTTTGGCAACGTACCGGAGAACGACATTTTACTAAGAAATGGCAATAATTTAGCACAATACATTTTTTAACTAGAGTTCTATTTTGATTTTGACAAAAGTAAGTATTCCATGCAATAACTATTTCATTCATGAGTTTGTAGGAATTCTGTTGGAACCCAGTTCTGATCAAGTACGAAGTGATTGAAATCGGCGCAGACGGACTTTACTCCGAAAGATGGTTTTTCGATTATAACTTTTCACAACATTTAAGTATAGACTTTTGAAAAAAGTACAGAATAGTCCTTATACTTTTGAATAATTCTGTTATTTCTGATTCACACGACTCTGATTTGTTTAATTAAAAAAAAAGTTTTAAAAATATTACTAAGGAACGCAACCGGAGCTGGGAACATAACCGGAGCAGATCAGTTGAATTATTTAATCAAAAAAATTAAAATATATGATTTAAGCCTAAAGCACATATACTAATTTAAAAACATACGGGATTGTTCGAATGCGTATTTATTAATATATATGCTTTAAATCATATATTTTATTTTTTTAAATTATATAATTCAACTGATCTGCTCCGGTTACGTTCCTAGGTAATATTTTTAAAACTTTTTTTTTGATTAAACAAATCAGAGTCGTGTGAATCAGAAATAACAGAATTATTCAATAGTATAAGGACTATTCTGTACTTTTTTCAAAATTCTATACTTAAATGTTGTAAAAAGTTATAATCGAAAAACCATCTTTCGGAGTAAAGTCCGTCTGCGCCGATTTCAATAACTTCGTACTTGATCAGAACTGGGTTCCAACAGAATTCCTACAAACTCATGAATGAAATAGCCATTGCATGGAATACTTACTTTTGTCAAAATCAAAGTAGAACTCTAGTTAAAAAATATATTGTGCTAAATTATTGCCAATTCTTAGTAAAATGTCGTTCTCCGGTACGTTGCCAAAATTATTCGATGGTACCCCGTGATTATATTATTACATGGGCTTTCAGCAGATATTGGTATATATTGAATGGCATCTTTATTATGGTAAGAAAATGTCTTTGTATGAATCATAAATGGGTAGAAAATTAACAGTGAAACAAAGTTCATGCATATGATTTATGAAAAGTTAAGAAGTAAATTTGTTATTTGCTATAAAACTTGGAGAAAGACATAATTGAATGGAACCAAAAGCTACACATTTGAGTTGCCATATTCCATTTTATTTTATTTCAAGGTTTTGGGTGAGGGGGGGGGGGTTGGAGAGAGAGAGCCTGAATTTCATTGGTTGACCAATTTTGAAATAAGATCACTGTAAGAAGGATAAATATGATTTCAGTCTTAAAACTATTTGCAGTCTTTAATGAATAGAAATAATATTCCTATGTCTTTGCTGCAAAGTGTATCTCCAATATACCATAAGTTGTTTTATTTTCAGACATGGAAGGTCACATAAGATCAACCCTACTAGTGTGAACTACAGGGCCAATATCTGTGCCTTAAAGATGGAGGGTTGTACCCATTGCATTGTTACTACAGCCTGTGGGTCACTCCAGGAAGGCATACACCCAGGCGATATTGTCTTTCTCGACCAATTCATTGATAGGTATTACACTCATTCTCCTAGAAATTCAAATTCAATACTGAATAACCATATTCAGGTTATTAAATAGAATAATGACTTTTATCCCATACTTGGACGTGTTACGGGTACATAAAGCCGGTTTGTAAAAACTTATGTTTTCATCAGCGGGCAGATATAGCTTTACGTCCCGCTCCGAGCGGGCAGATATACTATATCTGCCCGCTACGTCATAATCGCTGTTCCCGAATTGGTTCTTTTTTGTAATGTTCGCATACTGTAAACGACAATGGAGAAAAACGCAGACAATCTCGACCTGTTTGATGCTTTAAAGAAGGGAAGGAGCAGTGTACCGGCGTTAATAATCAAAGATTTGAATAGGAAAAGAAACAGAATACAAAACTGGACATGAATATTTTAAGAATATTCCACGGTTGGTTGCAAAGTTTCTGAACTTTGGCAAATTGAACAATGTGATTGGTATGGGATAAACAGATCATCCTATAGTCGGTTCAGGATACTGGGATTATCCCTTGGCCAATATAATATATCTACCCTCGGGACCTACGGCCCTCGGGCAGATATATTATATTGGCCTCGGGATAATCCCAATATCCTGAACCTCATATAGGATAATCTCTATTTATTCCATAATACTACTGTTTTCCAAGGGAAATATGAAGGAATAAAAATCGTTTTGAATCGTATTACATGAAAAAATCGTATTGTCCCTGGGAAAAAATCGTATTGGAGCGTATTACATGGAAAAATCGTATTGTCCCTGGGAAAAAATCGTATTGAAACGTATTAACCTTTTTTTGGTTTCCCGGTTATTTTTAACCTTGGCTAATTGATAAAAGCATTATCCAAATGTAAAATTTTAGAGGAATGTATTATGGAATAAATAGGTTATTTCTGGTCAGGATTGAATATGGGTTTTATTCCTCGGAAGAAATGATATTGACCTTGGGAAATATGATATTGACCGAGAGAGCGCAGCGACTGAGTGTCAATATTCAATCCCTCCCAGTAAATAATCGATATTTATTGGGTCTTTTTAGGCCATTTTAGGGCCTGTAATGATACTGTTAATAAAAGTCATATACGTGGAATTTATTTGAAAACAGACATTTCATAGTAATAAGTAAAAAATCATTTGAAGTTGAAATCTTGCTGACCAGGCTTATCTGGTACAATTTCAGGACTCAAAAGCGCACACAGACATTCTTTGATTGCAGTGAAACTGGGATGAAAGGAGTATGTCATATACCAATGCATACACCTTTCTGTGATGATTCAGTACAGGTAATATATCACATGTGCTATGATAATCTAAGATTATTAAGACCATAAAGGTATATAGTAGGTATATGATCATGGTGTATAAATCCATTAGTAAATCAAACAAATATATGCTTGATTGTAGGATAATTCATCCATTTTGACAGTACAAGTATAAATAGTTGTATCAAAAATGAAAAGCCATATCTTCTACAAAAAATGTTACACAAAGAAATTACCTTTACCTTATAGTTAATTCGCAAGCTGTATTCTTCACTTGAAATTTGTCACCCAACCATAATATTGATGTCTAATACTTGATCTTACAATGCAAGAAATGTAAAAATTGTTTTCCAATGAAAAGCTGTTTTCAGTTTTGCGAAGGGGAACTTGCTTCTCATACAATATACATACAGCGTACATCCAATCATCTATGTGCAAATTCAAGGCTTAAAAATGAAACTCTTCAATCAAGCTGCCATCTTTCCTTATCTGGCATGAATTAATTTGTTTGCAGATTCTAATAAATTCAGCCAAGGCCATAGGTCTTAACCATCATCCCACAGGTACAATGCTGACAATTGAAGGACCAAGATTCTCTTCAAAAGCAGAAAGTGTATTGTGGCATCAATGGGGGGCTCATTGTGTAAATATGTCTACAGTTCCAGAGGTAAGTAATAAGTATTCCATTATTATGACACCATGGCAACTAAAAGTCATAATTGAGATTATTTGTTGTTTCTATAACAATTAATGCTTTTGTTTACTTTTGTTGTTATGCCCTTTGTTTGTGATTTCCTATGATGTCACACTATACTAATGGTGTATAGCAACAATCAGAATTTTAACAGTTTACAAACAAGTTTTTCAAAATTTTATACATATTTTATAAATATTTATAATGCTGAACATTTTTTGACCTCTGATTATGGATAGTGTGAAGATAAAAGAAATGAGCAAAGTGGACAAAGTTAAAATAGCAGAGAATTGCGCAGAAAATGGCAACAAATCAGCCAAGAAAATAGAAATAATGGGAGAACAAAAAATTCAGACAGGCTCTGGAGATGGTATGGATGTACTTCAACGATTGATGAATTCCATACCAAAATCAACACCGGGGACTTTACCTCAGAACTCTCTCAAGTCAGGTACCTGGAAGAATCATGAAAACAGAGAAAACAACAAAGTGAACAGACAAGCCAGTTGTTTTGCAGATTCTATAATGAAACTGTTTGATAAAAACTTGAATATGAACACAACAAATACTTTTATTTCAAAATGTGGTACATCTGATAGCACAACACAATCCAGCCAGTTACAACCCATGCTGAAATCTATGTCAGCAGCCCAAATGCCATTGATAAAGCTAATGCCATCACCAGCACAAAGTGTCTCTAAGGTTGCATCAACATCTCCTGAATCGAGGGTGAACCAACATCCTTCAGTCATGCGTACTGCTAGTTGTAATAATAACACTAGCTCATTGCTGAAATCTAGCATCAACATTCACTCAAGACAAACTGCTAGCATAAATGTATCTAAACCAATCTTGACTATTAAACTTGATAATAGTACAAGAAGAGACTGCCAAGAGACTACTGGGGAAGATGGTTGTAGACATAATCTTTATACTGGAGGTACACCATCTTCACACAAGGATGACATGAATACCCTACCTGGTACTGACTTAGCCTACCGTACCCCTGGAGCCAGTAAAAAGAACCGCAGTGGCAATATCAAGCGTCCTATGAATGCATTCATGGTGTGGGCACGTATGTATCGACCTCTTTTAGCAGCACAGTTCCCTACATCTAACAATTCAGATATCAGCGTAAGGTTGGGGACAGTATGGAATGAAATGACGGATGAGGAAAAGAAGCCATTTTATGATGAGTCGGAACGAATCAAGCATCAGCATAAGATAGATTATCCAGGTTGGGTGTATAAACCACAACCTACTAAGAGACGACAGTGTGATTATGGAACTGGTTCATGGCCAAGAATCAATCTTCCCTCTAACTCCATGCAATCTTACCAATCTACCTCACCTCTTATTAACAGCCCTCTGAAACCCAGACCCATCATGGCCAAGCCATATGACATTGTGAAAGAAAGCCCGAAACTGCAATATACTCTTGTGACATCATCAAATAAAGAAGCCGCTAGTGGGTTCTCTGGAGGTAGTTGTTCAATGCCGATTCACAAGGTCTCTGCCCTGGGAAGACCACCCTCCATATCAGTCCGAACCACTGCTACAGAATGTACGAATGCTTTTGCTCCTGTGCCACATGTGAAGTTGGAGAGAGTTGATACAATCGTAGACAGTGAAGTAACCTCTGCTGTAGCATCACTGAAAAAATCTCAATCCGAAGATGATCTTTGGCTCTTTCCTTTTCCATCCCTGCCCCATGTGCCTTATATCCAGGACATCGATGCACCATTAGCCAATAGCAAGGCGGAAAGCAAGAAACTAAATTTTGCAACAAAAATCAAGAAAGAGAAAACATCGGATAGTGTTTCAAACACAATGATCCAACTTGGTGACACTTTAACAAGCATATCTGGTGAATCCCTAACAGACTCAAATGACCCATTTTACTTTGATATGAACTTTGTGGAACTTGCAATGCAGGATAATGCCCCCTCCTCTGATATCATTGACATTGAGAAGTGGGAGCGCTACATGAACAGCACATCTCCAGGTAGTGAGATTGAGAAAGCATTTGGAATCATGGACAAAGACCAACAAAATGTGATAAATAATCAACAGAAGTCTGAAAAACTTGACACTAAACCATCAAAGCAAAGGAGAACAGTAAAACGCAATAGTAGCACTTGTATCAGTAGCATGAAAGTTGATAAAACTGATAGCAAAAGAACAAAATATAGTAAGAAAAGTGATCTAAACATGAGCAAAGCCAGCTCTTGCAAGTCAAAGGGTAGTGCTCAAAATGTACATAGAACTGAATAAACAAAAGCTGAAAAGTAAAGACAGATCAGTTACAAGGACTTGCATTAAGCATTTTATATTGACTTTTTTAAAACAATTTTATTATTTTAACATTTTGTAGCATTATTTTAAAATGTATTCTAAATTATCAGATTATACTTTACTTGTTCTGATCACTGAATAAAATAAACTATTTTTTCATGTACACATGCACTCAACTTTTGTTACCTTTCTATATCAATTAGACCATGGTATTATGAGTGGTAAATGGGAATCCTGGTGATATAGTTCTTGCAGCCTCACAAGGACGATGTATTTTATTTACTATCAACTTTCATATATCATCCTAGGGCTAATCTATTCTAAAAAGTTTTTTATTTATAACAGCAGACAACATCTATTCATAGCCAGACCCAAAACCACTTGACAAATGCTCAGAATGGTGAAAAATTGCATGATTTTGAAAAGGATTTTTGGCCAGGCCAGGTCCCGAATCCCCCTGGCTACAGGCCTGATAGCACAGAGCTGAAGTTAAAGGTCTGATTTACGGGTCTTTATTATTGCTGACCAATGAGGGGATTGTATCATTTTAGTCTTATAAAATGTTTCTACTTTATAGGTTGTGCTAGCCAAGGAGGCAGGCCTTTCTTATGCTGCTATTGCTCTAGTGACAGACTATGACAGCTGGCATGAGTCTAAAGAACCAGTGAGTATGATCAGTCCCCAACCATATGCATGTCTTCTATAATTATAGGATATCCTATGATTTTGAGGAATATCATTTTTATCTACGAGGTGATATTGATATCTGCACGAGAGAGCGAAGCGAACGAGTGCATATATCAATATCACCGAGTAGATTAAAATGATATTCTGAAAAAAATCATAGGATGTTCTTATTATCCTACACTTACAAGGAGTGTACTGAATGTATAATATCACTGTAAAATGAATTTCATGCCAAATAGAGTCCATTTGGCGGGAAATCAACAAGCGGAGTATATCGTCACAATATCCTCCGCATATTGGATTTTCCGGAGTATATCGTCACGATATCCTCCGCCCGGAGTATATCGTTACGATATCCTCCGGATATTCATTTTGCCAAAAAATATCAAATTTATTTTTTCATGTTATTATACATTTGGTACACTAAGTGTAGGATAATATAAATTATTCCTTATAGTCACTGTGCTTTGTTATCCTATCAAAGAAAAGTTGGATGGATATGGAGAATGCCCTCTTCCCTCTGTCCATCATTTCAGATGGTATTCAAATACTGATCGTCTGATTTTTAATCATGCACATATTTCATTCTAATACTAAATGCTTTATGGCTACCGGTATATGTAAATCCTGCTCAAAAGTGTATTTTACTGCAGTAGAAGTTCTTTTGTTTTAGGCTTATTCAAATACAGATGATGTAGCAAACTCGACAATGATAGAATAATCGTTATTCTGTGATTCAAGTAAAATACAGAAAGTATTGTACCTGATAAAGTCTGCATTTCACAACTGAAATGCATCTTCAAAAGGGCACAATATTTCTGTATTTTATGAGAAATCACTAAGTATAGGTTTTATCTTTTCCTTAGAAAATGATGAGTTTGATGTTACAGCATGGTACAGTAATACAGTAATGTCAGAGTGCTGTTCAGTGCTGTATCTCATGACGTGAAAATGCAGGATATAATATTTGAACGTCACATTGGCCAATCAGATCATAGAAACATGTTCATTGAATGAATGAATAATGTATACATTGGTTCTCTGATAACTTGTGTGTAGCATTTGCCACATTGATTTCAGGTAAATGTTGAGAATGTACTGAAGACATTCAAGCAGAATGCAAAACAGGCTTGTGATTTAATACTTCACGCCATTCCAAAGTTTGCTCAGAAAGATTGGACGGATATTGTTAAGGCTAACAAGGTAAGCATAGTGAATTCTCGGTACCCTATAACACACCTATGAAGTCATTCCTCTTTGAAAGCTTATGTACAAGCAATATGGGTAATATGTTTACAATAGTGAACCTTTATTTTAATCATATTCAATTAATGAAATAAATTGAACATCTATAAATAAACAATTATATTGATTGGTTCATTTCTTATTGTTATAAGTGTATCTACATGTTTTCTTGTACCAAAATTATGAAATCTATAGCTTTTTGCATGCATATATAAAACTACTATTGCAAATTACATTACTGTTATGATAAATAATTGACCAATCCTTCCCTTACCTTATATTCATTCCTTATGAGATGGCAAAATAAGCCTAATCACATACAGTATTATATATACTGTACCAGCATTTAGGAGATGCACTAAGATGCAAAATATCCCAATTTAAGTACTCACCTTATGCTTCACCTGTTTTTCAGGACTTAGTGGAAGGCTCTATAATGCCTGGGACGAAGTAGCAATCTTCAACAGACCAACAAAGCAGTAGAGAATAGAAACCTAACCAGCTTAATTCTAAACATAGGACACTGGGAATGAGATATTAAATGTGTACGTCTTATTCAGGATGCCCTAATCTAATCAAGTGTATGTTAATACAGTAGAATCAGAGTTCGTTCACAGAAACTGACAAAAAGCTCAATTAGACTATAATTTGCTGGTTGCTTGGCACATTTTGCACAAGCTTGTAGATTCTTCCATTTTCTAGAATGATTCTCCTGGACTCACCAGCCATGTTGAAAATAACAAGGCAATGAATATTGATATAAAGATAAAATGTTCTCGCCATTAGAAATCTCGCTAAAGATTTAGACTACAAGACAATCCTCTCACATTAACTTCAGTCAGACCTGTGTTAGTGAAATGTGTTTGGTTCCACTAAGAGGTGTTCCATTTGAGGTTTTACTGTAGTTCTACTCAGTTATGCCTCAAAGATGGCAGCTGCATTACAGTATCACACAATGAATGAAAAATATCTTTAGGACATTCCTTTTGATTAAGGAACTATCTTTGTCAGGGGATTTAGATTCAATGTCTTCAAGCATGGATTACAAGATGTGGCTAACCTGCAATAGAGAACTGTGAAATAACTACTGCAATAAACAACTTTGGTGGTGGATGATAGAGGTTAAATGTGCACAATATTGAGTATTACTTTCGAGTATTTTTTTCTAGCAATTTTATTCTTATATTTTTGATGAATAATAATATACTATACTGTATTTGCCATGAACTTGGCACTTTTGTTCTGGTATTTGGTGAATAAAAGTACATGCACAGGGTGACTCAAAAACCATTACACAATAATTTTTTAATAACTTCAAATACTGATGGTATCTGGGATTTTGTGGAGATTAGTGGTGACATACTTTTTTGTGGCCAGTGTTCAGCATCTGTAACAAATTGCATGTTAATGCCTTGTCTGAAATTGGGATATGTCCCAGCCATTACTTAAATCATTTCTGGATTGCTTTCACATATATTATAAATAATTACTAAACATCTACCCATTTTTCTAGAATAACTTTGTTAAATTTTTTTTTTTTTTTTAAATATGATGAACTGACTAGCTTATTAAGTAAATTTTAAGAAAGACAGATTTCCTAATTTACAATTTTGAGTGATCTGGCGTCAGAGCATACCACTATGGAAAATATGATATCTCTAAATCTAAGTTGTTGATGCAAGTACACCAATGTTTCATGCATTGAACATTATCTACACATAAACTATGAAGATTCCTTCTTAATTGAGTTATTCCAAAACTACAGGGTAACATTTTTGGGACACCCTGTACATGTATTGTTGACAAAAAACATTAAGAGTTCAGCTAAAAATTGAATCAGAACTGCGATACTTCTGTTACTATTTAGACCATGTTGTTGAACAACATAAAATACATGTACGTTAAATAATATGAAACAAGGCATACCATGCAAAATGTCACTACCTGCCATTTGTTACAGATGCCAAATATCATCCCCTGAAAATCAACCACAAATCGCCAAACACCGTCCACGAAAAAGTTGGAAACTAATTATATCTCACTTCTTGTGGTGGTGACATAATAACAAATTCAGAAATATAACATTCAGTTTGTTAGCGTCATAATATCTTTATTAATCCCTTATTTGTACATCATTAAATTTAAGAAGCTTTTTAAAAGCTTGCAAAATATTTTAAAAATTAACTTTTAAAATTTATTTTTCAAACAATACACCTGTCTATTGAAATGCAACCAATATTGCACATTTTTCTCTAATATAGCTAGCTATTAGACTGGAACATTTCAGACTGAAAGTGATTGAATCTAACATGAACTTCCAAAAAATTGAAATGTTTCTAATGGAACGTGTGTTCAAGGTTTGACTTCTTCACATAATAAGTCCTTAGTACAGAATTTAATTCTTCATTTTCAGACCAATACACAAATAGAATATGACAAGTCTGTTCTATTGGAGATACTATTCCTTAAACTCGACTCATGAAATATCACAGCATATTTTCGCTGATCACAACTTATTATCCAATGTTGAATGGAATATGAGATTTTCTATAGTCCCCGGGATAATGAACCTCTTTTCATAAATTATAAAATATATCTATCTGTCTCTATTGGTAGATCACCTGAACTGCATGGGGCTTATTCTTAATCCTATCGTGTCTTTTCCAATCTCAGTTACCTGCAACAGACAACAATATTTGCATTAATATGGCATATCCTGAGACGTACTTGATGTTGCATAATGTTCTATTTTGTTGAAGATTACTTAACACTAAATGGAAGTTAACGGCAGCACATAGAAAGAAGATTGAGCTTTTACTGCAGTGATAAACGAAGTTGGTTTTCCACCCAAGATGATAATTGTAGATGTTTCAAGATTATTGTAAAATGGAAATTCGGAAAGCTAATGTTTAGATAAATAAAACCCAACATTATCTATGGAAAAATTAACATTGAAAATGGCTGCATTTCTTGTTCTACGGTATGATTTCTTACCTGTGTGACTCTACATGTCTGACCCTTGAACTCAGGCAAGTAGCATGCTCCACTCAATGGACACTTCACTACTGGTTTGCCCCTGAAACAAAATCATGGCATATCATATTAACTTAATTCAAAATCACAATCATATTGAGATTACTCCATTGTAAAGGAGTTGTATATCCAAATATTTTCTCCATTGGTATTGTCTTACAGCCAATACAGTAATTTCACTTAATGTCACACACTATTTTTGGTTTGAGTACAAAAGCGATGTCTGCCATTTTAAATTCAAGATTTAAAATGGCTGTCACAACAACATTTAGCATTGCCAATACAGCCAATACATTGCCAAAGCACAAAATCAATCAGAATTTCTGGATAGTTGATTCTATTCTTGTGCAAGTTTTTGAAAACACATTGATAACTTCAACATACATCCTATCTTGAAATGATTTTATATTCTACTAAGTAATATATATGGCACCCCTCTCCTATACTGTAATGCTAAATTAATGGAAACTTTTCGGGTTGCCATTTTGAAATTAAAAGATACAATTATCATTCAATCGTTAACTATCATTAATATCACATACCCAAAATGAGAAAACTTACTTGTATATGGGTGTATATGAAGCAGCACAGATGTCAAATGGATTGTGTTGGTCATATTTCAGTTCATGAGAATCTGTTGGGTTCTTTTCACAAGCAACCAAGATTTTTCTAGTCTGAAACAATGCAATTCATTAAATATATGCCAGCAATTAAGATTTTCTCAATTAATGATATTTTGGCAATAGTATGCCAATTTTTTAACATTTACAATTTTTAGACTTTTTTAATAACATATCTTAGTTTGAATGTCACATTACTGGAACAATGATGATATCCAGACTGAATATTGATGTCTTGTTTATTACTCAAACATTGACTCTATATATTGTGGAATTCATCATGAATCACACTTAGTACATTACACATTATATCCAGGACTATTTAATCTAGAAAAAACATACTTGTTGTGCTACTTCTGGTCGGGGCCCTAATTCTAGTAACCTCCTGGCAAATGAGGCAGCTGTTTTGTAGTTTTTCAGTTTGAAGAAGAGATTGAGGGCAGTTCTGAGGGTCAGGATGAGATGTACTGGCTGCAGGTTACAATGGGTGAAGTAGGCTGCCATCTGAATATAACAAATGTATAACAATAAAGGGACAGAATTAATGATTAACAGAATCAAGGTACCTTCAAATTATCTTATTTGGGTTCTTATTACTGAAGTAACCAATATTTTGAACATCCAATGAATCATTCATCAAAACATTTGAAGTGTTGGCACTCGTTAACATGAAGCAAAAACTTAAATATCATGTCATCAAGCATTTAATCATAATCTGATAAAATGTACATCTTCTCCTTTACCTCACATTGTCGTTTGGCTTCCTCTATAGAACCTTTAGGCAATTCCTTTCGTTTTGCCTCCATACTAAGCCCCACTATGTATTCTCTACAGATCTCTAGCAGTTGTTGGGCCTAAAATAAACATAGACAAAGTCATATTGAATATAGAAACAGAATTTATTTAATAAATCTTGTTTAAGGCGAATGATGTTGAGATGAGTGTTTACATTCAGATAATCTAACTAGACAACAGCAACGCCAAAGCATAGCAAATCCCATTGAACATCCATGGCTGGCATTTTTACAAACAAAGTAAATAGCAAAAACGGCTGGAAATAGCAAAAATAGTAAATAGCAAAAATAGCCACCTTCTACCAAAATTGTCATAAGACAGTGTGCCATGCTTATAGTATTCACATATCAAATATGAACAAAATCCTCCACTATTTTTCGAGTTATAGTAAAATACATTAAAATGGAGGCCATTTTTCAAAATGGCCAGCTTCTACCAAAAGTGTCATTAGACAGTGTGCCATGCTTATAGTATTCACATACCAAATGTAAACCAAATAGCTCCACTACTTTTTACTTTTAAAACATATTGCTATTACAGTTTTACATATTGCACCTAAATTACTGTAATATTGGCACTAAAATGGCCACCATTTTTAAATGAGCGGCCATTTTGAAAATCAGCTTCCAAGCAGAACTTCTACCCCAATAGGGTATATATGTACAAAATATGAACAAAATCGGGCCAACGGTATTTGAGTTATTGCCCAGACGGAAGGAGGCATTCCCTATATCCCTCCGAACTCCGTTCGATGGGATAATATAAATAAAGACCTAATCATTTTTTGGATGTCTGAAAACAAAGATTTTACTTTACATTCAAAATGAAGTTATCACAAGAATTACAAAGTCAAGGTTGACCCTTGAAAATTTGGCATGTAAATAAGTCAGACTACAGACAACTGAGAGAATCTCACAATCACATCACATCTTAAAGTCAGCTTTCAAACTTTTAATTACCTCTGCAATTTCTTGTTTATTCTCCACAACGAGTAGTGTAACACTGAGCAGTATAGATCTGAACCTCTCTGTGGCATCAACAAACTTGCCTGATGTTGTAAGCTGGTAGGCAGATTGTAGTCTCGTCACCAGATCACTGAGTTTCATTCCCACTGCTGGAACACCACCTCTTGCACCTGACTCACGCCTGTCACAAGATTTTATTAGAAAAATGTTATGGTCAGACATAATACAAGCATAACCACCTCAGTATTATTACCATTTGTGGTCAAAGTGCTTCTTGCATATATACAATTATATTTACATAAAAAAATCACTGATTTTCGAAGGCATTCCCTATATCCCTCCGAACTTCGTTCGATGGGATAATTAATCCGTCAAACTGGAAAACATTTGCATAATGTAGCACTCACCAGTTTCTATGTGGAGTGCCAAACAATGGCGGAAGGGATGGAAGTCCAATGAAGGCAGTTCTAGATCGAGCGTAAGTTTGGGTGAACAGCTGCTTGTAAGGCTCAAAGTCAACAACTCCTATCTGGTCATGGAGCAACTAAACACAAGAAAACATTATTCTACATTTGATTTGAAACTTTGAAATGAAGTTTGCCTTAACAAAATATATTTTCAATAGTTCCATGTTATTCCATTATTATAAGGTGACCAGACACCAGACTGTAGAAGCTTAAGTAGATAATTCTAATCCAAGAGACATACCCTCATTGCAGTTTCAAAGGAGCCAGCGAGCACATGGTCAACAGGAAGTTGTGAGTTGTTACACCAGACTTGACCCTGGCTAGTACCCTTTGTTGGGGGTACAAAGTAGCCCTCAGCCTCAGAGCCTGCAGAAGGTCCAACATCCTGCAATGTCATAAACAAGGGTTATCCACTGGGAGATTTTGGATATAGGTATTATCCCAAAGGAAATCTATTTATCTTCCCTTAAAGAAGAGGCAGAGACCTAGAGAGAGCTAGTATACATACATGTATTTATTTTCTGCTTGCAAAATATACCTCCTGGTCATAGAATATCATTTATAGATCCTGCTTTTATCTCCCTCAAACAACACAATGATGAGATATAACATTAAAATAATATTAAAAATTATTTCAAACAATAGCAACCCAATGTAACCTTGGCTGCAGACTTGAACAACTATACGAATTTCTATTTTTGTAATCTATAAACTATAACCTATTTTCCTAATACAAACAACACTTTGAATACAAATATATACCCTAGTTTTGCCTCAAAATTAAATTAAAAAAGAATAACACCTAAAAACCTACAATAAATTCACCAACAAATAAAAATCAGACAACCCAGAGTAACATGTAATATAAACAGATTAATGAAACCCACAAAAACCAAATAAAAATGTAAATCTATAATTACCACTCTCTGGAATTAAGCAAACAACAGAGTAATATTATCTTACATTCAATAAATCAGTCATTAACAAATCACATCTTATTGGGATATGATATATTGGGGATATGCGACTGGGTCAAAGATGCATATAGTAGTTATGGAGCAAACAAATATAAGTTGGGGGCAGGATAAGGAACTTGACATTTGCATCACAAACACTGGGTAACATTATGAGAAAGTTGGGGGAAAATATTTCACATAAAATAAATGAACAATTTGGAAAACAGAATCATGGATATATTTTGAAAAGCTGTTATGAATAACCATACACAATATCCACATAACATACAACAGTTAGTACATTGTACATACCAAATCAGCTGGGAGTTCGAGATCATCATCTCCTACATCCCAACCTCCACCTTCCTCATCTCCTCCAACCACCAGATCTTCATCATCTAGTCCCTCACCACCAGCTCCAAATCCACCATCTGAAAAAAAAAGATATTTATTGTCTTAGTAAATTCAAGAGATGGCAAGACAAAAGATCAAATTCCACCATCTGAGCACTGTACATGAAAATATGAATTTGTACAGACTTGACTTTTTAAATCTTAAGTACTGTAAGTAATGACTTTAGTGTGCTATTATAAATCTTACCTTCATCAAGAACAAGATCAGCATCATCTCCCCATCCTTCATCTCCTCCTTCGTCTTCCACAGCTAGAGCAGCAGATGCACCTGCAGCCTCTGTAAAATCACATAACAACAATTATGTTAACATATCGGTAATAGAGCTCCTGTGGTGTTTACTTTGGAACACTTATTCTAAACCAAGAGAAATCCAAGGCTTCTCTCATGCTAGCCTATAAAGCCTTTGGCACTAGGAGCAATTCTATAATTGTACATGTTCAATAATAAATTGAACAAAAACGAACAAAACTGGAAACTAAATCATGCTTGACATACTTTTAGTTTTCATAGCCCCTTCAAAGAATCCCTTAGTGACAGTGAGTAGTGGCCAGTTGCTCTCTTGTTGTGTGATAGGAACTGGTGGCTGGAGGAGTACAGCATTTGGGTCAACCTCTGGTAGCTTCTCATCTTCACCAAATGTTGCTTTTATCTGCTCAGCCTCTTCATCCATTCCATGCGTCGCAGCAGTCAGATAGGCCAGTGAAGCTGGGAAAACAAACCAATGAGTTAAATAAACTCCAGGATTTGAGCTACTGCATCATCGATTGTTGTTGTTTGAAAGTGGTCATTGTTTGATAAAAAGCTTGCTTCACTAAATGTGTTTTGAATCTTTAATTGAAATTGCAGACTGATCAGAGTGCATTTCTATCCACTGATACCATTTAAGTTTGACTTTTATTTATCAAATGAATAATGGAAAATGATTAATTTATTGAATATCTAGTTGCCACTTACTCTGTCCGCATCCCTTCAAAATCTTTACACGCTCATTGACATCCCCAAGGTAAAGGGCATTCTGGAAGTGTCCACTTGTATCTTTCCTGATTTCTGCAATCTTCATCATCTTTCTCATCTTCTCTAGGTTCCCTGTTATCAGGTACAGGAAGCTGAGCTTGTCAAAGTTCTTGGTCCTCTGATAAGCTAGTTCAACCACTTGGTGGTTACCCTGTAGTAGGGCAGCCTCACCTAGTTTCTCCCAGCAAATTTTGTCATCTAAAGCCCTCGCAGCTTCCAGAGCTATCTGTAAGAGAAAAAGTAGTTTTACTTTCAGAAGTTCATTAAGACATTCAAAGGTATGAACACTCCAATATTCATTGTTGTCATTCATATCATGATATTATTGTAAGAGCACATACTGAAGAATTCTGAACCTTTCTCTTCTGATTTGATCTGTGTTCTTAAAACATATGAGAGGCAGTAAACATTTTACCACAACAAAAGTAAAATCACAATAATTTATTGTGTAAAATTAAAATTAAATATGGTAAAAAAAAATCATCTTTGGTCCAAGGGTATTTCACTTCTTTCCATTTGAATTCAAGCATGAATGAAGTCCTTTGAAGAAGGATGCACAAAAACATGTTTCCAACTTGCCTCAATATTTCCACATTCAAGTGCTAAACCAAATCTTGTTTTCTCATCCTTCACAAAGTGTAATGCCACCTCAGGATAGCCCTTTTTCTGTAGGTAAGCTATGATAGACTGACCAACAAGCTTGGCATTGCGTACCATGTGGAGAACCTAAAATCACCATTACACACATAAATATAATTATCATTCATTCACAAATTAATCATGTTTTCAAAATACATCGTGTTTTTTAATTTATATTTTAAGTTTTGTACAATAAAAGCTTAATGGGACATCATATGTAGTACAGGTTCTATTTGTTTTTTAATATGTCGATCATATTTTGGGATATTTGCCAGTTCATGCAACTCTTAAACAAGTCACTAATTTCAAAAAAATGAACAAACATCAGTTGCTATTTCATAAAATTCACATGTAAGAAATAAAGCTGTATTAATTTAATTAAAATTAGAATAAATATAAAAGTCTCACCTCATCATATTTTCTGTTGACAAGTGCCAATTTAAACTTGAATTCCGTGGAGTCAATCCCAAGCACTCTAGGTCTGCATTCCCTGTCCAGGCAGTAGACACTGTTGCCCTTGATACGAGTGATGTAAATAGGCAGGTCAAGGGTCCTGATTATGCCATGGTCTCTGGAATCATACAGGTAAATCAGTTAAGGAGACAATACAAATATATCATAAATATAAGTTTCTTAATTTCAAAAATGTTTGTTTGCTAATTATCCATTCGTTTAAAGCATACGTTTTTAAGAAATCCATAAACTTTGTTAAAATACAGATAGAGCTTTTGAAACGTTAACATCAAACTTTTCAATAATTTAATATATTGAAATGTTTTGGCACCTTGAACTTTTTTTCTAAATCCTTCCTCTGATTCTAGCTGTATGTTACTTACCCATTTGTGAGAGCATATTTGATGTGATTGCTGGTGGTGTATACAAAGACACCACTTTCATCCCAAGCCCCACTCTTCACTCGGATGTTCTCCTGGATTGAACACAGACTGTCCAGCTTTCTGTTGCAGATAGCAATGTCTGTAATAAAGTCATGAGGAACATTAGATTAGTTATTTTCATTTCTGCGCCTAATAATATTGGGAGTTCCTACAACTTTTTAAGAACAAAATCCATGTAATATCCAGGCAAACTATTAATTTCAAGATTTCTTTAAGGTATAGGACTACATTTATGTTCTTGAGGACAACTTCATAACAAGCTATTTTTATCAAATTTCACAATTCTCTGACATTTCCAGGTGCTGGAAAAAATAATGCTTTTCCATGAACCTTATAAATACTCAACGAACTGAATTTTGAAATCATGAGGCACTTACTGTGTTTACTGAGTAGAGCCACATGTGACATATCACTGGACCAGACAACGTATTTCACTTTTGAGATCTTCACGCTGGCCAGAGATCTCTTCTGTTGAACGTCAAACAATGTGATACTATCGCCATCTTTAAGCAGGAGACACCCAGTACCAGCGTAGAATATATCCTCACAGTTGGGTGTCTGAACTTTTTTAGTGATTTCATTTTTCAGATTTTTGATGACAATCGAGTGTGTTCTATCTAATACAGCAAATCTGTTTCTTGCTACCCATACAGCTGTAAGCCCAGATGATCGTTTTCCCTCTGGGGCATCAGGGTTCTGGGAGTCAGAGCTCTTAGGGATAGCATAAAGATCGTATGTGCTATTCTCTAAATTACTGGCTCGGGTAGTCAGTAAAACAGCATTCTCTGCTGGGTTGTATGACATACTGAATACTGGAGCTCTTGAACCACTGAAAAGCATATTTTGTTCATTATTTATTAATAACATGAATAATAATTATTGAACATTAGACATTTGATCAGTGATTCTTTTGTTTTATTTGTAAGAGATCTTTTGTGAATATTTTCTTATAAAACTGGTCATCTTAAAACACTTGAATTGACCCAAGCTTAAAATAATGAAAATTATTTTTATTTCTACAATATACCTTCTAAGTTGCATAACTGCTGTGTCTTTAGAGGTTGTGAAGTCCAGTTTTCTGAGATATCTCTCTTTGACATAATAGAGAATGTTCTGGTGTACAGCAAATGCAGGTCTCTCGCGTTCAAGTTTGAATATAATCATACCACTGTCATGACCTAGAAATAGGCAATTGCGAGATAAGTCTAAAGAAACTAACAAATATAGCAGCAATGATATAAAGCAGTTACTGTATCATTCATTAAAAATGGAAAATCTCTATTTGAATTTGAAAATATATTGAAGAAATTCAAAACAGTACCCGAAGATAACAAACTAATTGCAATTTGTATACAATTCAACCTCATTTAACTTATTTCCAAGAAAGAGCAAATAGTGACTTTGCAATACTTCTTCAATAATGCATTTATTAAAGTAAAACATGATCTGGGGCAAATGTGAGTATTTTCATACAGAGTTACAAAGGAATTATAATTTTGTTCAAAAATAAGACATGTACAAAATGTGACAAACCTCAGCTAAAGATGCCAAAAACAAATAACAGTGAAGTCCTGATAATACCAGTTGATGAATTTCAGTCTATGCTATTAAATCTCAAATTTTGTTAGTAGGACTCACCTGCAGCAAACAGATTCAGAGTGGGGTGAGCTGTCATAATCCAGAATCTGTCATGTTCCCGCCTAAATGTCTGGACACCTGTACGTTTAGACATATCCCAGACTCGTATACTCTTATCTTCTGAGTTGCTCATGATCAGTTCCTGACGAGGGTGGAACATACATGAAGATACATTGTTGTAATGACCCCGACAGGTGTCTACTTCCCATGCTTTCGCCTCTACAAACACAGGAGAGTTACACTGTACAGAACAAAACATGCAACTAAAGCATCACTTTTCTCGTCAGGATTTTCCTTGCATGGAAACAGAGTTTTTATTTTTTTTAGTTTGATGTCAAAATCAATTTGATTCTAGTTTAAACAAAGATCAGTTTCTTGTTTGTAAAATAATTTTTGTTAGGGTGACTTATTTCACATACATGTTTCTACAAATTCACCAAAACTTATTATAGCCATTTTGACAACTTATTCAAGTCACTTACCATTCATCCTCCACATCTTGATTTGTCTGTCGTCTGCACCAGAAACAACCAATGGAAGTGTAGGATGGAATGCTGCCCAGTTGACGCCACGATCATGACCTTCCAGGACATGCTTAACAATGGCATCTGATTGGCCAAATAAATCTGTCTGATTAGGGTTCTTCAAATGTTCCTCTAATCCACCAGGGCCAGGGGAGACTTGCTTTTTTCGTAAGCCTGAAACAATCAATGTACCCTTCATATACAGTTGTGCTTGTATATATGTATTTCAAAAGTCAAATGTGAAAAACTGAAAATATTCTGATCTGGTTTTAGTCCAAAATCAATTATTCTGGAATTCCATAGGTCTGTATAAAGTGATAAAACACCAACACTTATGTTTCCGCCCTCTCTACTGATTATCCAGACCAGTGTCACTGTTAGGGAGAAACCTACTCTGACAACTAAAAGTTATGCAAGCTGCTAACAAATCAGATGCCATCATCTAAGACCTATAGACCACTATTTATATCGAGGGGAGATCAACACCCTATGCAAGGGCTTATTTAATACTCGGTGCTTAAGTTGTGTACCAAACAAAATGAGAAACTACAGGACATCCGGGGCTTTGTATGATCTTCATTAGACAATGGTGTATAGAGGGGTCAGTTTTCTCATATCTAGGTACCTTTTTCTGTACCGTTTTGGTTATTTTACCAATCCGTTGACATCATAAGCTACATAATTGATTAACTTAAATATATGATATGTAAATAAGGGTTAATATGAACAGAATAAACGGGAAATGTAATTTAAGTGGTGATTGTGTTTTCTGCTAATGTGTGTCACCCTGCTTCGGAAATCCCCATAACAGTCTATGGCTTATGTGATTATGCAGATCAGAAGATCTCAATGGTTTCCTGGCAGAACTACAGAGGATGAACTACAGATGCGGACAATCTTTGTTTTAACTATTGTTTCTGAATGGCTCGTGACCAAAATTCACTAAAGAATAGAGAATATGTTACGTATTATAAGGATAGATTGTTTTTACTTACCAATCATCAACATGTGCTGACATATTCAAAGTTATATATTTAAAGTTCTCACACCCCTATGTTTAATTTGCTAATTCAAATAGGATGCGGTAAAAAACCGAACATCAATTTACGAACATTCCGAGTATTACGTTCGCCCTTGCCCTATGTGGAGTATAATGAGAAAATGAATTTAATGAGAACATTTAGAATCAGTGATACCTTCCATTTGAGAGAAAACATGAATGGGGGGAGCTTGATGCAATAATAATACTAGACAACAGCAACGCTAAAGCGTGCAAATCCCATCGAACAGCCATATCTGGCATATTTACAAACAAAGTATATACCAAAAGTGCCATTAGACAGTTTGCCATGCTTATAGTATTCACATACCAAATATGAACAAAATCGCTCCACTACTTTTCGAGTTATAGTAAAATACGTTAAAATGGTGGCCATTTTGAAAGGCGGCCATTTTTCAAAATGGCTGCCTTCTACCAAAAGTGTCATTAGACAGTGTGGCATGCTTATAGTATTCACATACCAAATATGAACAAAATCGCTCCACTACTTTTCGAGTTAAAACAAAAATCGTAAAATAACGAGTAAAGGCCGCCATTTTTCAAGATGACCGCCATGAGCTTCTACATTTCTAGCTTTATTAATGTCCTATATAATTTTTTTACATTCAAAACATATTGCTATTACAGTTTTACATACTGGACCTAAATTACTGTAAATCGGCACTTAAATTTGAATTAATTTTGAAAATCTGCTTTCGAGCAGAACTTCTACTCCCATAAGGTATATGTGTACAAAATATGAACAAAATCCGGCTAACGGTACTTGAGTTATTACCCGGATGTATGGACGGAGGCGTTCCCTATATCCCTCCGAACTTCATTCAATGGGATAATAACAATTAACATCTATACAATGTTTTATGTAATTCATAATTGTATACTGCAACAGTGTTGAGGTATACTGTAACTTTTTCACACATACAATGTACCCTAGAAAAGAAAAATCAACCCTTGGCCCAGATTTAACTTAAATGAGAGCCTACTACAAAACCAATGAAATGTGTATAATATTAGGAAAAACTAGTAAGAAAGACTGTACAGCTAAGAAAGAATACCACCTGCTTTGAACTTACTTTAAAATATTAATACAAAGCATGCATTATTCCAAAGAGGAATCAAACAAAAAAGAATAAAAAAGTATGTACAGAAAAATATCCCATTAACCTCACATATACTGAAATGAAAACACAATTGTTCTTAGCAGACTTTGAATGACATTCTTTTACTCACTACTAACAAGTCAGCATAACTCTTATTTTCTGATATCTGTCAAACAGAGTGTGGTGCAACAAAGTATCATTGATTTTTCAAAACATCAAGGTGCAATGTAAAACTTTTTTGGATCACCCCATAAAATGAACCCAAATATTCTGTGAACTTCATGAGATAAAGCATGTCAAACAAATCACCGAGCATAGCATTATGATATGAGACGAGAGTACCTCCTGAGCCAGGGTTGAGATTCTTTTCACGAAGACCTAGGAAGAGAATGAACAAAAATTCAGAACAGGATTAGCAGACAGTCACATGGGCACTATATAATATATATTCCCTTTATATCAAGATTGAGATTTAATCTTTCACCTACCAAGCAAATTAGCCTGAGTATCAGTAACAACATCTTGTCCAAGATTTAACAACATAAATATACATGAAATATACAAAGTGAAGATACAGGTAAGTAATAATTAGAAACGTGTATAGATTAATAAACATGCAAACTCATTTAATAAAATGGTGGTCTTCATTGCACCTGTTACATGTAACTGATTTCTCTGAAGCTAACTGAAGCAGAAAAACAGAATAAATATCTGAACACAACTCCAGGAGCTAAACATAACCATCAATGTATTATGGTCTTTTAAGTGAGACAAAAGTCACTACCAGATATGCTTCATAAAAGACCATCTCAAAAACACCTTGTCCTTGAAATTGCCTTTGCATATATCCAATCAGAGATTAGGGACACACATTCTCAGTCTATAAGTAGCTAGCATTCATTTCATTATTCACACTTCAACTTCATTTGTTTATCAGTATGAAAATTGTAAAACCGTATGTGACAGAGAACAATGTGACAAGGATTCAGAGTAAAGGGGACAGTGACAAGATGTATTTGTTACATGGCATACGACTTACCTGATATGTCCCACACTCTAACAGTTTGGTCAAGGGATGCAGAAACAACCATATCTTCACTGGGGTGGAACTGAGCGCACATCACATAATGACTATGGCCTGTCAGCACACTGTAAAATATATACATATGTTTCAACTATTTGCTCAATTTTCAGAGAAAAACTCAAAACTGTAATTTAGTCCTCTATGCTTTGAAGCCCGGATATTTATCAATTGTTCATATGGTATGTGAGGTTATCACCCTCCCATCACATGTTCAGACTGAATAGTTAACACCAACAAACAGTAATAAATATAAATGGATTCTAGAACTAATGATGATTACCATGCACAACTTCTTGACTGCCAGTTCCAGATTCTTATAGTTTGATCATCTGAGGCACTGAGGATCCAGGGGTATTCCTGGAAGAGACAAATTAAGATTAATCAAGAGAAAAAATAAATAAAGTTTCAGGGTCATAAATAAACAAATTGAATAAACATTAATGAATCATTAAAATAGAGATTCGTGAACCAAGTGAAAGACAAAAAACATTCATGAACCATAAATAAGGTTCATGAATCAACGAACCGTACAGTCAACTTATAGCTGTCCCAGTTCAAAGGTGTTCAGATTAGAGAGGTGTTCGGATATACAGGTTTCACTGTATTTGGGTTAAGATTTTATTGCAATTGACTTACATGATGGAAGTATGTAGTTCTGATATAATCAAGATGTCCCAGAAGTGTAAAGAGACATCTTCTCTGCTTATAATTCCAGACTTTAATCTTGTAGTCATCACCTCCAGATACAAACAATGGCTGTTGGTTGTGGAAACAGATACCACGTACAGGGCCATCATGTTCATCAAACTTGTCAATCATTGTGCACATCCGGTAGTCCCAGAGTTGGATAATGCCATTGTGAAGACTTGTGAGAATCCATGGCCTTTTAGGGTGGAATGATAACCCTGAAAACACATGTAGTATAAATTATTTTTCTATATATTATTGTACAATAGTCATTAGATGTCTTATTTTTCAGGTGCAACTGCTTGCCTTTGAAGCAGCTTGAGGTTCAGCTGGAAAGTATCATTTTGGTAAAAAATTGCTATACCTGCACATGTTATTTTCAGGTACAAAATTGAGTATGAAGGCACATGTATATTTCCTTGCTTTTTTCAGGAAAGTACCATTACATTGTCTACTTTTAGTAAACCTGGAAACAGGTCAATGGTAGCTCCTGTGTTGTCTGGAAACTTTGAAAGAAAATTTAGAAAAACAGAAAGTGTGAAATATCAGAATTTCCTGAAGTTCCCATTGACCTGTTACCAGATATACTAAAAGAAGACAATGCAATGATACTTTCCTGAAAAAAGCAAGGAAATTAAGGTGCTATGGAAGTTAACAGGAAATGACAAAACAGGAAGTGACAAATTTTTTTTGCATTTTTAGACATTTTTTGAACAAAGATAACAGCGTTCTGTTTTGACCTCCAGTCAATTCAACTACCATTTACCATACCATTTACAGGTCCAGGATCACAATGTTCATGGCCAGAATGACCCTAAACATGAAGAAATAACCTTTTCAGCCCTCTGAAGATGTGACTGAAAAATAGCTAAAAGACGGAGGTAGGAAAGGTCACTGAACAGAATCTTTCGAATTTTTCAGAAAATGTGCCCAATATATTGCTCTAAATAATACAATCTTTGAAAATTTGATATCATTCATAGAAAAAGAAAAAAAATGAAAAAACTGCTTTGAAAAGCGATCTATTTTCCTTTTTATGACCACCATTTTTGTTTCAGACAATTTTCTAAAATTTCAAAGATTGTATCAGTTAGAGCATTATATTGGGCACATTTTCTGGAAAATTCAAAAGATTCTGTTTAGTGACCTTCCCTGCCTTCCTACTTTCGCTTTTTTTCAGTCACACTTTCAAAGGGCTAAAAAGGTTATTTCATCATGTTTAGGGTCATTCTGACCATGCACATTGTGATCCTGGTCATGTAAATGATATGTGGAAATAGTTAAATTGACTGGAGGTCAAACCAGAACTCTGTTATCTTTGCTCAAAAAATGTCTAAAAATGCAAAATTTTTTGTCACTTTCTGTTTCGTCATTTCCTGTTAACTTCCATAGCACCTTAACATATGTCTTCATACTTTATAGTGTACCAGAAAATAACATGTGCAGGTAGCAATTTTTTACCAAAATGTTATTTTATACCAATAATCATGAAATTTCAATATACATAGCCTATTTGTTTTACATTCTTATGACCATAGCAGGAAATAATAATAGATCTCATGAAATAAGAACGAGTATTTGAATAGAAGACCAGTTCGAGCAATTTGAAAACTTAAGGTACAGCTGGAAAGTAACATTTTGGTAAAAAATTGCTGTACCTGCACATGTTATTTTCTGGTACAAAATAAAGTATGAAGGCATGTGTCAATTTCCTTGCTTTTTTCAGGAAAGTATCATTACATTGTCTTCTTTTAGAATATCTGGTAGGGGTTCAATGGGAACTCCAAGAAATTCGATATTTCACACTTTCTATTTTTCCAAATTTTCTTTCAAAGTTTCCAGACAACACAGAAGCTTCCATTGACCTGTTTCCAGATATTCTTAAAGTAAACAGTGTAATGATACTTTCCTGAAAAAAGCAAGGAGATACACACATGACTTCCACAGAGACATGTAGCACTATGATATGAGATGAGCACTATGATAGGCCCTATAGTATAAGTAATAAGGGTAATAACACTTCACTACTTCCGGGTTCTGTAAATGAAAAAATAAAAAAAACTATTGTTCAGAATTCCACAATAAGGGTCTCATTTTTAAGAAAAATTATTTAGCGGCAACACACATGTCATTATATTACTTGTAGACACGCTGCAAATATGATTTTTTCGTCTTATCTGTTACCTTAGCATCAGACCATGAAGTCTTCTACAGACATATTTTTCATAGTTTACCTTATCGATTGATTTCTCCCTCAATGTTTCGTCGATTGATCTCTGGTTTGATCCAGTTGTAATACACACATACGCAATGGTATACGCTGTTCCAATTGTACTATTATTGTTCAAAAATGTGTAAAAGCATACTAATTTTAAAAATACGACTGTTGAACGATTCTCTGCCGCCATCTTGAAATAATGACGTAGTGAACTTGACCCGTCTGACCTTTCACATTTCATTTTTAAAACGGCAAAATAACATATTTTTACTGGCTGAACAGCATAAGCGCAGCATCCCTATAAATCTCTAGTGGGTCAATGATTCTACGAGTAAAGGACAAGTTAATTGGTGAAAGATTTGGGGAGAAATCGCTATAAAGGTGAGTTTTGGTTGTACAGCACCTAACGGTCTTAGCATGGGTATCAGAAAGTAAAGAAACTTTTTTATTTAAATTTATCTAAATGTTAGGCAGTGACATTTATCTTACAGAAGAAAGATTTTTTTTCAAAATGAGACCCTAATTATACAATTCTGACCAATAATTCATATATTTTTTTACTTCCAGTTTTCGAAATTTGTTGGCGTTATAATCCTTCTCTATCTACTACTTTTTTCAAGGCCTGACTTCGTCGCTTACATGCTAAATATAAGAGTTAGCTGACGTTTGGGAGTCTGACTTACCTTCTAAAGGTTAGAACCCGAATCTTAATGAAACCATATCACCTTTGTTCCGTCAACCATGGAGCATTTGCCACAACATCCAAGAGGTAAATCATGGACCGAGAAAATGAATGATTTCCTTGTAAGTTCCGGAAGTTTCAATATGAAAAATTACCGAACATATATGAAAACCGAATATTTGTTCGTTGTTTTCACGATTTACAGGTTCGTATGTTCTTCAATGTTTTGGTCTAAATTATAAAGCATCACCAACAGGTCTTACTCTATTAATCGACTAAAACAGCAGACGGCTCATATTTCTATGTAGCATTTCGTTCAGACAAATAGTGGGACTGTAGATCACGCAGTTTCGTTCGTTGCGTACTTCACTTGAATTTGATAATTTTAAAAATTGGCTACTTCACTTAGCTTGGCAGATGTAGAACATTGCTTAATATTCTTTTAATTTTCACACCAGACATGCTTGGTTGACACGTCAACAAAGTAAAGTTCAAGGGTCAATGCGTTATTTAGTGATAACTACAACGCCTTCCCGGAAGTCAACATTGATGAAAAATGAAAAAGTCGGAAAAGCATTTACACTAATTTCTATCAAATGCTATGTTTATGCATCATCATCGACGCAACAAAGGTGATATGGTTTCATTAAGATTTGGGTTCTAACCTTTAGAAGGTAAGTCAGACTCCCAAACGTCAGCTACAGTGCTGATATATAATAATTAAGGGTGCGTTTTCAAACTAAACAGAGTGCTCCTATCAAAATGAATTTGCCTACATACCCCTGAGACTCTTATCTGATAGATAGAATGCACAAATAAAACAAAAGTTTTGCTATTATAGGTAAAAAGTTCTCTTGAAATTTCGGAGTGATTTTACCTGTTAATTCTGTCCATGGTCCGCCATTTTTGCGGAAGTTACACTGAAACGCAAACTGCATGAAACGAAACCACTAGAAAAACATGGCACACATTGTGCGCATGTGCAGCAAAGTTTAGACCAATCAGATTATTTGATTATTTTGCGCACATGAATTATTTGCTTCTGAGCACTTACAAGCTTACCACAATAAACAAACCTGGCAGAGACTACCCTTAGCCTACTCCATTTTGGCGAAATTTCAGCTCAAACTCGTGACAAATGCATTATTCATACGCTGGTGTGAAGCCTTGGAGACACTCATTTTGGTAAATATGATTTATGGGGTATACTTTTCTGCAGTTTGTGGGAGTTTGGAACATTAAATGTTAAAATTCAAGAAAATATGCCAATTAAACGACTGATCAATTAATATATACCAGCACTGTAACTCTTATATTTAGCATGTTAGCGACGAAGTCAGGCCTTGAAAAAGATGTATACAAACAAACTATAAAGCCCCATATCAGTCATCATAAACAATACCATATAAGGTGCTACAAGATCCTGTGATGACTTCATACTTAATTTTGTACCAGAAAATAACATGTGCACGTATAGCAATTTACCAAAATGTTACTTTCCAGCTGAACCTTAAGGTGACATTTAAAGGTGCAACAATTAGTGCAGAGGGGCCATTCAACGATCATGGACCAGTGCCAAAATATATTTAAGTTTGGATATTTCATCAAGACTAACATCTATTTTTATTATCTACAAAGAAACCCCCTAGATAAACATTATTTCAGCTGATATTCCTCTTGAAACATGGTGGATCTTAAAAATATAAAAGTGGATTTCCCCTTTTTCAAGCTTTGAACTGAATTTACACTTCTTAAGGCTGAAATTGATAGTTTATCCATACATTTTAAGAAAATAGGTATGTCAAAGAAGATGTTAAGCCAAATGTTGCCTTGATAGCTCAGAATTTTTTTTGATTTTCCTATTTTCTCCCTACAGGCCTTGTTGCCCCTTTAAGTTAATCAAAAGTACAAAAACATGGGAGCCATATTTTTTTGATAAATTCAGAAGATTTTGTATACTGTTTTCCTTGTATGTGAATGCATTTCCTGACTTAAGAGACACAAAAAAGAAAACCTCACATTTAAACGCATTTTTTCATAACTATGAATTGGAGGGGTATGGCTCCCAAAAGCTAGCATGAAGAGTGCGAAGTGAGGCTATATTTTGAAGGTTTCAAGGAGTAGCCTTGCAACAGTCACACATTTGCAAGAATCCAAAATTTCCACATATCATCTTACCTTACCAAGGAACAACGAAGGAGCATGAAAATGTGTACTTCTTGCATTGTTAGAGTATAATAAAGCTCAAACCATTGTGAATTCTAAATATTTCATGTGCACCATTTTGTTTCCTGGAACTATTTTTTAGTCCAGAGTTATCTTCATTCATGTTTCCATTGTTTATCATTCATAAAGCCTCTATCATGTATCTATCATGATAATTACACTGTAATAGATAAAACATACAGGTGATAATCCATGCCACTTGGTGTAGTCACAAAACTTGCATGAGGATTAATCAGGAAGTCTAGAAGTAGTTCCGGCAAACAAAATGTGGACAAATTTCAAATTCAAATTTATTAGCTTTATTGTATTTCAATCCCCATCAGGGACATGAAATATTTAGAATTTACAATGGTTTGAGCTTTATTATACTCTAACAATGCAAGAAGTGCACATTTTCATGCTCCTTCGTTGTTCCTGGGAAAGGTAAGATGATTTGTGGAAATTTTAGACTCTTGCAAATGTGTGACTGTTGCAAGGCTACTCCTTGAAACTTTCAAAAATTAGCCTCACTTCGCACTCTTCATGCTAGCTTTGGGGATCCATGCACCTCCAATTCATAGTTTGGAAAAATGCGTTTATGTGTGATGTTAACTTTGACATGTTTCATTAGTCAAGATACACAATTCATATACAAGGTAAACAGATTTTAAAAACATGTGTCTTTATCAAAAAAATATGGCAGTCATTTTTTGTACTTTTTATATAATATAGCGTCGCCTTAACCAAATTGATACAAACAATTAAAAATGACCCTACAGTCTGTTACACTGCTTCAAAGGCAAGCAGTTGAACCTGAAAATTAAGAAATCTATAGACCATTGTGCCATAATATATAGAAAAATATATTCATATTGCACACGAATGACATTTGTATATTTCAGATTATTTAGTGTTTAGTGCAATAAGCCTGTGCCCTCTTGTAATTTGAGGTCTGTCCGCCATGTTATTTTTTTGAGAATTAACATGGTAGAGAAGCATCAAAATATAAGAGGTTACAGAGTTTATGAGCCAATTTACAAGCAATCCAACATATACAAATGTCATTCGTGTGCAATATGAATATATTTTTCTATATATTATTGCACAATATTATTTAGATTTCTTATATTTCAGGTTTAACTGCTTGCCTTTGAAGCAGTGTAACAGACTGTAGTGTCATGAGAACCCTACTGCATAATTTGCATACTTTTGGTTTTCTTCCGTGAACATGCTGGCGAAGGCGAAGCCAGATAACAAATCAATACATCATTTTATGATATCACGACAGATATTGAAAAAAAAACTTCCTGTTTTTTGGCAGGTCCATTTTACACATAAAATAACAACTAACAAAAGTGCACGATTAATAGTTTACAAACCTTTGACTCTCGCTGACTTTGTTTCAAATTTAGTCAACATTGCAGATCATGTATTTTGTTATAAATAAGAGACTAATCGGCAACTCGAAAAGTGCCAACGAAAACCTCCAACGTGGAATATATAAATATGGAAGATGATGTACTAAATAATCGATCGTATAGTTCGTTTTTTTATGAGATTTTTTTTCATTTTGAAAGTATTTGATATTAAATTGCAAGTGTGTAATTGATCATCAAATAACATTACAATAACTAAAGAAATTATGATCATGAAATTATCAGCACTTGGGCTATATTTGATATACATAAGCTGATCCCAGGAAGCTGATTTAAATGAATAAAGCCATATTTACGTTCGTCGATTTACTGTATTACTAAATACGAACATTTGGGAACTAAATGCACGAATGAAAATGTATTCTTTTTTATTAATGCAAGTTTAATTTTTTTAATACGGTAATTTCTGGCTAATATAATATACATTGCATTAGATTTAAATTTGAAAAACATATTTTAATATGTGAAGTGGAAGTGTATTTTTGGAAAAGAAAAAAACATTGTAAAAGTTTGAGACATCAATTTTTTGACTTTTAAACATTTGAAATCTCTCTAATAATCAATTTTGTTTGAATAAACAAGGATATTTTCATTATCTACACATGGATATATTATTTTTATAACTGAACTTTTAATTAAGTACATTATTCAGAAGATTTGTCAGATCTTTACCTCTGAGCCCGTGGATCAACTGGAATCATGAACTTCTAGTTCTCTATTTCCGAGTCTACACCAAACAGTAAATACAGATTCGTTACATTGACAACAAAACTGGATTTTATCATTGAGTAATAAAATGTCCAACACAGCAGAATATGTGCCAACTGTAGGAGAGGGTGTCTTGCAAGCTGTTCGTGGGGAGTTGGCGAAAAAAGAGCAGGTTCAGAAGAAACATTACTTCATGTTAAATGAACTTCAAAAAATGGCAAGGGAGCTACCTATGTAAGCACTGTGAACAATAGTTCTTATTATCATATGCATGCTTCATCTAATCGGGAATCCCCGGGTAGGGAATGTAGGCTATATCCAATAGACTGAATATCTTGAGAATTAACTATTGATCATCATGCCCCTCCTGTGGAAAAAACAGGAAATTTTCTGCACAAAATTATCAATTTTAGGAAGCTTCACTTCCCAAAAATAAACATTAAAGATAAAACAGAAATTCTAGTGACGAGTTCATATGGTTAAAATAACGAAATAATGAAATGTAACCATGTGTCTACTTATCAGTTTGTTCTATGTCTTTCATCCTGCTAGATTACATTGTGGAACTCAGCCAAACACGACACTGAAGGCAGTATTTTGAGGTTATAAAATCTAAATCTAAAAATTTCCGATTTGCAGCCCCTTAGAGATTTCCAGAATTGAACAAAGTAGCGAACGTTGCGATCTTTCAACTTTAGTTCGTTGTTTTTCACTACTCTATGTGTAGTTTTTCATTTTAGGAGGCGGTCTTATTTGAATGCATCATTCATTTCAGGTCTTTATGAATCAATAGATCAATAAGCAGACTAAAAATTCAAATTTAGCAGTTTCGTTCGTGTCGTACTGGGCCTGTTAGGCACGAAAAACAATTTAGCAGTTTCGTTCGTCGCGTAATTGGGCCTTCTATAATCAGTAGCAAATGCTCGCAAAACATTTTCCAAAATATTTACTTCCGTTTTCCTTGAAGACATAGTTGGGTGACACGTCATTGACACGTCATTAAGTCACATGATCGATACAGTAACTAGTCACGTGATCAGACACATGTCAGTCATGTGAGCTTGCAAAATGGACGATCTAAATTTCCAACAATTCTGCTAAGATCAGTATCGATATGTTGTTTCAACATTTGCTGTTCCCTAACTAGTTCAGTGATCTCCGCAGGATTTTTCTCAAGTGGGTGCAAAATTCTCATTTTCACAATCAGATCAAAATTGGTCAAAATATGCCAATTCTTCTCATTTTCTAGTGGATGCAAATTGATTTTCAGGTGGGTGCAAGCGGCAGCCTATTTTCAAAATCTCAGGTGGTTGCTGCGCCCACTTGCTTTAATGCTCGGGAGATCACTGTAGTTACTTTGAAGTAACATCAAAATAAAAGAATGAAGGAACTGCCTGTGTTCAAGTTTGGTAAGATTTTTTGTTCTCTTGATTTGAACCTACTAGTCGAGTCGCATATTATTATTAGATTTGGCTCAGATTTAGAGAATTGTGATACATTCATTTTGAAATAAGTAGATGCACTTAACTAGTGGACTAACATTGATGTAGCAAAAGCGAGGGACTTACTAAATAATTTGCGGCTTCATTTTAAAACCATATTCCCAACTTTGTGTATATTTTTAACAAGATTACTGTACAACTCCTTTCACGATTTTTAATTTTGTGAATTTTAGCAATCACAATTTCATGGCTACTAATTTTGCAGATTTTAGAAGTTTTAATTTTATTATTGTCTGAATCCTTAACCCCGTCAATGCGAGAGCCGATTAAATCGGCTCTGACGTCACATTTGTGTTTGCGAGAGCCGATTAAATCGGCTCTGAAAAACCTTTGCTTCAGTGCTAAAGCCGATGAGATCGGCTTTACGTCATTCCCATGTAAAAGGGGATTCCCCTCAGTAATTATGTAAGACATGCAGATCTTCACAAATAAACATGATATTGTATGTCTAAAACAATAAATATTTCGAAACACTGTGCTTGTTTGTTCATTTTTCTCAACTTGATCGAGTTTTTAAAAACAGGAAAAATAAAAACAAATTTTCAAACAAATATTTGGCGGGAAAAATGGCGGCACTAAATGACGATGGCAGTGATTTTTATTGAGAGCCTATTTGATAGTGATTCTGATCTCTCTGGTGTCCGAAGCAAGTCAGATGATGAAGGGAATATTCCCATACCTTGTAATCAGTGAAGATGTGTCCCTGGACCTCGGCAATCAAAGGAAAGATTACAATTTGATAAGGTAAATAGCCCGGGAGGACCAGAAAAATTCCAGTCAAGATTTTTTTTTGAGTTGTGTCAATTATAATCGACATTGTAAGTTATCAGCTGAATTATTTGAACTGAATTATTTTCATCTAACTATTAGATGAATACTATTATCGAACATATTTTATTTAGAGTGTAAATAGAGCAAATAACATACTTGGAAAACTAAGTCACATGACTTGATCATGGTGATCATGTGACATTCAAAATGGCGCCATCCAGGTTAAAAATGAACAAATTTGCTCTTCAATATATCGCATATTCTTGAGGGATCATTGTCTTTTTGCAATGTAATGACACAGAGAAAGGTACTGTATGTATATCTGATAACAAATATTTATTGATTTTATGATATTTATGGCTCTATAGTGTCTAAACCACTAATGAACCGCAGAATTCATGAATTTTTTTTCAATTTTATTTTTGATTTTCTTATTGTTTCTTTATCATTTCATTGTACTATTTCATTGCACTGTTTCATTGCCATGGACAATGCAATACATATACATTACTAGTATACCGAATACTCCTTTACATTGACGTGTATGGCTATGTACAATATCCATGCATCTAGAGCTGATAGCAAACTTTTTCAAAGACAAATACAGTTGGGAATTACCTTCTTCTAAGGCCACTACATGTATATCGTGAGAATTGGCTTGAGACTCGAGTGGACAGGTGGATTTTCTATCACCAACCATGGCCATCTGAAAGCCCATACTTTCCAACATTTTTAACATTGGAAATCCTCACTTCAGCAAATCCACCTGTCATTTATTTATGTTCCAATCTGTGTCAGATGTTTTTAATTGAATTACAGTAATGTTGTATTTCAGTCCAGTTTTGCCTTAGTTGTCCCACCTCAATTTATTTTTTTAATCCCTGCTTTGACTACAACATAGTCAGTCACTGAATACTGTTGTGAACTTCATGTATAGCTGACAATATATGTTTTAGGAACCAGACAAAGCAAACAATACCAAATGCCGCATCAATGATATTTACTTTGATTAATACATGGATGGAGTTTGGGATCATATGACTGCTGAAAGTACAGTGTAATGTTATGCTGAACAACTGCAATGTACAGGTAGGCAATTAAACAGTGTTTCAGTGTTTACCAATATTACTAAAGTATAGTACATAATTGCAATTTATGTACATGTACAAGCTTTATGATATTGATTATAATTAATGTAGTATAGTACAATACAATGTACTGTTTTACAATACATTACAACATGTACAAAAGTGTTTAACAGTATGTGTTCAGCATGAAGGTCATATTTGTATATCAAAAGGGATGTACCAATAATTTTTTATCTACTGTATTCATACAGGTAGTTATACAGTACCTGTACCCGTAACATGGGTGAAGCCAAACTTGAGACAGGTGAGGCTTTTGCCTCACCACCATTTTTCAGGAAAACATTTATTTGGACAATATGTGTATATTAAGTCTGTGAAGATAAAGGAAAGCACATTATTCTAGTATTGCCCCAATAAAATCAATTTGATCTCTGGAAGAGGCAGATTTAAATTTAGGTAAACACTCTACTTCAGCTTCAGTATAAATATTTTTTTGAAATTTCCCTCATTTCCATTATGGCTACTTCCTTGTATATAGTAAATGTTATGTTATATAGAGATTATTTAATGGGAGAGATGGGATATGAATTTTATTCTGTGGGAAAATATAATATTGGCCAAGGAAAATATCATGTTGACCGAGGGCAATAGCCCAAGTGTCAAAGTGATATTCTTCGAGATCAATATTATATTTTCTCAGGGAAAATATTAATACTCCAACACAACTGAAACTTATTTATAAGTTTTGAATGTCATCACCCAATGATGGTGTGATATAAAATGATACAATTGAATTCTTCTGATATCGGATCCAATATGGGAACTGATACAGGATTTTGCCTGATGCGAAATCTTATTTATTTCCCAGGGAAAACATGCTATTATAATTATGGAATAAATAATTATATACAATGATCTTTCCTTTACAGCACAAAGAGAAGAGGAGTTTCTCAAAGATTGCAGTAGGCTATACAGTGGGAAAATACAGTACATCCATCTCTGAATGAAAGCCTTCATTGAGATGCTGCTAAATATGTGTTTGATTCAGAAAACAACACTGGAGTCATATTGGACAAAAACAAGGTAATGTTTGTTTTATCACTGATGGCCAAGGGGAAAGGCAGGTGTCATTCTCGGCCTAAAGGCTGAGAGGCCGTTTCTTTGTACTTTTCTTTGGCATTTTTGAAAAAAATGGACCCAAAGCTCATTTATTTAAATTCAAGTCCCGCAAGTCAATTTCCAGAGCCAACCCTGAACATATGTGTATTGCCATTATTGTGACACTATAACCTTTTCATAAGATTAATTAGACTAATCAGAAGACTGATTATAGAGTATTTTATAGGTCATGTACAGAAACAGGTCACTAAATAAAAAAATAAAAACATTTTGTAATGTATGAATTCAAATCATGAAGTAAAATGATATAAAGTACTGTGTATGAAAAAATGAAAATTCGGCCTAAAATGAAAAATTTGGCCCAAAATGAAGATTTTTGAAGGAAAAATAATTTAATTTTAGAAAAGAAAATTCGAAAAATGAAAAATCATGATCCTAGGGAAATAAACCCCACGTTCAATCCCTCCAAGTAAATAACCTCTATGCATTTTCTCATTATAGATGGAATCAGGCAACCCCCAGTTAGGAAAAAACTTTACGAGAGACTGATTTCAGCTACTTTTGCGGTTCTGGCACATGAACAATAATGAGGTTGCATTAGTTGAAGACAAGCCTGGCTGCAACCCCTATATCAAGGTCAGGTGCTTGATTTCTGCGTTCAACGGGAATTCTGCCATAATACTCTCCATGAAAACATTGCTCTGATTGCGGGACTGGTCTCTATGAGCAAGAGGTAAAATTTTTACCTTGATAACTTTCTGTGAAAATTTGTAATACAAGACCCTATTTTTACACTTTTATATTTTGCTTTCACATTTAAAACATATTCACACCACAGGAACATTGCATAACTTTCCTGGTTAATGCCATATATCTTTAGACAAGTTACATGAAATAACTTTATTTTATTTTTTTTTCTTTGTTCCTCTCAGACATTTGATTTAGTTTACCCTGAAAACAGAAGAATGGTACTACTGAAATTAAATCAACAAAAATAACAAGCAATATTCATCTGTCACAACTTAGTCCAGTGTAATTTTGATTGTATATATTCGGGGGTACATTGTCATGATTAATTGACCTTTTGCGATCAGAATTCAGGAATTTTGTTTATGGATACTGTTGTCACGTGTTTAGTCTTATTGGTGTGACGTCACATAGAAATGATATTAGAAATGATGGAATCACGAAATGGCGGACACGTGGCAGTTTTGAGCTAAAAATATTGTCGTTTCTTTTATGAAAACCATGGGTCGGATATTTACCAGGTATGCCGATTTGACTAGATCATGAGTTTATCTATGTATGTGCGAAGTTTGGGTGAAATTCATATTAAACATCGATGCCTATAAGCGCCCCCCGTTTTTGTCAAAACCGGGGGGCGCTTAACCGCTATCTAAATCATGTCAGTAAGATCTTAGACTTGGTATATGCTTAGCATGAATGTTGATCTAGTCAAATCGAACGCTTTTGTGAAAAATTAATCAATAAAGCATGAAATATAGAAGATAATCTCTCAAAATCAAGCATCTAAAGCTGGCTGGCCTAATTGTGACGTCACTTAAAGATAGAATCCATTCGTTGATCGCAAATCGTCAATTAGACATCAATAGTTTGTCATTCCATATATGTGAGTGAGGAATATAACAGTGAATAATAAAATAAATATTTAATTCTATTTTTGGTGAATGCTTGACACTTGACGCTTTCACAAGATATTCCACTTGCACTTCGGGCTTCGTAAAATATCACTAGTGAAAGATGCACAAGTATTCAACCTCAATAGAATTAAATATTTGTATATTATTTCTGACTGGTGTATATTGTAACTACTAAACAGTAGAAAGAACACATTGAACAGACTCAGTGAAATACATGTCTCAAGAAAGGAATCGTGATACATAGATTTGTACAAAATATTTATTGAACATATAGCGCATTTTCTGAAATTCGTTCATATGATAAGTAAAACTAATATTTGTTATACAAATGATAATCAGATAACCTAATCATTTACATATTGCAGGATAACAACCGATGGGGTCAGTGGATAGCACAGATCAAATGATCACACAGTGATGGATGAACTCCAATACTGGCATAAAGTGGGCGTTGCAATACTCAGTTGAATGCTGCTTAACTCTTACATTGTATATGGAGCACACAGATACAGAAAAGACAATGCAAAGGTATGTAGTTTAAGAATACTCATGTAAGCATGAGCTACAGGTATGGTCGAAACTGATCATTGAGAGGGTACTTTTGGTACATACATGTACATATACTAGCTAATCTTTTCACTACAGTAGGTGTCGAGTTTGCAACTGTTCTCAACAGCTGCTCATATCATTAGCTAGCCCCTTGACTGTCAAGTCTGATTATGAATTTCCATAACCCTCATATGGCAGTGTAATCATGTAACAAATGTATTGTATCTTTTTTAAAGAAACTGATATAAAATGATATTTTCTTTTCTTTTAATATCAATTACAATTTTGAATATACATCACAATATATATATCGATTTCAATGTAAGTGAACATTTATAAATAATATTACTGATGTTTGTTTTCAGATACTCATTTATGATTGACCTGATTGAGGGCCTTGCAACTGCCTCCTGTCCTGCACTTAATGCACTAAGCCATTGGCCAGGGATATTACCTGACAACAAGAAAAGCAGTATGTTCTGTGTAGCCAGCTAGGGACCTGTCACCATTCCAGGACAGAATGTGGAAAGGGTTTCATTTGAAATGTTTCTTCTCAACAGCAAGAGGAGAGGATATGAATTTGGGCAACTCCTGCTGGCAGACACATTGAACATGAATATATAGTAATACTATAGCACAGAATATATCTCATTCAATACCTTCTTCAACCAACAATCTGTAGGTTGAAATGTAAAAACGATGGGAAAAAATTAAAGGAAAATACAAGGGGCATAAATCAATCAATCTAAATGTCCAATTTATACGACTGTAACTTTTCAATATAAATAATGAATAAAACAAACAAACAAACAAACTAAGCATGACTTGTCAAGTTAAACCATAATCTGTTGCCATGGTAACATATATTCATTGCCATAATGCCAACAATAAGTTAAAACTTTGAGCAGATTTTTTTTTGAGGATAGAATTGAAATCAATCTGGACTCTAGTGAATTAATTGTACTGTAAATTGCAAATTCTTACAAAATGTTACATCCACTTACCCGTTGTCATGGTAACAGATATTGATATATGTATGTGTGAAATTCTCTTATCTTCTATACATGTATTGATCCAGAATGATTTAATTAACTTCATATTTATATTATGTATTGATATCAGTAGACAAAATAAGATACAAATGTAATAATTAATTGTTTTTGTAATACCATCAATATTTTGGTAAAAAATCAAGGATTTTAGTAGAAAATGAGCTTTGATAAGATTATAAACGTTATGGTCGGCCGACGGTGCTATGTATTGTTCCAGATATCATCTGCAAATGACAAATTCATGGGTAATTATATTTTTGTCTAGTTTTTTTGTCCTATTTTATAACTTATATTTGATTGGATGTGTGTAGGGGCAAATGGATTAATTCATGATTACCTATGAATTGTATTTTACAGCGTTATTTTTCTAATAAGTAAAATGGCGGCCATATTGATGACGTCATATCTAATTTGCATATTTGAATAATTTATTCATCAAGATAATCATTTTAGCTTTCCATTGATGTATCATACATGGTTCCATCGGAAATAATGACTAAGTTATGAAGTCAGATATACCGATGCCTAATTTTCTCTATTTTACCATGAAAAGTCTAGCACTGAGGCAAAAGCTCTTCATTCTTGAATTAGCAGCAAAATGAAATATTTGCCTTTTTTTGTAGCATTGATAGGGTTAAGCTTTGTACTCAGTTACTTTATGTACAGTTATATATTATTACACCTACCCTGTGTCATATTTGGATAAGAACTAAAACCTGGTCAATTGCACCCTGGACCTCAACTTCTATTACATCATCATTTTTAGATTTGATCTTATATGCCACTGTAAAAGAGACATTACTGTTAGCATCCAAAGTATTGCCCAGTGGCACCAGATGAAATGTTTTGCATAAAACAAAATGCATCAGGTAATTATAAATTTAGCAAATCCCTAGGGATTTAATTGGCAAATTTCACTACAATTATTTTAATGATTTCATCACAATCACCAATTGCGCGAAACTAAATCAAAAACGAAAAACACCAAGATTACAGTATATTCTCTAAATCTGAGCCAAAAGTACAATCTGAGCCAAAGTACAATCTGAGCCAAAGTACAATCTGCAACTTGACTTATGAATGAGTTTAAATTGATACAACAAAAACTCAACACAGACAGTTCCTCAATTTTATTAATTTGACATTACATCAAAGAAAAAAGTAGCATTGATATAACATGATTCATCCATTAGCAAAATCAGAGCAAAGCACCAACATGTTTCAGAGTTTGTGACTAAAATCAATAAAGTGGTTTTCTAAACCAAATCCTTACATTTATATTGATTCAGGCAATATCAACAGCGAATGCCATACGACTTGTTGTCATCTTTGGCCAATGCTCTGCTTGATGGCACCGTGTATGAGATTGTCAGAAGTTTGAAGGAAGTTCAGCAGTTAGAAGAAAGGAACCTTTTTCAGCAGAGGATGAATATTGTGAATGAACACAAAGGTAAACCACATGTTTGATTGTATTTATAAAAATTGTATGTATTTGCACATAATACAAACAAAATGAGACAAAAAGAACTTGTTGAATTACCAAAATTGAATACCGTGTTCGCTCTAATGAATGCACAGTGCATCTGCCAAATTCTCCTGTAAGAGATGTCTCAAATTACAAAATCCCCAGGGATTTATAAAACGTAAATATATTGGCCATAATAGGGTATTTCCTCCTTTAAACTGGACCCGCTCAGACTAAATAACAGAATGCTATATTCATTATTTTAGAATTGAGATCATGAAGATTAATTTTCCTGATATTATTATTTGTAGCGATCAAAAAAGATTTACAACGCAAGCAGAAGGAAGCCTTACAACACTGCCAGATGGCAAAACCGCATCAATTGCCATATTTACAAGTACAGCAGGAGAGAGACTTTCAGGTAAGTGATTGGAAGGTCAAACCTCTGAATCCTTATTGATTTTACAATTTTTTGGATTTGTTTCCATGGTATTACTTGTCACTTGTGAAATTTTACTTAGTGGTCAAACAGAGATTGAAACTCACAGCTGCCTGACTGCAAATGACATCACTGTTTTGGCAATGAACTTAGAAAATGAGTTTCCTATTATATTGGGCAATTGACTGAATGCCAATACTGTATACTGTTAAATTGGACAATCATGTTTTCAACTTTTGTAACGTGAACCCTGTGGTCAAGTAAAAAGTTTGATATCTGCCTAAGGGCATTTAGTTTAACATTGTCTCTTGACATCCTCCAAATGCTGGGGTTCAGACATCATCCCCTCTGTTCCTTCCTTCTAATGTTCTCATTTGATTTTTGTCGCCTTTTCTTATCCTTTACTGTGTCAATATGGTTTCCCTCCACTCTCTTCATATAGAGTGATTTATGAGAGATAACTATTTTTGCAGACAATGGAGAAGAAATATGAAGATGAACTGAAGCGTAAAGACATGAAAATTATTCTGGAGTTAGATCAGAAAGTCATGGATCAACAAGTGACTTTAGAGAAATCAGGAGTTCCAGGATTCTTTGTGACTAATAAACCGACAGAAATTAAATTACAGATGCATTTATTGGAGTTTATTAATCGTATGAGTGTTATGTCTATGCCCTTATAGTCAAAGGAAATACCAGTACACATCACTGCACTGGAGATGATAAATCACATATTTGGAAAGGATAGGCAGCTGATTCTGTACATGCCTTTGATATATTGTCGACTGACTACCATTGAAATTAATTGGCATTTTTAGATGCCAGATAGTCAAATCATCATCCAACGATTACAGTTTAAATATTTTAATATCTATACCACTGGAGAAGATGCAGTAGATCAACCTGAAATTAAAGTTACTGCGATGTGTTTTGGATGAGGATGAATTAATGTGCAATCCTACAGATTTGATGCAATATGATGGATTAATGGAAATGTCACTGTATGGTACCAGTAGAGATTGGCTGTGTAATGTCTTGTTGACCCAAAATATAAAAATCAACTGTACTTATTGCAATGTACATATTTATTGTCTTTTCGGATTAAATCCCAGAAGGATATTTTTATAATGAAATATAATTTATATAATGTAAAAGATAAATGTTGTAAATTGTTATATAAAGCCAGAAAAACCTTATGTCTTTCTGGTCACAGATCCTGGGCAGATTTTTTGTTTGAGTATCAGTAGCTGAGCAATTATTATCGTTGAGATAAAGACGAGCTACAAATTCTACTACTGGCCAGAATCTTTGTTTCTGGTCTACTAAAAATGACCAGCCAGCTAGCTGTCATATTTTTATCTGAACTAGTGTTGTAGTGTTATACTGTCTAGAATTTCTCACATGTACTTTTCAAAGACGAATTATGGTCCAGTTCGTTTCAAATCATTCCAAGAAATCTAGCTCAGATTAAAATGTCTATTTGTGGAGTGATCTTATTTATATTGAACCTTGTTTCATCTCACACCCATTTCTTAGGGGATATATCAGTGTAAAAATTTTGAGTCTGTAAAAATTTTTCGTGCTTATGCATAAAAATACAAAAATTGGGTCCAAATTATGCCCATAAATTTCTGGGGGGGGAGCCGCCAATGTGATTGTCGCACATTTGTTACACACTTAATTCTGCATGTTATCACTATTGTTTAGTGGGTGGTAAGACATGTTAAGTTTTGGTGTTTTTGGGCCCAAGCATTTTGTAGTTCCTCAAAAAATGTACCTTTTTGGGCATAACTTGGTCTTTTTTGGTCCTTTTTAGGCCAAATTATCACAAATGGGCTTTTAACGTTCAAAATTTGGGCCCAGTTTCTGGTTTTGCCCCTCTCTCGTTGTTAGCTTCTGGATCCACTAGTAACATGAACTTTTAGAAAAATCAATGTCCGAAATGAGTAAAAGTTTATTGATTATATTTCATCTCAAGTGGGTTTATCAATCACGATAGGAAATATACAAGTTTAGGATATATAAAAGCATGGGCATTCAATAGATAATAGCGGAGGGGGGTGACTGACTCCTGGTGATATCATGCTTAGAGTCTTAGACTAGGACACGTTTAAATTCTGTCACACTGACAAAGTGGTAAAAAAGTTATGAGACAACAGTTATGAGACACCTGTGAATTTATTATTTCGATTCACATTGAAATCTTCCATCCAAGATGCAGACGGTCAAAAAGTTGTTCGGTCCAAAAAACTCTCCCTTAGCGGAATCATTACGATGTCTACGTGGCAAACAACATATCAGAAGAAAACTTGATAAAACTGTGTATGCCCAAACCAGGTATAAACTTGTCTTCTTCTCTTATAAGATAGAAAACACATTTTGAACTTTGAACTTAGATTTTCAATTTTTCAATATTGACTGAATTGGTCATAACTCTGTACTTACTGAACACAGCTGGCTCAAAAGCCTTCTGAGCCTACTTCTGTCAGCTCAGGAGAGTAAAGTTTAGTCTGTAGCCAATTCGCGGACTGGAGTCTGTTCTTTTGCAACTCAGGCATTAGCCTAGCCTATAGGCCTAGATCTAATGCCCTCTAGGCTAATGTCTCTGATGTGATGAACTCTTGTTCAGCAATATTTTTCAAAACCTCTGAGCAAGTGTAAGTTTAGTTCAACAAGTTAAACCTAGTCTGGGCCTTATTTCTTATCTGACATATCTTGTGGCCCGCCCTAGGTTTAACATTCGTGCCTATTCGGCCTAGTGCTTGCAACGGTAATGGATCTCACTGCCGGTAAATTTCACCTCCATTACCTTACCGTTACCGATAATCGTTGATACTGATAATGTTCCTAAAATCCCGGGGAAAAACCTGAAAGTGAAACTAAAATATTTGGAAAAATCCTAACGAAGCCGATTTCTCAGCTTGATTTCCCGCTCACATCAACTACAGTGGATATATTGTATCATCGTGTATCTCGTGTGTGATTGTGTATTGTTTGGAAGTCTTTGAATGATAATATAGAGTGAATTCGATCAAAATTGATCAAACTACACTCTGTTAAGCATGATAAAAGGCAAGAAGTTTAGTTAGAAATAAAAGAGTTATCTCATGAATGGGACCCTTACATAGCTCCTAAAAGGTAGAAGACACTAAATGATGTAACACTATAAGCTGAATTTTGTCCACATAGAGCATGTGCACAATACTAAAGACATGTAAAATTGAACTGTCAAAAGAACTGAAATATACTTACCAGCTCGCCTCTTCCGGAAGTTATGATACGTTATGGTGTAACTACGGTAATTAATTTTAAAATATTGAAAAAATCACAAAATACAAGTTCTGAGGTATATATCGCCATTTTTAAGCGAATTAGCCCATACTATGACTATATATTCGCACCCCCATATACAGATATATATAAACTTCATCTTCACAATAAATTGAGCTTCTTTCAAATTTCCATTTTTTGAGATAAGTGCCATTTTCTTACAATTCAAGCCGTAAAAATAGTTGGAAAGTGCTTCCCAGTTGAGGTTAATGGCTTTTATACTTACATTAATGTATGGAGCACTTAAAATGTACTTAGAATCGTATAAATAGCTCTATTCTGTGAGATTTATTTTTGTTTTTATTTTTACATTTTTCTCACCTCATAATTGAAGAGCTCCGCTGTTGATTTACATTCAGTTACACGTATTTCCTTGAAAATTCGCCATGATTGGAACAAATGATGGTTGGTTTATGTTATATTCATTTAGTTTGTATTTGAATCTAGCTACTTAAACACAAAACATGTCTTCATATTATGCTAAAGAGCAAAGATCGCGAATTCTAGGTGAAGCCAATTATTTTGCACAAGTCATATCCTGATTGCATCATAGTTACTTTGTACTAGTCACATCCTGATTGCATCAGCCAATTCACGTGATTTACAGTTTGCACATGGTTTCAATATACATGTTATACTACTTCCGGGTAGGGTAGTGTTTTTTATACTTTAAAAACGAAGCCATTTCGATCAGTTTTAATAATGCTTGGTAGAACTGAGAGGTTTTACAATGCATTTAAATTAATACACATGAGTGTATTTGATGAACTCTCAAAAAATAAAACCCACAATAATATCTTTTTTATTCACAATTTCATGTCATTGTTTCTAACAAGTCGCCTCTTTCTCTCTTTTCTTTATTTTTGTCAACAGTCAAAATCGGAATTTAAAACTTGGTTTCTTTACAAGCTCTGCTTCTGTAAATACTAAATAACTTGAAAAATGTTAAACCTTACATCCTACACTTATTTGATATGAAATAGGCGATCATTGATATCATTTTTGTGCTGTTAAGTGTGGATCTTTTAATTTTTTAGTCAAACTTGATCGCTGATCTCTGTCGATGTGACGTCACGCATTAAATATGCACGCATGGGCAGTACAATACATAAGGCAATATGGCGTCTTAGGCCTATACATGAGCCAGAATGGAGGTCTGCAAGTTGAAATGACAGGCCTGTCAACTTGGGAACACCTAACATGAGTGACTTGGAAATGTTGAACACCTCCCCTCTAAATGTGGACACCTTGGTCCAAATCTGAACACCTTTATCCAAATTTTGAACACCTTGGTTTAAATTTTATTACATCTTGCCAAATTTTAAACACCTCAAATTTTTCGCACTCGCTACGCTCGCGTTTATAACATCCATCAACGGGGGGGGGGGGAGGTACGAAAAATTTCGACATTTTCTGTCACGCAAAAATAACTGGTGTGACTTCAAATTCTTCAGCAAATGCGTGACAAATACGCAAATTGCGGGACAGTTGACAGGCCTGGAAATGAATATGTTTGTTTATGCATCAATCGATCACACATATAATCCAGACAATCTTTCAAATCATATACTTAACATTGTAATGGATTTATTTATTTTGTGAGCTAACGTTCCCTTTAATTTTCATTGGTGAAGCAATGATTTTACCTAAAATGAGTCCCTGTCTTTGCATAGTGATATTTAAAAATCGAGAAGCAAAACCTATGTTGAATATACTGTGTATTGATGAAGTTTATATATAGCCTAGGGGAACTCAAAAATATTGTTATTATATCGGCAAATTCGCTCGAAAATGGTTGTACACCCTAGAAATTGAATGTTGTTGATTTTTTCAATATTTTAAAATTAATCACCGTAGTTACACCATAACGTATCATAACTTCCGGTAGAGGCGAGCTGGTGAGTAATTTCTATTATTTTGACAGTTCAATTTTACATGTCTTTAGTATTGTGCACATGCTCTATGTGGACAAAATTCAGCTTATAGTGTCACACCATTTAGTGTCGTCTACCTTTTAGGAGCCATGTAAGGGTCCCATTCATGAGATAACTCTTTTATTTCTAACTAAACTTCTTGCCTTTTATCATGCTTAACAGAGTGTATTTGTGTTTGTTTTTACATCACCGAAATATCACGTCACGTGATTTGTTAATCTCGCGGCACGGGAGATGATTGACAGAAGTGGGTGGGGTTTTGCTTATCCTCCCGCCTTTACGAATGCTTTGCAGTTGATTGACAGATTAGCTCTTCAAATGTGGAGATTGAAATATACATGATTGATAAAATATTCTAACGAACATTGTTTCGTAAATTTGACAATGGATCGCAATGCCAATCATCATGTTGCAGCAGCATGGCGATTATCGGGAATGGATTTTATTACCGGCAATTGAGAGTATCTACTGCCGCTGCCGACAACCCGGCATTACCGTAAGGCACTAATTCGGCCGTTGATGCCAAAAATTTAATGGTGGACTATGGCAGTGCATGGAATTCCAAGCGCGTTTTATTGATAACCGATAGTGAGAATTTGCAACCAATGAAATCATAGCACGGAAGTTAAACCCAATCATGGCAACAAGAACATTCAGATTAATAAATAAAAGCTGTGGTATTGGGTTTAACTTGTTGAACTAGATCTAGTGTAAGTTGTCACTCGTTATTTTTTGTGACTGAAATTCCTTACAAAATTTCCCTGCTTATCACCCTATTTCCTGATTTTGAAAGAATATGTTTTGAGAAACAATAAAAGGTCAGTGGGGCAAATGAGAAGCTGGTGTCAAATTGCTACAGAAGTTGATTTTGAACTGTGAAGTGCAAGCATGACTTCAAAATCACCAAAAATTCGAGTGACATTCTACACTGCCTCAAAGCTTACATAAAAAGCATGCTAGAAAACTTAAAAATTTATTGAGGTAGGTATTTTAATCGTACAGGCAAAAGATGGTGGCCTATTCAGCAGCAATAAATCAATACATGTAAATAAAATTGCAGGTGTATCAGTACAACACAACATGTCAATAAAGACTTCAGACCAGAAGTTGGCCAAGTTAACAATCTTATGGACATAGGGACACGACGAATACTAGATGAAGATAAAGATTTATTTAGAGAAAATGTGAGAAGGTTCTTCACTGAAGAAGTATCCCCATATCATGCTCAGTAAGTGTTTAATTGATTGATGTATTGAGAAGAATGTTGTTTATTTAGAGTTTTGTAGTGTTTGATTTATTGTTGAATAGAGGCTCTGATTCTTTTGTATTTGTCAAGTCCATACATAGTCTGCCAGTGTTTGTACTCCATACTCAAATGCCAATGCCAACTTTGTTAAACTAAGTATTATAACCTATCACCTCTAGGTAAATACAGATATAAAGCTCAGATGTTACTGTGAACAAATATGAGCATACTCATTTTTAGAGCTGAATGTACCAATGTTGAAGCCTTTTTCATAAATAGCATGACTTCTCACAGGTCCCAAGGCTTTTTCTCTACAGGATGCTTTACCACTAGTTGTACAGCAGTACAGTCATGTACTAGTTTTGGTTTGAATATCTCCCCAGTTGCTCTAAAAGCAGGACTGTCTTGTGATTTTTCTCCCAAACAATCAGTGATGTTCCATTCTTATGGCTTATATACCATCTTACATATTTTATTAATATATAAAACACAATTAGTCTAAAGCAATATACAATCGTTTTATCTATATTTTAAAAGCACTGTTCCACAACTGGATGACTCTAACTGCAATTAGCTTCATTCAAGATGGTGGACAAAATTCGTTCGTTTTCGATAAATCTCCAATTACAGCCAAATCAAGCTGAATCTTGATCCCAAAAGTTTCGCCATGCAAACTAATAAAGATATGATTGTAAACAACCACAAATAAAGGCTCACGCACCCGCGATATTAGAGAAATTGAAAGAAAACGGCTTCACTTAGAATGACTCTAACTGAAGTTAGTGATGACGTAGGAATGAAGCTAACTGAAACGGGGAATGAAGCTAACTCAATGGGATGAATATATGGACGGCCCTGTCTGTTGTTATAAGATATCTAAATGTTATTGACTGTTGTTATTGGTTGTAGCCATTTGTATTTTGACATGGAGTGAGTTTCTATTCAATCCCATGGCCGGTGATCGTAGAAATTGGACGGAGGGGAGCAGACAAATTCTGGTAGAAATTTCAATAAATCTGGAAAATTTACTTTTTCAAGACAAAATTTAGTTTACGATTGAATGGCCAAATGAATAGACTTACGGTATGGTAAAATATTGTAAGTATTCTAGGATTAAAGTATATGATGTAAAAGGCGAAATGCCGCAAACGTCCGAAAGTCAATGTTTTGCTAGTCAAGCAAGAATGGTCTACACGACCTGTAATTAAAAAACTTGTAAGTGACATTATCGTCACAAAATTAATGTCATTGCTGAGTAATTAAGTTCCCATACGTAATATAAAAAATAATTGAAGGGGCGGAGGGGGGGGGGGGCAATATTTCTATTATTCTTCTATTACTATTTTTATTTCTATTACAACTTCACCAAAGTTCTTGTATTTCAAAAATGAATTCATAAAACGTACAATGTAATATGAAGCTGGATTTTACAGCTCTGAAGAATGAAAAATGGGGAATTTTAAGTTATAGGACTTCAAGTCTAGAAACATCTCTTATCATGCCTGATATACATAAATGCTCCCCGATGCTCAATAAATAAATGACTTATCCATCACAGATAATCGTCACATTTTTTCAAGTAGACTTAATGAAGTGGGAAAACCGACTGCGTTCCAATCGACTGTGCGACAATATATACAGGATCATGTTCCCCCTAGGACTATTAGACATTAGTCAGTTACTGAACATGTCCCTCCATTAATTCACCCGTCCCCTTCTTGGCGGTACCAGGCTAGGCGTATACATGTACTGATAACATGCATACCAGCATACAAATAATTCAACAAAAGGGGTAGGCTGCATGATACTTCAAGACTTGAGTGACTTCGTTAAGATAAAGTAGCAAATGTAGGCTAATGACGTACTCTTTATTGTTATTTACGGTAGTCTAGTGTAAAACCAAACTTTCCATAAATTGGACAAATATTGTGCTTTTGTGTTATTCTATCAACAAGCTAAATGATTTTAATTTGAAATATACTTAATAGTAATTATATTTAGTTTATGTAACTGGTTTCGTGACCATCAATCATTTATGTATCAGTGTATACGGAGTTGCAGAATGTGAGTGTCATCTCCCGGGTAAAGTAAAGGCATATTTTCTGCACTAAACGAAAATAAATCGTGTAATGCCGCTGTCACATCTATCCATCTTCTTCATTATTTCCAGCACTCTTTTTATTACCCCTTCAAGTTCAATTTCTGCAATAAATCAAATTAAATTACCAACATTTACACGATTGTGCTTCAAATAATCCATTATTATATCTTGATCAATTGTATTAAATGTTATTGGAGCATTCGCAAACAGCTATTTGTACTACAGGGTGGTAAAAACGTAATTCGAAACCATGCATTTTACTCATATCTTTTGGCGTGTACCACAGGAGGATCAACATTAACATTGTGACTATCAGTCCGATGGTTATCAAATGTGATAGAAAATTGAATGATGGACAAATGTGCCAAATATCAGTGAGTAATTTCTTAAAATAAAAAAGAGGAAAATAGCGACAGCATTTCCATTTTTACCTGTAAATAATTATTTTGTTAAAGACTGATTAAATTAAAATTGTTTAAGAGTACTCAAACAACCAACATGTCTTAATTAATCGAATTTCACAATTCCCATTGGCAGACTTGGGGGATGAGGCATACGTATGTTAACGAAATGTGAAAGCAGAGGGTGTTGGCCAAATGATATTTTGTTTGAAGGGTGCTTCCCAATTACCCTATTTTTATCAAGTGTTTCTCATTACCTGTAATATCACTTTTGACATCTTCGATTCTCTCTTCGTCAGTTCCTGTAAGATAAGTGAATTTATACATATAAAATTTGAACCAAATTATTATTTGAGTTATCAGATATTACATTTTTATGGAGTGGTGACCATTTTGAATTAAACAGGCATTTTAATCGCCCTTACACACAGACGGACGGTCGGCTTCTCTATTTCCCTAAGAACTTCGTTCGGTGGGATAAAAAAAGTCATTAAGTGTAGTTACGGCGTCAAATTATTTAAAGACAACTCACCTTCTGTCTCATCCAGATCCAAAGCAATCTGTTTATCTGCTCGCGCGATGGGAGATTGTGCCTGTTTTTCAACTATGTAAAATATAAATAAAATAAGTATGTCAATTACGAGTATAAAATGACATGAATGAATGCGTATATCTCTTATTCAGAGTCTATATCTGTATATTGACGTATGATAAACCACATTTTTGACATTATTTTTATTTTGCACACACATGATACACATTATATATCCCGGGGTATACTGTAGGCCTTTCGAAGTTGCTGTTTCACAATCAAAGTAAAATAAGCCATTTGACATATGAGATGTGTTTTAGTGAAAGAAGAAGCATTCTATATTTTGTCCAATGACCCAACACGATACAGACTCATAGTCGTCTTTTACTTTACTCCAAGGGGTTTACATTTGACCATTTCGACCCACAATTACTTACAAATGGACACGACGTGTTCTAATGAAAGAAGAACCCCATTTAGTACCTTTAAGCCCGGTATACACCAATGGGGCAAAATCCCACTTGCCCCATCGAGTCCCATCTTGCCCCATCGAATCCCAATTTGCCCCATCGAATCCCACGAAGTCCCATGGGACCTTGATGACTTTGCCCCATTGTGCCCCATCAAGCCCCATGGAGTCCCATCAAATCCCACCGTGCCCCATTGGTGTATGTCGGGCTTCACACAACACGTCATATGATCGAAAATCCCACGATGCCCCATGGAAAGAATGAACATGTTCATTCTCAATGGGACTCCATGGGACTTCGTGGGATTTTGCCCCATCGAGTCCCACCGAGTCCCACGTGGGACTTCATGGGACCTCATGGGACCTCGTGGGACTCGATGGGGCAAAATCCCACGGAGTCCCATGGAGTCCCACGGACTTCATGGGGCAAAATCCCAAAAGGTCCCACAAGGTCCCACGCAATGTTAAGTCTATGGAGGTCCCAACTTGCCCCATTGGTGTATACCGGGCTTTAGGGCCATCACAAGACGTGTTCTAGTGAAAGAAGAACCTCAATTTCGTATATAGCCCTAAGGGCCAAAAATGGACGTGTTCTAGTGAAAGAAGATGCAATGATCTATGGAGCACTATGGACAACCACGAGGCGTGTTCTAGTGATAGAAGTAGACTTGATTACCTATGTTCTATAGAACACAACACAACACGAGACGTATTCTTGTGAAAGGACAAATTCACTATAGCTTCATGGTTAATAGGGACTTGTAGTATTCAACTTTGACAAATTTTCATATTTTATGAGATGTTTCAATGGAGAGGTTTCACTGGAGTTATTAAAACATCTATATAGCTTACCCACCCTTGGTATACGCAGCTAACGAAAATTGACCGGTACGGGTCAAAAGTTGGACCGGTACGGGTTAACGGTTTTATTTGAATTTACAGGGTGTTCCATATGTTTCAGGAATGATGCTGTATTTTATTGGTTTTCTTTTCAATCTAGCTGATTTTTTAACAAAATGTGTCCAAATATGTTGTGAATAAGTTGGAACAGTTTCATATCTTGAAACTCAGTAGACTGAATAATATGGTTGCTATAGTAACCTAGGGGTAGGGTAGGTGGAGCAGGTGTAACAACGCACAAAACATGACATTTTTGTAAAAATAGTTGTTTTTGTATGAAGTGTTCAAAGTATTAATTTGTCATAGTCGCATCAAACTTGTTGAAAATTAAAAGAATAAAGGTGGATTCCTGGAAATTAAAAATGTTATCACACCTTTTATTAGCCATCATCATTATTTCAGCATCTATCCCTTCCGTATTAGTTAGCGCTCTCACTGTTCTCGGATGTCCACATTTTGGATAATCGGTCTCAGTTTCCTTTCCAGATTTGAACCGCTTGTACCACTCATACACTCTAGAGGTTATACCATCATTGAGTCCCCATGTGCATTCGTCAGGAGTTTAATTGTGTCTGCTGC